ATCCCGTTGAAATGTGTTATGTACGAATGCATTGCGTGATGTCTGCAGCTTTTGTGTTGTCAATATAAATGATACCTGCCCGAATGGGCGTGTTTTTCGGACATAAAACTAAAATAATAAATAAAACTTCCACTCTATCGAGTGGTCGCAACACGCTACTCTTTAAGCCACAAAAAGACTGTGACGACTGTGAATGGTGTTCACTTGACATACTAAGTACAACTGTGACAGCGGCACACAATATGAAACAGGAGTTTTGGTTGACACGCCCCTTTCACTAGTACATTTCGGTTTTGGCATATTTATAAATTATAAAGTACAGCAATAGGTGGCCGATATATATTTATATATTAATATGTCTTTTAAAAATGTTGTGTTTGACAACAGCCGTGAAAAAATAATGAGACCACCATCTTAGTGGTTTCGGTAAATCGGAAAAATACAAAATTTTGCTTAGATTACAAAAATATGACGTATTCTTAAAATCTAGTATTTTTCGGTATACATTTTGTACGTTATTTTTCGAGTTAATAAAAAAATGTTTTATGTAATACTTATTGCAATTCCCTTGTGGCGAGCTGAAAAACCTAACCGCATTCGTATAATATCATAAATAAATAAATAGATCCTCTGTCAAAAAAATCACCCATCTAGATTATCAGACTACCGTTTCTCTGAATATAATAGGATTTTTAAATTATAGATGTGGGCGAAACCACGTTATTGGGAAACCAATTTTTTCCGCATTGCAGCAGCTTTCCCGTCGTCTTATTGTTATTCTTGCAAAAACCCAATTTGTTTGTGTGGTAAAACGATACAACGACACCTACTTGTACCGTCTTGGGGATTATTCTACAAAAATTTGCGTCGAAATATGTTGTAAGATTTATTCACATTATAATCTGAAGTTTGTTTTCCAAAAACGATTTATTTAAAACTGGTTATCGAAGACTCCGTGTTTTTGAAAAATCCTTCTCAGAAATGTAATATTAATTGAAATGGGAAATTCGAAAAGGGCTCATATCGGAAAATTAAAATTTTTCAGGAAACTCAAAACCTGATTTTCTTTTTAATTTTTTTAAATAGGATGTTTTTTTCATCACAATAGAAAACAGATTTGGGCCCTTTTCGCTCATAAAATATCGATCTATATGTGTAAATGAAAAAAACGCGGAAAAATCAATTTTGATCAAAACTCGAGATGGGCCCTTTTCGAAATTTACAATTCAATTATTAAATCCTTTTTTATACATGCGTTTTTATTCTATTCCGGATTTTGAAGGTTTAACGCGTAGGTACTATGTAGTATAAAATATATTATGAACTATCAAAAATATGTTGCACTAATAAAAACGGTAATCTGAACCCTATAATTATTTGAAACTAACAATAGGCACATGATATTGTTGTACGTCCGTGTCTATAATAATATACTTTTGTAGCAAATAAAAACCAGAAGATTATATCGATTAGAGCAGCATTTTTACTGTACAATAATTAACTTTGCCGACTGTACTAAAACAGCTATTCACGCGCTGACGACTAGATTAGGCTTCACTCTGTCTACTTACCCCCCCCCCCCTGCCCATCCCACGGATCGTATTGGCAAAGCACATGACGGAGGTTTTAGCTAAAGGTATATACTGGAGACAGGCAGTAACCTTTACGGGTCCCGCAGGTCAGACGCCCTAATTTCGAATTCCATGCCCGCTTCTATCCGTTTCTCGAGTGCGGTAAGTCCATTAGACATTGGATCCATTAAGACGTCGAAGGTTTTGGTTATTCGGCGGATCGTCTTAATACTAGAAACGATCGTGCTCGTAGACGAGACGGTGTAATATACATTATACAATCCCGTTGCGACAATAGTAGCCTGGCAGCTTAAGGGATAGCAAAACGAAAAAAAAAAACATGGTAACTATATTTTATTTTGTTTTTATGGTAAATAAAAAAAAATACCATGTAGAGATAATTCGGTAACAACCGCCACCACTGTCATAATGCTATGCCAGTTGTGTATTCAACATTTATCCTGTGCTGATAAATCGCCGGTAATTCGGTCCTCGTCGTCGCGCACAGCAGCGGCTTATATTCTCAGTTGTAAAAGGGTGACTATAAAAAAATATTTATATATGTACACTATAAGTATGCAAACACTTTTGTGAAAAAAAAAAAAAAAGGTTCCAGTGCGTTTTAATATAAGTAATAGCATTGAGTATATATTATACAATGTATGCTCAATGGTAATAGTTATTCTTTTGTGAAAGGAACGAAGAAAATCGATATTACAACACAAATTTATCTCGGCTTAATAGGTGTTGTAGGATAGAAATAATAATAATAATAAACGTTTATTGTCTGTTCTGCTCTTCTAAATTGTTATGATAAATAATACGAGTATGTCTATGTGCAATAATAATAATAATAGCATATAAGTGCATGTAACTATATAATGTCCGTCTGAGCATTCGGTTTAGTATATTATAATAAAAACAGTCGCAGACAAACAGTGCACCAATAAATACGTCTAGAAATCTTAGTGGACATTTTCAAAGTTGTTCTTCGACTGTAAATATTTTACCTCCTATTTAATACTACAAATTTAATATACTTATATACACCGATTATTAGGTTGTCGTACCTGTTAAAAAGTTTTAACGCTTACAAACAATGTAAAACCGAATTAAGAACAACAATGACAATAACTGACTCATTAACATCTAAGTATATGAATATGTATCTCTAAAATTTACTAATCGTTGCATATTATATATTGGTTCCAAATTTTTAGGCAGTATTGTGGATGAAAATAATGAACATTTACTTACATAAATATACTAATTACCTTGAATAAAAATCCAATTTTTAGTCACTATCCATTACTAATTTTTCCTACAGAAATTATAGACATTTTTACTCTCAAGTGACTTTTTTGGATTCGCTGCACTCGTAATAATTCGTTGAGCAACTCTGGAGCGTTGTAAAATAAATAAATGAATAACTACTTGTGTATCAATTATGTACTGATTGTAATTATGAAAACTACATTAGTCAAACCACATTGTCGATAAATAATAAAAAACAAGAAAGTAACACGATTAGAAAACCATTTATTTTTATTACATATATTTGCATTAAAGACGTGAATCGTCATCGCATTGAAACTAAGTGTTGTTCAACATATTTAGAGCTGTAATATATTGTATAATATTTTTGGTTATGCGTAGTAACAATAATTAGTATGAATGTATAATCTCATTCATTGTAGAATCAAATAAATTTAAATAGTTATCAAGGAATGTATTATTTTACTTTATGGTAATTTACAAAACTTTAATACAAATATAAGTATCAATGCTATGCATTAAACTTATTTATACATTTAATCACGCCTTAAAAATAACGCAAACCGTACAACGTTTTGTTACGTTTGTTTATTATTATTATGTTTTGTGGAACGTTTAGAAGTCGGAACTTGGTGACACGATTTCAACATAGATAAATTTTAGTGTTGACGTTTGTAACATAGAATTTTAGTTATAATTACACTAGTAACGTTTTAATAATAATAATAATTCTCTGTTTAATCAACTAAAAAGTAAAAAATAGCACGAGATTACCCTGTTGGATTAATTGTTATAATTAATCGGTTTTTAATTCCTAAGAAAATCCAACCGTTCAAGTATTTATTTTATGATGGCCGATAAAGCGTATCGCTATAATATACTTTAAAGTTCAAATATTTACCTGTCAGTGGTTAATGATATATTATGAATTGTTTTTATTTTTTTTAAGGAAATGGTATTTACATTATTACACCTTACTATGTTTCCGTGTTCAAAGTAGCGAACACGCGATCGACTGTTATTATGTCGACAGAAGTGTGCGATGAGGTGAAATGATTTCTTTTGGCAATAATTATTAGACTGAAATTTATGCGAGTCGCTATATAAATTATGTCTTCTGTCTATTAGCAAATGCGTGTGATAGCTGTTTAGAAGTAAAATAAAAAATTGTCCTTCGCTCTAGTTAAATGTAGAATGAACCTATGTACACACGCACATATCTACCAAGTCACAACCCTTATAGAATTTACAACTTTATTTAATTATACAATATCGCATGTTATGTGATTCCCAGGTCGTGTCAAGTTTCCGCAGTTGTAAATTTAAATATTATTCAATTGTTTGTAATGACCGCTGGTTATGTCGTCCGTGATTTCCGGTAGGGTAGGGCGGAGGGCTAAGTTTCCCAATATCGTTGAAAATTCCCAAACATTTTTAATAAAGAAGACGGTTAAAAAATTAGGCCAGATAGTTTGGAAACCGATTAATGTAACAAGCAATAAAAATAGCTGTTGCCGAAAAGCTAAATGCAAAAAGAGTACAACAATAATCTTTTTGTTAATTACTTGTTATATTAGATGTGGTCCTAACTCGGATATTTCAATGTTATAGAGGCAGATAATTCTCTACGGCTAGAGTCATACTAAAAAATGTCCTTTATCTAACTTATGTTACCATTCAGTTTTACATTAGCTGATGCATTAATTTATAGTTGTCGCTACGTTTTTTTACGGGTCAAGTTTGCAAAGTCTATAGTAAAAATATATAAACTTACAAGCATGGATTTTTGGGAAAAAATCCCGTTAAATAAGGGCAGCTCATGTTCGGAACATCTTGACTTCACGAGGCTCTTAATGGGAGTGTTTTTTTTAAATACAGTCATGATGGGTAGTCTATTGGTTAAAACCGTACCTATTTTTTATACGAATACGCATTATTTTAAACTTGTTCGAAAGAAGAGTGAGAGCTGATAGGACGTTGTTAGCTATTACGAAGCACGAAAAAACTATGGGATATTATCACTTCACTCGTGTGGCTGACTTTCTCTTAACGAAAATGCTATTTTGAGCTGGTTCGGCAGCTCTTTGTGTTTAAGATTCCGCACGTGTGGCGATGACTTCACGATATTAATGTATTTGTTTTGTTTCCTTTCAGATATCGACTTTGGTAGCGCACCGAGAGAGGCCGTTTTGCACGGAGCGCACTGCCAGGGCTATTGCCAGGGTCGGGCAGGGAGTCAACTTGGCCATCGAGCGGTTCGTGACCGTCGGCGAGACCATTGCCGACGACAACCCGGAGATAAAAGGCGACATGTACCAGGCGTGCAAGGAGGCCAGGGCGGCAGGTGAGTCGCATTCCTTCACCCCTATTCTACTTTGGGACAGAAAATTTAAAACTCCTATATCGTATTGTGGCCCGAAAATCCGTTCAAACATAAGTCACGTCCAGATAACGTCACCCGTCTTCCTGCCCACGTTGTTAGACACGTTGAAAGTAATTTTTTATCTCTCTCAGTGTCGAATGATGACCGAACGACTGTCTCGTTCGGTTTGGCTAAATAATAATCGAAAATGTCATACTCCGGCATCGTGCTGATCATGTCAATATTTTTTTGCCCGTATCTCTTGTCCGCATGATGCTTACATTCTAACGGCGGCGTATATTTTTATTCTTGTCAACTTTCTTCTAGAGTTTTGTACGTACATTTCTCTCTTCTTCCCTCACCCCCATCCAGTTTGTCCTGGATGCAAAATCCCCCCGCCCTCGTGACTTAAACAACAACCAACCTCATCCGACAGCGGAAGCGCTCTCCAGTGGACGGGTGTCTGATGATTTATTGTCTTTTCCGTGTCGGTTAGGCCCAGCTCTGTACTCGGGGTTGTTATACTCGTTATAAATGTGTCATTTTGACCATACGCAAAACGAACGTTGAACAGTGAATGACCTTAATGTAACTTCTATATACCTATAGATAATGAAGCCAAATGCCATGTTTTATCTTTTGTCCTGCCCGGAGTGTTATATAGCATACGAAAATCCCATTACCTTAACGCATTACTGGAAAATTCCGTTCGAAAAATCTACTTACGGGTATATTATGATGACGACCTATATTATAGTCCTGTTTTAACTAATTATGGTTTAGTTTGAGACGGGCAACCGCAACGAGTCGTTCCTGGTACCGTTAGCGCCGAAGCCTATAGTTTTTTTTCAAGTCTTGCAAGTATTGCAAAACTATATTAAACGTTTTAAAGTGGGTTTAGAGTTGGACAATTGTCGTTAATAATAATAATTATGGAACTTTAATTCCATACAAAATTAGCACTGATGTATACCTTATATTTTCACAATTCCTTATAAATAACTAATTTAGTATGCTATATCACACTTATCAATCAATTATCTTACTAATAATCTAATTTCAACTGATTTTCTTATCAATAATCTCCTCGGTTCTTCTCCTTTCCCTTCTCTTCCCTCATGTCTTCTCTCCTACCCATGACGTGGCGTGACTAAAATTTTGGAATGACCCCCAGAGGTAAGACATATTCTTATCAAAATGTCTTATGGTAATATTAAGGGATAAAATGTCTGGGGCATATGCTGATCTCTTAATCTGAACCTGTAACTTTCTTTCCTATCAATTTATGTTGCGATTTGCACCTTTTATTTGCAATAAAGAGACTATCTATATTCTTATGGTATTGTGTTTTTAAAGAATTCTGTGTACTTCATTATTTGCAATATTTAACCGAATTTATTTTTTTAAAAATGATACCATGTTATTAGTGAAATGGCTTAATGTTCTGTTTTTTCTTATTCTATTTCCCTTATCTTAAACTTCTATAGTTTACTTACCACAAATGCGGGAATGGGTATGACTGTCGATCTATAACGTTAACTGGACACATTTGGGAACCAAATAACGAGGGGGGAGGCCTCTTTTTTTCTTGGCAGTCGCCTGTCCAGATAAAGAAACCGCCAGTGACAGTACGTAACAACACCATCACCACTTAGTGACATTTTTGAATAATTACTTTTTCACAAAAAAAGAACAAAAACAATAAACTGAAAGACAAGCCCTTTAAAACACACCTCCATTATAAGAATTATTCATGTATATTATTATATAAGTTACAATGGGGGAGAAAAGTTTTGACAACTTTATTGTTACACAAAAAGTGCCAACTGTGCGCTTTTTGTTAAAATATATGAATCCATTTATTTTTCCGTTTTATTTGTGTGTTCTCATTTTCCTTTGATCTCGAGTTTGTATTCATTTAGAATATATATTTTACTATCCTTTGTTTAAATGAATTTTTCATCTTTTATTCTTAATATTTACATTAGAGTGGTCCATAAATGAGATACGGATGTCCTTCTCCAAATGTTGAAAAAATACTTCCCTAATTTCCCCTTATTTCCTCCTCTAAGTCTTCCTGTTTGCACCAAACTCGTACTCGGTGTATTCTGTTTTCCTTCTATTAACCCTTAGTCTCTTTCCTTCAAGTGCTATTCTCCAATCCTCGAGCCTTTTGTTAACTTCTTTCAGACGTTCTCCTGCCAAAACTATACATGTAAGCATCGTGCACCACGGTACCTCAGCCTGTATTTCCTTCGTAACAGATAAAGGCTCAAACCATACCCACTCTAATACTAAAAAATCTTCTGTTAATCTACACATACTTGATAACTACATAAAAAAAAAAAACGACGAAGACTTATTTTAAATCTGATCTCTAATAATTTAAAATGAATCCTATTTTTTAAATTAAAAATGGGTTCGAATCCGGATTCGAAACAGTCGAGGAACTTTTTCAATTACCGGATAATAATAGTTTTAGATAAATTCAAGTGCGTTATAATAATTACTATTACAAATTAGTTTTAGCCAAGAATAAAATATTAGCCCACCTTGTACCAATCTATAAATAACGTATGAATTAGATAACGTAGAAATAGTAAGTTTTATGATACTTTAAGTTTTTTTTTATACTAATGATAATACTATTATGGAAAAGTTTTGAATTAGTGACGTCTATTATACAACTGAAAAGTTTGTTTTAAATAATGTTTTTCGATGGGCGATAACGAAAAATTGTTGAAATGTTTCCGTTTGTTAGGATCGGTTAACATACAAAAGAAATGTTATGCATTGTCTGTGCACTATGACGTAAATAACGATCAAATGAAGTTTAGTAATACTTCCTAGGAGCTGTGTATCACGGCACCAAACACACAAAAGGAAACAACGTGGTTTGTTATTTATTATTTTTGGCACGTGTCCTTTCAGGCGGACTAAAAGTTGTACGGCCAATGATAACAGCATAGTCCCCTCCAACCTATCCTAAAATATCCATTATTTAAAACTACATCCTTTTCTCGAATAGGTTAAAAATTAATTATAGTATATAGTCTACTACCGTACTTATATAGCAGGAGGTCTGTACAACAAAAACTCCTTTTCGTTGTATCTTGGGGCATCGACCTTTACGAGAACATAGGTTGAAAATTAGTTGAACAATTCGTGATAAAAAAAAACCAACCCCATGTCAGCTCTATCAGAGTAATGCGTTTTTTGTAATTGGGTTACTCATACAAGTGCTGTGTAACTATCGATATGGTCATACCTTGTACACCATTGACATAAAATTGTAAGTTTTGGTTGGATACTAGCTGTTTTAATTTTACCGGACAAAGTCAACTTAGTTAACGATTATCCGATCGTCCGACATTACTTTTATAATGAAAGCTGTTAAATATTTTCAAATATGAATTCATAATAATGAACTATGTATATGTGCAGGTGCCTCCATCGAAAAACTATGCGAAGCCGTATTTGAAGATTCGATAAACGACCGAGCTGCAGTAATACGAGCTGCCCGATGCCTATTAAGTTCGGTTACCAGAGTTCTTCTGTTAGCTGACGTAGTTGTTGTCAAACAGTTAATTTTAGTCAAAGACAAGGTATTTACAAAGTACATCCATCCATTAAAATAAAACGTTCAAAATGTCTAAAAGGATATTTTTATGTAATCTTGCAATTAAAATCGGATTAATTTGTTGAGCAAAATAAATTATATTATTGTACACCGTTTAGATTTTGTTTATTTTGTTGAAAACTTTGGACATGTGTATCAAGTCCTCTGTCTCGAACTGACTTTTAACACCTATGTAAAATCCGCCTTAGTCCAGTAAACTAGTTAGACATTTCAAATAACTAAAGTATAATTAAATTATTTATTTAAGTGATTTTGATTACGAAAAATTGACACACTATATTAAAATAAGACAACACCCATTGCTGAGGAACATGACAGCGACCACATTTGATCACATTTCTTTTAATGGAGAGAGCATATACGAAGTCGATAGCCGAAGCAATTGTACGGAGTATACATTCGCAGGATTTTTCCAAAAAAATAAGTTTCTTACATTAGGTGGATAGCCCTATACACTTTCAGCACTCTGTTATATGTTCTCCGAAGTTGGACACTTCAGTGTGTTTTAAACAACACTTGAACGCTTCAATATACTCTTGTGTCGTTGTTTTTGAATTGGCTTGACATTCTTTCAGCTATAAATTTCCATAGTTATTTTTATTATTCAAAACAACCATTTTACACATATAACGCACATTCATATATAATTTGGGTGCTTTTAGAAAGTCAGGAGCTAGTTTATGATTTTTCTTTAAAATTACCTTATACATTTTTTTGCGTATGATGTAGCTTAGCAGACTAGATTATAGAAGTTTTAGGAGTTTAATAGAGGAACAGAGAGAGATGTTGGAGAAAAATTACTAGCAGAGATCTTGTTATACTCGGAGAAAAAATAATGTCTAGAGTAAATCACTAACGTATTTTAATCAGTTATTAAATCAGAAAGTGAGAAAAAGTGTGGCGAGGAGAATAAAATGTGCCATTCAGAGTGATATGAATATTGTATAAAACTGCAGTGAGACCAGCAACCTACCCAATATATTTATAAATGAGTATGCAATGATAGATTTCCACTATCCGAGATGGTCGTTTTCCCTACTAGTATTTGTGTTTTTATAGGTGTCGCGGAGTCTCGGTCGTTTGGAAGGTGTGAGCAATTTCACCGAGTTCGTCAAAGCGTTCAGCAACTTTGGCACTGAAATGGTGGAACTTGCCCATCTTACTGGAGAACGTCAAAACGACATGAAAGACGAACGGAGGCGCTCTCAAATGGCTGCTGCTAGACAAGTTCTGGAACGGTCTACCATGTTGTTGCTGACCTCGTCCAAAGTGTGTAGCCCACAGGCATACTTGACTACGCCTACGTCAATGGGTATTTTATTATTATTGCCGTTGTGTTTTCGCGCCTTTAGGCTTGTCTACGGCATCCGGACAGCTCGGAGGCTAGCCAAAACCGAGACACGGTCTTCTGCCAGATGCGCAGGGCTATGGATCTTATCCATTATGTAGTCAAAGACGGCGTGTGGGAAGGAGGTGGCGAGCCCGCATCCCTGACACCGTACATATCAGAGCAGGACGGTGGCGACACACTTGGCCACGCGCTCAACGTTCTGGACTCGTTCGTCGACATGACCAGGTATGCCAAAATATTATAATAACACTTATTAAAAATAAATTACATTTAAAAAAAAAACCAACACCGTGGGACCGGAGCACACTGGGATCGGAACGGTTCAAGCTTGGTGGCAATGGTTTGTTAGCCTAGGAATCTCTCCAATGGTGGGTGAATCAATTTTGGCCCTTAGATCCAGTTAAACCTAGTCGATATATTTTCACCGATATCTAGTAAGGTTAGTGCCTACCACAACTATCTACTTCCGGTATTTTACGCCTACTACAAATAAGCTATACTTCTGCAGTTGTAGTTTTAACAGTGGGCTTTATGGCCCACATTTAAAGCCGTGTAATAATTTAATGTAACATAGAAGTTGATGAATTATTTTTGTGTTTTTATCCCGGTAAACGATCCCGTGAGAAAAAAAAGGGTTTCGACAAAAAAAAATTTTCTAATTAAAACCAAAAAGTTTGTTTAAAACAAATATTTTGATTAATGCGTGTATCTGTCTTGAACTAAACTTTAAATGGAGTTCGTTATTTCGTGTTTTTTTTTTTTTTTCTATAAAGTTGAGGATTAGGTGTATCGTGTACATGACTAATTGCACTGTAATCTTTATCATTATAAAACCGAGTAAACGCTATTACAGAAAACTCCTATTAGAAATAATTAAGTATTAAATTGTACAACTGCGGTGTCTCTACGGCTGTAATTACAAATTAAGCTTTGGTTTTGGGTTGATTATATTTTATAATCCTTACTTTTGACGGCGAGTCGCGTATGACGGGGTTACCATTGTTGTAGTGAAGTTTAACTTTAAAATCACATTAAGCAAGTCACGTATAATATCATATCGTATTTTTTAAGCGTAAAAAAAAATGTCGTGAGTAAGTTCACTCTGAGTAAATGACTGTAGCGCTCCTTATCTTAATTATTTTTTTTTTCACATTATTATCTATTTCTTTACGACTCGTTGGTCTTTTAAGAATATATTTCGGCTCTATAAACTATAATAGTGGAAACGTACATTTTTCATGCAAATCTCTATTTATAAGGATACTGGACCTGTCAACCGGCGACGTATCGAGGTGTCATACTCGTGTGTTATAATAATATATACATATTACATATATATATATATATATATATATATATATATATATTTAATGTGCTAGCGGTGCACATTAAAAAACGATTTGCCCATATTACACACTGGTCTTGAAATTTTTTATTTTTACTGTCGTCATGTTCTTTCTCCGAGAATCGTTACCACCGTCGCCTTTAGTATGACCGGAAAGAGCTATTTGTTATTAAAGGAAAAAATTTAAGCAATATTTGTGTAAATTAGTGGGTCTATTGATTCTTGATCAAGTCGACTTATTTTTAAGTTCACTTGTTTGTATTAGCTGTAATTTTGTACATATGTATACATATTTTTTCATTGAGTTATAGCCATTTTGTTGGTGAAAATGACAACGGCATAGCGCTTCATAATATGGTGACATCTAAGAATGCTAGGGAAACATTGTTCATATGCTAACTCATTTAAAGGCGAACGAACTCGTGTTGTATTTAATTGAAATTTAATTTTGTATGGTCATTACAGTGCTCTTAATACAATACTGAATTTTATCATGTTCCTGTACAGGTTGACTCTAGTTCTGGGCGAAAAGGACACACTGCTACGAACCATGGACATGATCATGGAACGCACGCAAGACTTCACTGACAGCGCGTACACGAGACACGAACACCGGGAAAACATATTGACACTATGTGATCGAGTGAAAACTCATTTGGATCAACTAATCAGAGCTGGTGCCAGACTGGTAAGTGTCACGGGTTTTCAATTATTGTTTATTAACCAACCATTTGTAGGCGCCAGAACTCGACCATTTAATACTTTATCCATCAAATAAATAAACCGCATTTACAATTGACAGTGAAACTAGATTTGTACTTAGCAAAAGTACAAAATGTGACACGCGCGTATTGTTTAGTACCTCTAAAATAATGATTGAATAATCGGAATTATTATCATCGTTGTTAGAAGTTGGATTAAATACTACACGGGTAGACGTTTTAAGAAAAGCTTAACCTTACAAATTTTTGAAAATGCTAATTTTCTGTTCGGTTAAATTACTTAATATAATTTTAGTAATGATATTGCATTATGCGGTCTAATTGTTTTTAATATTAAGTCATTTTTGTAGAATACAAAAACATCAAACATGACCAAAAAATTAAAGTTACACCTATTTTGTATAGTACATCCTGTACGTTATAAATTATAATACTAGAAGTGATATATAACTAACATTGCATAATTAGTATAGTAACTGTCAAAGATAAATAGCTGAGGAAAAAATCAGAACTACTACAATTGTTTAGTATTCAGACGTTTATCGAGAATTGAACTAAAATTAATTATCGTGTTTCTTAACACTACACCTAACAGAAACACCATACTATTATTACTTGATGAAACTCATAGCACTTATACATGTATTTAATTAATTAAGCTAACAAAATTATTCGAAAATAATTATTAAAACGTTTGTAACCCACGCATCATTTAATATACATTTGGAATTTATAAACAACTTAGAAGTAAGTGGAATTCTAATAAAACAAATTCTTGTCACCAGAATAATTGTCGAAAAACACATTAAAAAGTATGTTTTAGTAAAGAGGAATGACTTAACGGCTATTAAGCTAAATTTTCTCTAAAATAATAAACAATAAAAAAAGGGTTGGACTAATTGCTGCTTAGCTCGCAAGTTTTTTATTTTTTAATAGCTTTTGAATATTTAAGATATTTTGGCTTTTCCAAGTCTCCTTAGTTAATTAATATGTTTTTCAAGTTCATATGTATTGTCTAAAAAACACAATATTAAGTATTGCACAACAAACATTTAGAACTGTTAGTTTTATTAAAAATTACATTTACACATTTTTTTTTTTGTGAAATGTGTTTATAATCAACTACTTTCGACCATATTTAACAATCAGACAATTATCATTAGAGTACAAGCTTTCGTGGCAATTAAATAAGTTAATTATAAGGAATGGTGATAGTAACTGTGTGGTCTAGAAACGGAAGTAATGACCGTGGAAGAATGTGCAGACGAAATTTGCGGGACTAGAAGTCAGTACTCAGTATATATATTGTATTATATTATTGTATTATGTTATTACAGTAAGTAAAACACCATTTGCTAACAACCCAACCTTATTTTTGCTGATTTCGTATTAACTTCAATATTTAAATTTGCCTATATTAATTATTTTTTTATTTATTAAAGACGTGATTATAAATCTAAAAAAAGAAAAAAGTGAAACATAATTTTTGATAAAAATATTTGAAAATAGTTTGGGGTAGTAACTGCATTTATGCCGGTTTTCTAAAAATAATAATACATTTTTTTTTACCCATTTTTTACCAATTTGCAGAGGTTTGGTATAAAAATTGTTCAAAAACTGATGCGTACAACACATATTAACATTTTATTGTTAGGTACTCCGGATAAGATGCACCGGACATATAGTTTGTTTTGTCGACTGCAATTAACTCGGCGATAAATTAGTTCTATATCGTATCAGTGTATACTAGGTATTATGATTTTAATCTGTTAAACGATTTGAACGATTAAAAGTAGCAGCTATAGGTGGTTTAAGTACTGTTTGTTGTTCATTAATCAAAAAACAAACCGCGTTTGTGTGGCCCGATTATAAATCGATAAACGCCGTCCTTGTAAACATTATGCGTATACGGAACTCGGTCGGTATACAGAACTGTTGTATATACAGGATTATACAACAGGATACTATATATATATATATATATATATATATATATATATATATATATATGTGTATTAATATGTTTAGCGAACACTCACACAAATGCATCATCATCAATTATACGACTTTGTGTGTGTGTGTGGAGGTACGCACACGATTCATTTTCCTTTGGCAAATGTCTTTGGCTATATATTAATACCGTTGAATTCGTCTCTGTCAAAAAGTCATAGTTTACCGTCGAAAAACCGCCGCCTAATTTTGATTCCGGTGTAATTTTTTACTAAACCTTTCAATTTTTGTTGTCTACGTCAGCCGTCTCTTTTTTCTTAAAGGTCAACGTAACGCCCTTTATTGTGTTGACATATAACGTAAAACACAGTAATATATTATATTAACACACACATATATATGTATATATACATATTGATTGGAGGGGGGGGGTTCTTAGTATGGGTGGAGAATTTTTATGTTGGAGACCTGTAGCACGGGTTTCAAGGAGTAAACAAAAAATACTCTCATTCTTTGATTTTTTATTAAATTTCATTCGTGTCCCTTTTTTAGCAAAATTATGACATAAATGTAGTTATGACTGCAAAAAATGTTGTCCAATAATGTTTTCTTTATAATGGTAGTTTTTTTATATTAAAAACCATAGTGAATTCTGGTTTCATTACCCAATTTTTAAAAAAAATTAAAGTAATGCAAAAAAAATAAATCTACGATAAACTCAATGATTATTTATTATAATTTGAAACTATGAAGAAGTGTTAAAATAGTTGCATTTCTAAAAATGTTATTCTTTAAAATTAAATTTTAAACGTGACGTGTAGTAATTTTTCACTGTTTACAAAAATAATTTTAGATTATTATAATTAGAACAGTTTTTAATACATCATTACTAGTATTTAACGGACAATCTAAAAAATAACCTAAGAACAATAAGTTCTTAATATAACTAATTTTAGTTTTTTAGGTATAGCACATAGGTTAAAAAGTTTGTACTATTAAGAAGCCGAACCTTGTTGATAAAACGAACATAGCTGTTATTTGATTTTCAGGAGAGGTTAAAAGTGAACAGACAGTATATGATAAGTATTGTATCTGAGTTTGAAAGAATATTGAGATTGGGGGATCCTTTTATGAAACCAGGGTACAGTTATGTAACAGTATAATATTTGTGTGTAAAATATAAAAATAAAATAACAACTATTAGTAATTTATTCTTGACGTCGTTGTATATTATATTTACAAGCATGTAGCGATTTTGATCCAATACCCAACGGGCAGTGGTAATGTACTTGTGTGTCCAAGCAGCAAGCTAATGTACATTTTATCATTAGCTCACCTTTCAAAAGATCAAACATATGTACCATACAGACACAGGCCCCAGTCCTTTGAAAAATTAAGTTACCAGTGCATGCATTCCCATACGTGGTATTTATATTATAATATTATACTCTACTATCAGTTGTACCAACACAACTAACTACCACAAACCGAAAATCGTCGATGACCCGAACACTTTCATTCGGACGTTGTAGCAAACGAATAATTTATTAAGACTCCCGTTGTAAATAAATAATAGCAAATCGTTCGGTAAAAAAACAACCGTCGTAAAAATGAATTTAATATATATTTATCTTGAAGAAAAAGTTTTTAACAGGGCTGGTCTTTCTGAAGCAAATTTAAGTAAGAGTAATCGTGTAAACGTTTTGAAGCTATAAAACTGTTTATGTCCGACAATGTGACCTAACCGTAAAATTCATGGATCGAAAAACAAATAGAATAGCGTTATGCAAGTACAGTTTAGTTAAAAAGTTTGTTACTTTTTTATGTTACGACAGAATAACATTATGTTAACAACATCCCGAGAAAATATAAACTACCCATGTAGTCAAAAGCTCTTTTACATAATTATATATATATATATATATATATATATATATATATATATATATATTTATTAAATACTCCATCATAAATAATTTAGATTATAAGCCAAGAAAAGTTTAAATACTATATAATATTATTGTTATTGTTACGATTATGTCTCGTGTTTCTAAAGAATCTTTTCGATTTATTAACTCGTTAAACTTTACTGTGGTTGTAGGAATTTATTGTGAATTAAAGACTTTGCTTCCCCAAACAGAAATGTGTGGTTTCCTCGAAAGTTTGTTTTTTGGATCTTAGGATGTTGGTATGGGAGTTAGACCATAATGTATGTATACTTATTGAAAATACAACAATTTAGCATTCTGTAGGCGTAATTTTGTCTGGATTTTAGGTCTAAATTGGTTCCTTGTAAGAACAAAATGGTCATTACTCATAGAAAGATTTGTGTAATTTAAAAATCATACCCTGAACCTTTTAAAATTTAACTAGAAAATAAATTGACATGGTCAAAATGTATTAAAACAACTTTTTCTCTAAATATTGCCTATATAAAACCTGTTAAAAACCTCCGCTTTCAATTCCCTTAAGTAAACGTGTATTAATATAAAAGGGATTCTCTCGGGCCTTCTGAGTTGAAAACATGCTAATTGTGTTCAAATGTTAAGGTTTGACGCGGAAAAATAACAGTTAAAAATAATAATCGCTAAATGTAGTTGAAAAAAATTTAAATAAAAGCGAAACCTTAAAAAAAATGTAATTTATTTTCTCTCGGCGTGTAATTGGATGACTATTGGTAGTAGCCATGAATAACGGACGAAACCCTTACAATGTATTTGCCATCTATTAAACCGGAATGGCTTATATGTATTGGTTTAAATTAAAAAAAAAAAAATGTATATTAAGCAACAAATGTCTAATATATAATTAATACTGTATTGCGAAAATAATTTGGTTTTAATTCCGAATTGACTGAAAAAAACTGGGTTTAAAACAAAAAAATGTCAATCTATTGCAAATAACCTGCGCTAATTTATACAATACTAATTTATTATTGCCTGCTACGCGCTGTTACAGGAACAATGTGACGAGTATTCGCCGACCAAGTCGCTGGAAGTGGCCGTTAATCAGTGTTTGGACGCTACCAAGGAGCTCAGGGCCCAACTCATAGCCACGTGCAAAGAACAATCCCACGACCTTCCACTGATAATCAGAACGGGATACGATCTTGTCACGTGCATACAAACTACGTCGGTGGACGGTGACGTGGACGGTCTCAACAAATATGGCGATCAGTTTATCGAAGTGGTCGATCAAATAGGAGAAGTACGCGGTTTATTCGATCGACAACACTACTATTATTATTATTACTGGTTTATTTTTATTTCGGTAGATATGTAAAGTATTAAGGCACATAGCAAATTCCGAAGCCATTCAGGTGTCGGCCAAACACGCTGAAATTAATTTAAGGGTGTACGCCCCTCAAATCGTTACTGCCGCTCAAGCGTTGGCTCGATATCCCTGTTCCAATATAGTCAAGGAAAACCTCGAAGGTTAGAGTTTATTCGATTGGTAGTATGTGTTTTTTTTAACAAAGTTATTATTTTTCACAGTGTTTGCGAACATGTGGCAGGCCTTAACCGAAGACGTTTCTTCGGTGTGTAAAGACATCATGGAAAAACAACTTCCAGAAAAACAAATGTACATGTCCCTTCCGAGGCCAGGTGTAAGTATTACTGTCAGCATAATATTTCCGGTCGTGCAATTTAAAGTTGTCCACCGAATATCAAATAAATGACTAAATGTGTCTTTGTTCTATGCAGAAACACGGTACTACGACTAAGCCTTTGAAATCCGTCAGATTAGACTTGTCTGTAAGTAATGTTCATCATAATATTATGTGTACAAAAACTAGTTTATATATATATATATATGTATATTTGTTAATATTAAATAATAACCTGAATAATCATTCCTCGAAAAAAAAAACCCAGAAGTATTGCCGCTAAAGAACTGGCCTTTAAAAAAACGATTCCCACGAAATTGGTACCATAGACGAAATATTATCTAGCTAACCATTTCTGCTAAGAAATTAATTTTAATAGTACTTAAAAATAAAATTTCAAGTACAACAACAACTTTTAAAAATAGTATAATAATAATTAAAAATTAATTACTATTATCTAAGACTTAAGTTATAATGAGTGTAAGAATAAATCGAGAAAATTAATCAAAGTTGGCAAAAATTTTCTTTAACAAAAATACCCAGCTGATTTATTTTGTTTATATCCTACAAATGTCTGGTATTTAGCGTTGATGTAAACCCAAAAAAACTCAGTTGGGTTAGGCCTATATTTTTGAAATGTTCTATTTTCTCCCTAAGGACTACAGACGTGATTTTAAACAAAAAATAGCCCCATTCAGTTAAATGAATTGTCTAATGCAAATAGGATTAAAAGTTGTTAATTTATTGTTATTTTCTAGGTTTTGGGTAGTAGTTTTATTAAAGTTTTGTGCAATAATGTATATTACACAAAGAAGCGTTCGGCCAGATCACAGATGGCACCATCTCGTTTCTTTGTTTCATGTACCACACGAATAAATAAAAGTTTTATGTAAAAAGTCCCAAGGTTTTATGACTTTTGCAATTTCGTTTAACATAAGTTGAACTTTTTGCACGGTGGTTAAAATTCGGACTTGTTACAGCCTACTACTGATGCGCACCCGTATTGGCCAATTATAATACTCTAATTTAATATGCTATAATACTCGTGTATATATATAGAACTTAAAATAAATAATTATGTCCGGGGATATATTATTCAGTGAATCGTATCAGTTTTGTTTGTGATTTCAATTGTAATTGTTCTGTTTATATCGATTTAATAGCTTATTTTTATTGCAGGAACAAAACCAGATAGCCAAAGCTGGTTTGGAAATGAAATTAGCGTCCAGCGAGGTGGAAGCAGAGGCGGACAGGTGGGGCGCCGGGGAAGAAGAAGAAGAAGGTGCTAATGAAGAAGGCGCATGCTTGGACGAACGAGGCAACGCGTCCAAAGCACACGAAGACAACGACATTGTGCGCAGGGCAAAAAATATGTCTGGCATGGCGCTAAGCATGTACGAGTTTACCAAAGGTGATGGCGGTTCTTCGTTGAGGACTACTCAAGATTTGTTTACGCAGGCTGAATATTTGGCAGAAGAAGCTAACCGACTGTACAAATTGGTCAGACAGTTTTCATATCAGGTACACAAGTCATCAGTAATATTGATAGAAATCATGATGAAAATCCTAAAAAAAAAAAATACACAGTAATAGGCTAAGGGGAAATGGATTTATGGAAAGGAAGGTAGTGTAAGGCAAAAAAACCAACTCGGTGATATTCGAATAGCCGATGTATCCAACATGTCAGAAATTATAGCGAAAATCAAGTTAATCATCCATTTAGACTAACGTTGTGACGGAGATCCATCATACCTACTTGTAAAAATTACTAGTGTGTTCTAACTCTTTGGCCACTCTTTAATTACCTCACCTTGTCAGTGTATATAATGTCTATAGTTGGCTGTATCGTAAAAGAAAATATTTACTTATGTTTTTTGAGTCTCAGTCTCTGGTTTCAATGACAATTTTAAAACTAAATGACTTAATTACAAACACTAATTACTGTAAGTATTAACTTATCGACATCAGATTTGTAAGGCTTTTTATTTGTAAATTAACGTTATTTTAGTAATACCTTTGCGGGTCTGAACCTCTATACTTTTTATAATGCAATAACCTTGGTTTCACTCTAAAGTCTGAAAAGCCGGCCGGTGGAATAATGCCACTGCGTTTTATACATTTTAAAAAGGTGTAAAACGATAAATTAATTTCTGATGAAACATGCCAGGACCCGTTGGCTTAAAAAGCACCGTCGTTAATTTATGTTGAGCTTCGATGCGGAGCTGAGAAATAATTGGTTTTACATTGTTATGTGTCTAACCTCCATCAATAACGTTTTAACAATTGGACAGATTTTTTTCTTTACATAGACTCATGTCTATAGTTCAGAAACTGTACACCACAGTTACTACATATTAGCCCAAAACTTAACTCCTTCTCCTTAAATATAAACATTCATTTCAATTTGCCTAAATAAACCTGAGCAACACTTTTGGTTTGGTATATAGTAAAGACATAAGACAATGAAATATTAAGAAAAACCTTCCCCACAAAAAATAATAGCGTACACACTAATATATATTATTTTTTGTGGTGAATGTTTTTTTTAAATAAATATTTTATTTCTTAATTTCAAACATCGTTAACTATTTTCTAAGAAGGATGGAAAATTTTTTTTTTAATGAGGTATAGAAGGGTTATTTTTTTATTAGACTAAAGGTAGATGTATAGTGTGTACCTATAGGTAATGAGACAAATTTTTACCATCTATGGTCAAACTTTAAAACCAGATTTTTTTATAAAATTTCAGGTGCCCATGGGCGCAAACAAAAAAGAACTTCTAGAACAATTGGATCAAGTGCCAACATACGTTCAGCAGTTGCAGTTCACCGTGAAAATGCCCACCGTAGGCAAATCGGCCACGTTTACCAAAGTGGACAGTGTTATTAACGAAACTAAAACGCTTATGAATGTCATATCAAAAGTCGTTACCACTTGCTTTGTCTGTGCTACAAAAGTGAGTTGTTGGATTTAGGGCCGCGTTTGGCGATAGGAGTAAAGTGGGACAGTTGCAAACATTTAACTCATTTACGCGTCGGCACATTTTAATTAAAACTCCAATTCCAAATGGTACAATAATCAATTAGGGATTATAAAAAAATATGATCGATAAAAAAAAAATAAAAATGACCCACACACACACGCTCAGAGCAAGAATTGACAACATATCTTGTTTTTAGCGTCACCCCTCCCTCTTTTGATCCCCCCCGATGGGCGCCAATTCCTCTAAACTCCCTTAATCTCTGGTCCCGTTCAGAGTTTTTTAACCGATGATTGTTATTCTTGTTTTCATAGTACAACCTGGACTTCCAAGGACTGTCGGCCAGAACCGGTGGATACGGAGACCGAGGTGAAGACGGCAGTGGTGCTGGGTCCGGTGGCGAAGGCGGCAAAATGAGTGGAGGATCAGGCTCGGATGGGTCCATGTGACAGTTTGGGATGGGGCGGAGGAGCAAAGGAGACGGCCGTCGCACTCGCGTGTCGTTCCTGCTTTTCTAAGCCCGTGCTTTAGCGGAAGGCACAAAACTCCAAACAAAAAAAAACACTGTCCTCGACGGCGGCTAGCCCCGGCGCGAACCGGCCTTCGTGTGTTTTTATATATATATATATACAGCCCAGGAAACTTGACCATTTCCAAATTGTCTACTCAAGTTACCGGATAGTTCTCGCTCAACCATATATTATGTATACCTAAGTAATAATAATAATGTAAACAATGTTTTAATAATCGGTTAATTTTTTTTATAAACAGCAATCACACAATCTTAGGAACGACTTTTTGGAAGCACGCTCGGCATAATTATTTTTACTATAGGTACCTACTTACGTTATTATTTCTCATAGCTCGCGGCCTCTTATCATTTACTTATAATTTAACAGCGATAAATCGCTAATGTTTTTAAAAAAAAATGTTCGAAAAGTTGGCTGCAACATTTGATAACGTCGGCAAATTCGGCATTTTCATCTTTTGGCAACACTGCTGCTAAATATTGCAAGTGCTCGTATTGTAAGTATACCAACATTATACACAGTAATATGCAAAAAATAAGAATTGATTAACTATTATTATTTTATAATTTATTAAAGCTATTTTTAAAAAAATAGGACAATAATGTGCTTTGGAGACGACACACGCATAAAAAGACAATACTTTTCTACAATTGGCTGTTTTATTTTGAGAGCATAATAATATTACAAATTTGGATTAGCCTTTTCTCTTTGATCGAGCGTTGTTGAAAATTTTATTTATATTTAATCGAACTAAACTTAAGTACAATCTTAAGCTTACACACATAGACAATCACACGTTGACGATATCGAGTAGGATTTTTTTTTTGTTTTCGAATGGAACATAATTATCAATATGTCATGTGCATTTTTCGTATACACAAGCGGTTTATATTATTTTTTTTTTTACCATGTTAAAATCATTGTCAATGTGTACTGAATGTTTAGATTCATATTCATCTGTCGTTCGCATGTTAATGGAATCTCTTGATTGGTTTTGATTTGAATTTTGATATAATTATTGTACATAAATGACAATTATATCATGTCTATGTACCGCTTAGCTGTGTTGTCTATACACGGTTTTTTTTTCAAACACCTTTTGCTATTCATCACCCGTACATTAACAGCTATTCACAATTTTGGCTTTAATAAAATAGGCACATAAAGCTAAACAAATTTAAATGAATCTATAATTCGTATATTATTAAGACATCACATAAAGCGTTCGTCTTCCACAAAATATTATCTCAGAGTTTCAAATAGAACGATCTACATGTTATTATTGTCTTCCCCTAGTTGTGTTCCATTGTCCTAATAAAAATTAACTTCCGGCGTGTTTTAGCGATTAACAAAAGTTTTGTTGTATTTTTTTTCATTTTTAACGCGAACGTTTCCAAGTGATCGACAGCGTGTCTCTGTAATGCCAAATTTTAAATGATTCTCAATTATTGTGTTGTTGTATTTTGTTGAATATTGAGTAACATTGAAATTTTACACGTTACACGAAATTAAACTGTGCCAAATATTTATCCGATCAGTTTTATTTGAAATTATTTTGTTAATATTTTCCAAAAGAAAATAGTATCCAACAAGGAAAATAAAAAAAACACAAACAAATACTATTTAGTAGTTTTTATGTTGTACTTAACGGGCTGCTCTCCAACTGACGTCCAGTCAAATCGTATATATAAATTATATATGTTTTAAACGAATTACTTAAAATTAGTTATGTATTAATAAAAAAAAAAATGTGTATATATTATTATTATAAATGTAACTGTATATTTATGTTATTATATCTCTCAATAATCCATGTTATTGTTTTTGTTGAAAACATTACAGCGAAATTGACGCAGTAATAATAGTTTAATACATTCAATTAGTTTGTAGGTTGTTGTTCAGAACGAGTAAATTTTTTTAATAATCCAAATATTATTTTTAATTTTTAATAATAGATATTGTTTGATATCACATTACATAATAATCTATACAAATTAACCCATAGTTATAAAAAAAAACCTTGATAGAGCATCAGAAAGCATAACATACTGAAATTATAATTGGTTTTTTATATTTTTAATTGTGCGATATTTAATTGCATAATAATATTTTGTTCAGCTGTTTCGAAAAAAAAAAAACATAGCCAAAAAGCAATTTAATTGTTATTATCTCTCTCTCGTCAGATAAAGTTTGGTAATTATTTTTTAATTTTTAAGTACAGGTACTAAATCGCGATAAAAGGTCATAATGTTATTCATTTATGTGTTTAACAAAAATAGACATCGACTTTTGAGGTCAAACATTTTATATTTATTTCGCCGATAAACGTCAAATTTCTTTTTTAACATAAAACGATTCAAATTTGTTTTTATATATTTATTTATGTATCATAAGAATAAAATATATTTTGAACGTTAAATTGCTTAAGAATATATTTTTGTTTGATTTATAAAAAAAAAAAATGTTTTGCTATTAATGCCACATAATATTATGTATGTATTACCTATTGTGGAAGAGAGTCATAATTTAAGTATTCCCAGTTGACAACAAAGTAAAGTTTTAAAATAATTTTCAGTATTTTATAAGTTTTTTTTTGGTCATAAAAATTGAATTCCATCAAAAATGATATGTTATTACTGTTAATAGATTTACACTATTTAAATAAATATACATTTGGTAAACAACATTTGCAAGACATTATATTTCTGACCAAAAAATGATTAAAAAATATTAAAAATTGTTTTCAAAATATTTTGATATTTTTTCCAACTGGGTTGTATGTAAGACCGAAATGATTGAATTTAATTTTTGTCTTCATACAAAACCAAAGAAAATAGTAGTAAACGCATAATAATGGTGGTCCTTACTTGGCGTTGGATAGCTGTCATTCGGTTTCAGATGTTGAACAAATATTTCCCTAAATTTTTCTGATTTTTATTTAGTCCTCAGCTATGTTTCCCTGATATTGTTCTTTAAGTTTTTATTAAAAATAGACAAATATACGAATGTGCATAGGTTTTCAATTGAGTGTACAACTAGGATAATTCTCAGCAATGCGATTATCAAGTTTTTATTTGTACTTGGTTTTTATATCAGATTGTTCTGATAGTAAGCTTAATTTGAACCTGTGTAAAATTGTATATTTTTTCTACATAGTAATAAATATGACGTATAAACACAAAAGATCTGAACAATTTAGAGACATTTTGTTTAAACATTTTGACCCAAATAATAGGTATCTAACTTATAATTCCACAATAAACCATAACGACCCTCTTCTATCCCTATATGTATCAAATACATGTACGTTGTATTTATAATCAACCGTTTTTCCAACTAATACGTTTTATAAGTGCGCTTAATTTTTATGTTATGATTAAATAATATTTTGCTATATACATTTTTGTACACCAAATTAAGTAAACTGTGAAACAACTTTAAGCTGCATTGAAAATGTATATCATGCACAATAGTTAATATTTAAATGTCCGACAATCTTACTGGTCAATAATGATATAATAACTTTTTGATTATAATATTAAGTGTTTTATTATTATTATTTATTTTTTTTATTAATATTATTATTATCATCATCATTATCATTGTTACGAATCTTTTCAAATAAAATATATTGTAAACGTTATAAAATATGGATTGTACCTTGTTTATTAGGAAAAATGTTTGTTTTTACATTTAGGTCTACAAAAAATCAACTTATTTTTTTATCACCGTTAGAATGCGAAAATAACCTTTTGATGGTATTTATGGTAACCGTCACGCTGCTAAATATTATTAATACAACAAAAAATATTATGTTGTTAAAATGTCAAAACTTATTTAACAAACTGTGTATAATATTAAATATAATATATAATATTTTTTAGGAATTAAACTAAAATATATACTTTTATCGTTAACATTTTGGGTATCGTTTTAAAACGTTGGTGATTTCATTTTTTTATCAATAATAATTACTGGAAAAATTGTTATAGAATGAGTTTTTGTCCGAATAACGTTTTTTGACTTTGTATTTCGTCGTTTTTTCGAATTGTTTTTTTATATGCATGTAAAAAATTATATTTGTAATTGTTTAATTGTACATTATCGTTATGAAACACTTGAATTATAAATAAAATAATTAATAAAAATCACAGTCATTATTTATTTTATTTCAATTGAAATACAAACATTTTTTAATTGTTTGTTGAATTTTTGAAATTTCTAGTTTAGACATTTCAAATGCGTTTTAAATTAAATTTACAAAACCTATATTTGTTTTTATTATACTTGTATATACTTTAGGTCAATTTAAGAAAACCAGTTAATGCATAGAAACAAATAACAAAATATATAATATGTAGGTTTTCATTATAATAATAATAATAATATGTTGTTAATATAAAATAACATAGTGATGATGGCAAAACAATAATGTAATGTTTATTGAATCAAATATTCGATAAGTATCACAGATATAAAAGTTTTAAAAATAAAATAAATATTAAAAAACGATTTGAAATTTAATTTTTTTGTATTTATTGTCGTAATAAGGTTGGTATATTCAACAAATATTTTTTTTAATACTACATAATATTATAACAATCAACTAAATTTGGTCTAAAGACTTTGAACCACATTGTCATTTACCTATTTTTTTTATATATAATTGTAAGTGTATTAGTTTTATAGATTAATTTTTATTGCGTTAACAACTTTACACAATATTGTCTATACTAATTAAAGGATTGAGTCAAGGAGGGCCAGTATCACTTTTCGTAGCTACCGCAAATAAACTTAATATCTTTAAAACTTTTTCAACTTTTATAGTAAGTGTCCTTTTTTTTTTACAAAACATAAGGATAAACTTAATTTTGTTTGATCAAACTCATTTAGGTAAAATGTGACAATAGACCTTCTTGACCCAAGCGACAAAGTATATATAATATGCATGTGTTAATAATATAATTTGATCAAGTTCAAAAGTACATGTTTATTTTATCACTTATAACTAATATTAATGTTGATATAACATTTTTTTTTGAAGTTACAAAAGTTTATTGATATGAACAGTTTAAATAAAACCTAAAACAAATTATAAAATTAAAGTCGTTTGAATATATTTAACGTAAGTAATCTGTAACATATATATATTTTTTAATTTAAAAGTAAAAACACTTAAGGTTTGAGGGAAAAATAATAGTATAGAATATATAGGATAGCCCAAGTTGTACGTTTTAAAATATAAAAATATACATAGCACTATAAGAGTAATATAACAGTATAAATGGGTCGATAAAAATGTATGTATATTATAATAGTTAAATTTTATATAGTAATTTAGTAAAATACAATAATGTGTTTTATTCCATTTCTCGTTGTCGTAATCGTCGAGTACAAATGTATTGTTGATTCGTAAAACTGAAACATTACAACAAAATAGTAAGCATTTAATATAAACATATTTTATTTATTAGGTAGGTATTGAGCTTGCAATTCATAAATCCACTTTGGTAACACAACCTAACCTAACCGGGGTCTATGTGATCATCTCAAAACGGTCATACTGATAGATAATATATATGTATCTTAATATATAATATAATATATGTATATGTATTTTTTTAAATAAAATAACAGATTTATCCTGTATAACCATCATCTCATAATGGCAGCGTTAGGCCTTCTTAAAACTACAAAACATAGTAATATGTTTTTATCCTAATAAATGATTGTGATAGCCTGACAAAAAAATGACAATCATTAAAGAATCCTTATTGCTGTATTCATAAGTATACAATATATTTCAAGATCTAAATAAACATTTTGCAAAAAATTGCCTATACTTTACTCTTAGAAATGGGCGGTGTAGTGTCCTTTTAATAATGAACTTTTTAAACAGTTCTCGCTTTTTCAATATGAATATGCTAAAAATTCGGATAGAAAATTTTTTTTCTTCAATCTATACTATGACCACTTAAATAGTTTATAAAAAGTTTTAAATTTAGAGTTATTCACAAAATTTGTGTTTACACTTAACTTAGCGTAGTCGTGAAATTAAAAAAAAATCTTCGCGAAAGTGTAGCATAAGTTTTCTGTTATTTTAGCTTTCTGTTGTACTATGTTTAAATGATAAGTATGTTTAAAGATGTCTAAAGGTTATCATTATATGATAACCTTTGTTTTTGCACAAAAACGGATAATTTTAAAAGCATTATCTATTTTCAATTGGGATAATTTAATATTTTTAATTCAACAATATGCATAGGGTAATTGTAAGAGTACTTACAATATTCATTTACGATCTCCGTCTGTATCGGTTGTGTGTTTGTAGAACTTATGGGTTTTCGTGTCCCTAGTGTGCCTAAACGGAGCCTGGTTTCTTTCGATTAACGGAACGGGACACGGTCCCGTCACCCTCGGCTTGTATTCGTTCTTGTAATGGCTTGTGCTCGACTCCATTGATGAATCGCCCAATGTTATATGAGACCTATTCGATGATCTGGTAACCCGCTCATGTCTGTGCAAAGAACTAAGACTGTTTCGGTTGTCCTGGGCAACTGCTACCAAGCCAGAATCCAACGTGTTGATGCTTTTTCTTTGTGCAGCAGCGGCTGTTGAAGTCGTATGCGGCGCTTCGACGTGTGTTACGTCACCTTTGCGGTGAAAAATCTTATTGCTTAAATCGGTATTGGAACTGATGACCGACTTGCGGTGATGTGATTCGTCGTTGTAATTTCTACGGTCCGTGGCTACAGAATCAAGATTCAGTACGTTCGAGCTAGTGCTGTGTAACGATTTCCTATATGTAGCCGTAGAGTAACTCTTTACTTCGTATGCTCGCTTCGAGGTGTTTTCAGATTTTTGTTGAGACGAATGCATTTCGAAATTATTGGAACCGGTGTCCATGTGACTTTGCCTTTGATCGTTCTTGCTGAACAGTTCATTCGTTTTTGACGATCGGCTATCTCTTGAACTGGATTCGTGTACGTTGCTTCTGCCGTGGATAACTTGACTGTTTGTTTGACTTTGGCTACCACCGAACCTATCATTTTTGTTAAGTAGCTCATTAGTTCTTGATGATTGATTATCTCTTAAACTCGATTCATACGTCTTGCTTCCACTACTTGTAAGCTGCCCGCTTGTTTCAGCTTTCGCCGTGTACTGATTGTATTGGCTCGTTGATGACTGGTTTGAACTCTTCTGTATAGACGAAGTATTCCGGTTAGCGTGTTGAGACTTTGTATCAGATATACCGATAACAAAACTTTCAGGGCGACGAACTTGATCTTTACTTATGGAAGAAGATGTTTGTGAAGACGATACACGACCGTTACTTTCTATACGACCACTTGTATTTTGATGGCTGGACTGGTTAGTGGACGAGTTTGACATTTGGTATTTATTATTGCCAAATAGGTTATGAGATGCATACTGCGTACTACTTTGGTTCGAATTATTCGGCCGAAGTGAGGAGTAGTCCTCATTTCTGGAAGAGGACGAGATATTTTCATTCGATGATCTTGACGTCCGATTATAATTATGAAGGTGTTGCGATGACTTATGGAGATTCTGATCATACTGGTGACTTATGTTATCATCGGCATATCTTTGATCTCCTATTTTGTGAAGGTGCTGTCTTGAAGAAGACATCTGCCTAGATGAATTTAAATTAGTAACTGAACTTTGTAAGTAATCTCTTTTTTGTACAGTTTCCCATTTTTTTCTTTCGACTTTTCCGACGTGTTCTTCAGATTTTAAACTCTTTCTAAAAGTCTCATCTGAAGATTGCTTTGTTGCAAGTTCATTTAAATTACGACTGTTTTGAATATTTTCACTACTGGCGTGCAAATGACCTTGTTGAGCTACTCGGTTTTCGGATAAATTTCGTTCATCACAGTTTAGAGAAATCTGAGATTCTATATGGGCCCTACTGTTTATAATGCTATGTTGCTGTTTATGTACAGAAGTTTGAGATACTGCATTAGTATTAGTAGTGTGAACTTGTTGATGTTGAACAACTCCACTATCAATTTTATTTTGTTCAGAATGGTTGTAGTTAACACCATAATGCATTTCACCTTCCAATTTTAAATTATCAGCATGTTTTCTGATAACTGCTTGTTCCACTTTGCGGACTGTAAACAGTTTTTCTCGTTTTTCGAACTCTCCTTCCATACGTAAATTGTCTTGTGGTTTCTTTCCCTGAACACGTTCACTGACGTTCACTTTTTGTACAACCCGTTTTTCAAAGTCACCCTCTGGTCTTAAATTATCAGGATGCCGAACTTGTTGAGGCCGCTCTGCTGGTTTATACTGACTTGTAGTAGGCCTATCAAATTCCCCTTCTGGCTTCAGATTATCTGTAGGCTTAACTATAGGAGCTCGGTCACCAGGGCCAACCTTTTGAGGAACTCTTTTTTCGAATTCTCCTTCTGGTCTTAAATTATCGGGATGTCTAACTTGATGAGGCCGCTCCCCAGGACTATATTGATCTGGAGAAGGTCTTTCAAATTTACCTTCTGGCCTAAGGTTGTCTTTAGGCCTAACCACAGAAGCACGATCGCCAGAACCGACCTTATGATGAACTCTTTTTTCAAAATCACCTTCCAGTCTTAAATTGTCAGGATGTCTAATTTGTTGGGGACGTTCACCATGTCTGTAAAGATCGGGTGATGGCCTTTCAAATTTGCCTTCTGGTTTAAGATTATCTCTTGGCTTAACAACTGGAGCTCGATCTCCAGGTCCAACTTTATGAGGGATTCTTTTTTCAAAATCACCTTCTGGTTTTAAATTATCAGGATGCCGAACTTGTTGAGGACGCTCGGCCGGCATGTAATAACCCGGAGAAGGCCTTTCAAATGCTCCCTCAGGTTTAAGATTATCTATAGGCCTAACTATAGGCGCTCGGTCACCGGGTCCAACATTTTGAGGAACCCTTTTTTCGAAATCCCCTTCTGGTTTCAAATTATCAGGATGTCTAACTTGCTGAGGTCTCTCTCCAGGCATATATAGATCTGGAGTAGGTCTTTCAAATTTACCTTCTGGTTTAAGATTGTCTATAGGCTTTTTCATTGGAGCTCGATCACCTGGTCCGGTTTTTTGAAGCACCCTTTTTTCAAATACACCTTCAAGTTTAAGATTGTCTTCATGTTTAACAATCGAAGATACTTTTTTAACATCATGTTTAATAAAATCGTTTCTAGATCTCATATCTACAAATTCTCCTTCAATTTTAAGATTATCAACATGTCGCACCACTTCAGATCGTACGCCTTTTGAAGCAGAAAAATCAGTTCTTCTGTGTGTATCAATAAACTCACCTTCCATTCTTAAATTATCTTCTCTTTTAATTATTTCAGACCGTGCCACGGTTTTTGCCACATAATCATCTTTCTTCAAAAAATGATGTTCTCCAGTCATTTTTAAATTGTCTTCGTGAACATGAACTACAGCTCTCTCCCCAACAGATACCTCCGATTTATTTTTTAAGTAAGAAGTATCTAACTTGCCTTCAGATTTAAGATTATCTTTTGGTTTAACAATTGGTGCCCTGTCACCAGGACCGACCAAGTGAGGTACGCGTTTTTCAAAGTCTCCTTCAGGTTTTAGGTTGTCTTTGGGTATAACTTGTTTAGGACGTTCTGCAGGAGTAAATGTCTGATGTAATGGTCTTTCAAATTTACCCTCCGGATATAAATTATCCTGCGGCTTGACCGGCTTTGGCCTTTCTGATGGCTGGAATTTATCTAGCGTGGGACGCTGGAATTCACCCTCTGGATATAAGTTATCTTTAGGTTTAACAATTGGAGCCCTGTCTCCAGGACCAACCTTCTGAGGAACACGTTTTTCAAAATCTCCTTCTGGTTTCAAATTGTCGGTTGGTTTAATTGCCGTTGGGCGTTCACCTGCTTTAAACTTTTCATGTACAGGGCGTTCGAATTCACCTTCTGGTTTCAAATTATCAAATGGTTTAATTTGTTTAGGTCTCTCTGATGGTTGATACTCATTTGGAATTGGTCTCTGGAATTCTCCCTCGGGGTACAAATTATCATGAGGCTTTACTTGCTTTGGTCTTTCAGATGGCTGGAATTCTTCTGTCTTAGGACGTTGGAATTCACCCTCTGGGTACAGATTATCTTTAGGTTTAACAATTGGAGCCCTGTCTCCAGGACCGACCTTTTGAGGAACACGTTTTTCAAAATCTCCTTCTGGTTTCAAATTGTCCGTTGGTTTAAATGCCGTTGGGCGTTCACTTGGTTTGAACTTTTCATGTACAGGTCGTTCGAATTCCCCTTCAGGCTTAAGGTTGTCGTAGGGTTTAAATTGTTTAGGGCGTTCAGCTGGTGTAAACTCTTTATATTCGGGCCTTTCAAATTCGCCCTCAGGATACAAATTATCATGCGGCCTCACTTGTTTTGGTCTTTCAGATGGTTGGAACTCTTCTGGTTTAGGACGTTGAAATTCACCCTCTGGGTATAAGTTATCTTTAGGTTTAACAATTGGAGCCCTGTCTCCAGGACCGACCTTTTGAGGAACACGTTTTTCAAAATCTCCTTCTGGTTTCAAATTATCCGTTGGTTTAAATGCCGTAGGGCGTTCACTTGGTTTGAATTTTTCATGTACAGGTCGTTCGAATTCCCCTTCAGGCTTAAGGTTGTCGTAGGGTTTAAATTGTTTAGGGCGTTCAGCTGGTGTAAACTCTTTATATTGGGGCCTTTCAAATTCACCTTCAGGATACAAATTATCATGGGGCCTCACTTGTTTTGGTCTTTCAGATGGTTGGAACTCTGCTGGTATAGGACGTTGGAATTCACCCTCTGGATACAGATTATCTTTAGGTTTAACAATTGGAGCCCTGTCTCCAGGACCGACTTTCTGAGGAACACGTTTTTCAAAATCTCCTTCTGGTTTCAAATTATCCGTTGGTTTAAATGCCGTTGGGCGTTCACTTGGTTTGAATTTTTCATGTACAGGTCGTTCGAATTCCCCTTCAGGCTTAAGGTTGTCGTAGGGTTTAAATTGTTTAGGGCGTTCAGCTGGTGTAAACTCTTTATATTCGGGCCTTTCAAATTCACCTTCAGGATACAAATTATCATGGGGCCTCACTTGTTTTGGTCTTTCAGATGGTTGGAACTCTTCTGGTATAGGACGTTGGAATTCACCCTCTGGATACAGATTATCTTTAGGTTTAACAATTGGAGCCCTGTCTCCAGGACCGACTTTTGAGGAACACGTTTTTCAAAATCTCCTTCTGGTTTCAAATTATCCGTTGGTTTAAATGCCGTTGGGCGTTCACTTGGTTTGAATTTTTCATGTACAGGTCGTTCGAATTCCCCTTCAGGCTTAAGGTTGTCGTAGGGTTTAAATTGTTTAGGGCGTTCAGCTGGTGTAAACTCTTTATATTCGGGCCTTTCAAATTCACCTTCAGGATACAAATTATCATGGGGCCTCACTTGTTTTGGTCTTTCAGATGGTTGGAACTCTTCTGGTATAGGACGTTGGAATTCACCCTCTGGATACAGATTATCTTTAGGTTTAACAATTGGAGCCCTGTCTCCAGGACCGACTTTCTGAGGAACACGTTTTTCAAAATCTCCTTCTGGTTTCAAATTGTCCGTTGGTTTAAATGCCGTTGGGCGTTCACTTGGTTTGAATTTTTCATGTACAGGTCGTTCGAATTCCCCTTCAGGCTTAAGGTTGTCGTAGGGTTTAAATTGTTTAGGGCGTTCAGCTGGTGTAAACTCTTTATATTGGGCCTTTCAAATTCCCTCAGGATACAAATTATCATGGGCCTCACTTGTTTTGGTCTTTCAGATGGTGGAATCTTCTGGTTAGGACGTTGAATTCACCCTCTGGGTATAAGTTATCTTTAGGTTTAACAATTGGAGCCCTGTCTCCAGGACCGACCTTTTGAGGAACACGTTTTTCAAAATCTCCTTCTGGTTTCAAATTATCCGTTGGTTTAAATGCCGTTGGGCGTTCACTTGGTTTGAACTTTTCATGTACAGGTCGTTCGAATTCCCCTTCAGGCTTAAGGTTGTCGTAGGGTTTAAATTGTTTAGGGCGTTCAGCTGGTGTAAACTCTTTATATTCGGGCCTTTCAAATTCACCTTCAGGATACAAATTATCATGCGGCCTCACTTGTTTTGGTCTTTCAGATGGTTGGAACTCTTCTGGTATAGGACGTTGGAATTCACCCTCTGGGTATAAGTTATCTTTAGGTTTAACAATTGGAGCCCTGTCTCCAGGACCGACCTTTTGAGGAACACGTTTTTCAAAATCTCCTTCTGGTTTCAAATTGTCCGTTGGTTTGAATGCCGTTGGGCGTTCACTTGGTTTGAATTTTTCATGTACAGGTCGTTCGAATTCCCCTTCAGGCTTAAGGTTGTCGTAGGGTTTAAATTGTTTAGGGCGTTCAGCTGGTGTAAACTCTTTATATTCGGGCCTTTCAAATTCGCCCTCAGGATACAAATTATCATGCGGCCTCACTTGTTTTGGTCTTTCAGATGGTTGGAACTCTTCTGGTTTAGGACGTTGGAATTCACCCTCTGGGTATAAGTTATCTTTAGGTTTAACAATTGGAGCCCTGTCTCCAGGACCGACCTTTTGAGGAACACGTTTTTCAAAATCTCCTTCTGGTTTCAAATTGTCCGTTGGTTTGAATGCCGTTGGGCGTTCACTTGGTTTGAACTTTTCATGTACAGGTCGTTCGAATTCCCCTTCAGGCTTAAGGTTGTCGTAGGGTTTAAATTGTTTAGGGCGTTCAGCTGGTGTAAACTCTTTATATTCGGGCCTTTCAAATTCACCCTCAGGATACAAATTATCATGCGGCCTCACTTGTTTTGGTCTTTCAGATGGTTGGAATTCTTCTGGTTTAGGACGTTGGAATTCACCCTCTGGGTATAAGTTATCTTTAGGTTTAACAATTGGAGCCCTGTCTCCAGGACCGACCTTTTGAGGAACACGTTTTTCAAAATCTCCTTCTGGTTTCAAATTGTCCGTTGGTTTGAATGCCGTTGGGCGTTCACTTGGTTTGAACTTTTCATGTACAGGTCGTTCGAATTCCCCTTCAGGCTTAAGGTTGTCGTAGGGTTTAAATTGTTTAGGGCGTTCAGCTGGTGTAAACTCTTTATATTCGGGCCTTTCAAATTCGCCCTCAGGATACAAATTATCATGCGGCCTCACTTGTTTTGGTCTTTCAGATGGTTGGAACTCTTCTGGTTTAGGACGTTGGAATTCACCCTCTGGGTATAAGTTATCTTTAGGTTTAACAATTGGAGCCCTGTCTCCAGGACCGACCTTTTGAGGAACACGTTTTTCAAAATCTCCTTCTGGTTTCAAATTATCCGTTGGTTTAAATGCCGTAGGGCGTTCACTTGGTTTGAACTTTTCATGTACAGGTCGTTCGAATTCCCCTTCAGGCTTAAGGTTGTCGTAGGGTTTAAATTGTTTAGGGCGTTCAGCTGGTGTAAACTCTTTATATTCGGGCCTTTCAAATTCGCCCTCAGGATACAAATTATCATGCGGCCTCACTTGTTTTGGTCTTTCAGATGGTTGGAACTCTTCTGGTTTAGGACGTTGAAATTCACCCTCTGGGTATAAGTTATCTTTAGGTTTAACAATTGGAGCCCTGTCTCCAGGACCGACCTTTTGAGGAACACGTTTTTCAAAATCTCCTTCTGGTTTCAAATTATCCGTTGGTTTAAATGCCGCTGGGCGTTCACTTGGTTTGAATTTTTCATGTACAGGTCGTTCGAATTCCCCTTCAGGCTTAAGGTTGTCGTAGGGTTTAAATTGTTTAGGGCGTTCAGCTGGTGTAAACTCTTTATATTCGGGCCTTTCAAATTCGCCTTCAGGATACAAATTATCATGCGGCCTCACTTGTTTTGGTCTTTCAGATGGTTGGAACTCTTCTGGTATAGGACGTTGGAATTCACCCTCTGGGTATAAGTTATCTTTAGGTTTAACAATTGGAGCCCTGTCTCCAGGACCGACTTTTGAGGAACACGTTTCTCAAAATCTCCTTCTGGTTTCAAATTGTCAGTTGGTTTAAATGCCGCTGGACGTTCACTTGGTTTGAATTTTTCATGTACAGGTCGTTCGAATTCCCCTTCAGGCTTAAGGTTGTCGTAGGGTTTAAATTGTTTAGGGCGTTCAGCTGGTGTAAACTCTTTATATTGGGGCCTTTCAAATTCACCTTCAGGATACAAATTATCATGGGGCCTCACTTGTTTTGGTCTTTCAGATGGTTGGAACTCTGCTGGTATAGGACGTTGGAATTCACCCTCTGGGTATAAGTTATCTTTAGGTTTAACAATTGGAGCCCTGTCTCCAGGACCGACTTTCTGAGGAATACGTTTTTCAAAATCTCCTTCTGGTTTCAAATTATCCGTTGGTTTAAATGCTGTTGGGCGTTCACTTGGTTTGAACTTTCCATGTACAGGTCGTTCGAATTCCCCTTCAGGCTTAAGGTTGTCGTAGGGTTTAAATTGTTTAGGGCGTTCAGCTGGTGTAAACTCTTTATATTCGGGCCTTTCAAATTCGCCCTCAGGATACAAATTATCATGCGGCCTCACTTGTTTTGGTCTTTCAGATGGTTGGAACTCTTCTGGTATAGGACGTTGGAATTCACCCTCTGGATACAGATTATCTTTAGGTTTAACAATTGGAGCCCTGTCTCCAGGACCGACTTTCTGAGGAATACGTTTTTCAAAATCTCCTTCTGGTTTCAAATTATCCGTTGGTTTAAATGCCGTTGGGCGTTCACTTGGTTTGAACTTTTCATGTACAGGTCGTTCGAATTCCCCTTCAGGCTTAAGGTTGTCGTAGGGTTTAAATTGTTTAGGGCGTTCAGCTGGTGTAAACTCTTTATATTCGGGCCTATCAAATTCACCTTCAGGATACAAATTATCATGGGGCCTCACTTGTTTTGGTCTTTCAGATGGTTGGAACTCTGCTGGTATAGGACGTTGGAATTCACCCTCTGGGTATAAGTTATCTTTAGGTTTAACAATTGGAGCCCTGTCTCCAGGACCGACCTTTTGAGGAACACGTTTTTCAAAATCTCCTTCTGGTTTTAAATTGTGCGTTGGTTTAAATGGTGATGGTCGTTCACCTGGTTCGAACTTTTCATACACAGGGCGTTCGAATTCTCCTTCTGGTTTCAAATTATCAAATGGTTTAATTTGTTTAGGTCTCTCTGCTGTTTCATATTCTTTTTGTTTTGGCCTTTCAAACTCACCTTCTGGTTTCAAATTATCCGTTGGTTTAATAGGTTTTCGTTTGTCGGCCTTTTGTACCTTTTTATGTTCTGGCCTTTGGAAATCTCCTTCAGGCTTGAGATTATCTTGTGGCTTTATCTGTTTTGGTCTATCTGCTGGTCTGTATTTATCTTTTGTAGGTCTATCAAATTCGCCCTCGGGTTTCAAATTATCAACCGGCTTTATTTGTTTTGGTTTTTCAGTTTTAACACTTTTATAATTTTGTTTAGAGTGTGTTGTGTCATCAAATGTACCTTCTATTTTCAAGTTATCTTTGTGTTTTATGACTTGATGTCTTATATCAGTGTTACTGTGTTGTTTAAATACTTCTGAAGATGTCGTTTGAAAGAATATTTCTCCATCTTGTTTTGTCCATGTACGTCTTCGGACGGGTTTTTCGATTTCTGTAGTTTTTGGAGTATATTCAGATGTCTTTGAAGTCTCAAATGACATATCTCCCTCGCAAATTAAATTATCACTTCTCTTTTTTATTATATCTGTTCTCTTTACATCATGCCTCTGATATGTATCGTTAGATGATGTGTTTGAGTAAAACTCGCCGGTAGTTATATTTAATGTATCAACTTTTTTTTTACCTTTTTCTTGTTTGACGATAGTTCGTTCAGGATATTCTTCTGTATTTTTGGGCACCGCCTAAATCAAAACACTTAAATAATACTTTATCCATTCAAATTACGTATTTTTAGGATCTTACCAAGATATCCCCTTCAAGCTTTGTCCATGTATTACGGCGTATCATTCTGGGCCTTTCGGATGTTTCACCAGTGAATTCTATTTTCTGAGTGGTGACATCTAAAATAATAAACAATATATGTTTTAAAAAATAAAAAAAAACGATGTCAATGAGCAAACAACTAAAGTAAATTTTATCATATTGAACATATTATTAAAAATAACCATTTATATTTGGTACAAAATATGGTCACACAAAAAATTACAGTATATCTACGAGTCTGAAAGCGATAAATTCAATTTAAGCAAAACAATAGGTAAAAGAATGAACACAGTAAATATCGATGGTAATCATTATTCATAATATAACTATTATAATATTATTGACTTTCAAACGGTATTAAATGTTTTTATACAATTTTAATTTTTCAGTTTTTTTTATTATGCTTAAGGGAATTGCATGCAGTCTGTTTTTTTGGCGCTTTAGACCAACAAGCCAGACAAAATTTTGACTAATTAGGATGGTTGGAATTTAATTTTTTAAAGATGCGGAAGTTCTTTAGCAACTTTGCTAAGTCGTGTTGGATACATATATTTGACTTTTTGTATTTTTATGTAAAAAAGTTGGAATTTAATATTGGAAAAACTGCAAATTTAATTTAATTAATTAAGAGAATCTGAATTTTTCTAATGAAAATTCGGCTTCCTACATAACATATTAAAGTAGCCAAAGTACTTTTACTCATAGAAAAATGTATATAAATTAAAAATAATACCTTGAAGCTTAAGCAAATTAACCGATAAATTAATTGACATGGTCAAATTGTATTAAAACCGCTTTTTACTTAAATATTGCCTACACAAAATTCTTAAAAACAGACCACATGCAATCGCCTTAACTGCCAAACATAATATAACTATTTTGTATCCAAAAAAGGATAAAAACTAATTTAATCCTTACGAGGCCTCTACTCTAGCATTAATTAAGGCGCATTGTATAGGCAGTTTTTACAATAAAACTACATTAACCTAATGTTTGTAATTAATTTTATATTTTATTTTAACCTTTTTAACGGCTACGGTCATTATTTTGTACACTAAATTTACTTCGAATAGTTCCTAAGAATACTACGATTTATGTTTTGAAAACAAAATTATTTGGATTATTCCTAACGTTTACAATTGATCCATATCGTGGCACAATTTTAAAATGAGTTTTAGTTAATTTATTATGTCTATTTGAAACATAACACACGAAAATAAAAAATGTATTTCAATCGATGCATTAAGAGAACGTCACCCCGCCCTTTTTTAAGGAGCAAAGTATAGGCATTTTTTTACAAAATCTTAACTTAATAGTTAAACTGTGATGCGTAAATATTAGTTTAGTTTTTTGTAGTTTAAATTAAATTATTTTTTGGTCTATTACAGTATCCTTGACACCGATTTAAAAGATTTTTTTCATATAAACATGGCTACGCATATTCTCTACTATTGACTAAATAATAACCGTAGACAATTTTTTTTCATATTTAAAATAATGGATCTGGGTTCTCTCGTTGGCTTTTTTTATATTATTAATCAAACTTTCACAGTTTATTGTTTGTTTCTGACATTTTTTTACTTTTTTAAGTGCTTGCGTATTAGAGGTAAAATTTAAGTTATCGAAAAAAACTGACGAGAGAACCTAGTTAAAGTTTTTCTATTTTTAAGATATCAAATAATTTTTTTATGATTATTTTACTAAGACCTACACGCTTTTCCTAAACACGTTTTTACGGTTATTTTTAAATGGTATGACGTTCTCTTAAGGAAGTTTTGAAAAATCAAATCTGTTTTCAAAACTTTAGCTGATTTTGCTCTTTTTATTCTCCTAACATTTGTTTAATTATTTGGATTTAAATGTAAAATAAATACCTGTAAATTCTCCACCAATTATTAAGTGATCTTCGTGACGACGAACTTCGGCTCTTTCTCCTTTTACAAACTTAGTCACTGTCCTTTCTCCGTAGAATTGTCCTTCGGGATGTAAGTTGTCATCTGGTTTTTTCATATGTGCCCTTTCTCCTGGCTTCGGCGCTTCCTGCGGTTTTGGTCTGTCGAATTCTCCTTCAGGTTTTAAATTATCAGGGTGTTTAACTATTGGGGCTCTATCGCCGGGTGCATACTTATTAGGTGTAGGTCTAACAAAGTCCCCTTCTGGCTTTAAATTATCAGGGTGTTTAACTATTGGCGCTCGTTCACCAGGTCCATGCTGGGCTTGAGTCGGCCTATCGAATTCTCCTTCGGGTTGTAAATTGTCTTTTGGCTTGAACGGTTTTTGACGATCAGCTGGTACTACTTTTGGTTTCGTTGGCCTTTCAAAGTCGCCCTCTGGCTTTAAATTATCAGTTGGCTTAATCTGTTTCGGACGTTCCACCGATTCCACCTTGGGCCGTTCAGGTCTTTCAAATTTACCTTCGGGTCTTAAGTTATCCGGATGCTTGATTATCGGTGCTCTTTCCCCGGGCCCATACTTTTGCGCTTCGGGCCTTTCGAATTCTCCTTCGGGTTTTAAATTATCTTGCGGTCTGCGGGGTGCAAAACGGTCACCTGGAGTTCCAGGGTATTCATTGTGCCTTTGTGGAGCGTAATCACCTTCGAGCTGAATTTGATCAACCGATTTGTAACTGTAAAAAAAAAACCCAAACACACATTAAAATCAAAGCTAACTAAATTTCGTTTTTTTACAATATTATACCAACCGAGTTTGGCGGTCTGCGTGTTTCTCTTCGTACTCTGACCGGTAAGCCGTGATGCTTTCAATTTTCCCTTCATTGAGCGTTAGTTCCGTGTTAAGTCTGTGCAAAGTAGGTCTTTCAATGCGTTCAAGAGGTATTGGTTGATATTGTTCGTTGGAACTCGACAATTTTGGTACAGGCGTAGGCTCCAAATTCAATGGAGATCCATCTGTTCCCGGTGTATGCGTACAACGATGTCGCCTATAATAAAATAATACATTTAAATTAACTAATTCCATAAAACTTAACGCTTAGAAAAAACAATAACTTATCGCTGCAGGACAAAAATTACAACTATAATAGTGTTAGGTCGCTATTGCGTTACAGACGAGGACTGTGTATTTTATACTATAATGCACTCTAAATTGAACGAACATTATGCAGGACTCGTGCGAACAAAATCGATAGGGCACTGAACCACTCGCACCAATTGTACGCACTTTGACCCACTAAGTCTGCCATTCATAACTTTCTGGCGTTCAACACAACAATATATGCTTGAAATACATTTTCAGTACTGTTATATTAACTATAAGTTCATTTTTACTTAAAATTGAGGATTAAATTCAAACTTTTCCTAAATCGTTAAACAAAATATATTTAAGTGTTGTAATACAAAATTAATTAATCGTAGATTGTTTAGGGTTTTAAGATAATTACTTCGTATTCTATTTTAATGATAATTATATTTCTTTAGTTATTTTAACTATTTAGAAAAATAATTTTAAAAAACCTTAACTCGGCAAGGGCTAATTTTTAAATATTAAAACTAATTAAAATTGGCCATCGAAAGTTGTATATAAAATGTAAGAAACCATAGCAAGTTAATAATAACAAATAATCATACCTTATGTTTTTCAATACCAAAAAAATCTACCATTATTTTAATTACAACCTTAAAAAGTTTAAAACAAAACTTTCATAATACAAAATATTTAACGGTTTATTAACCTTTCGCGTTTTGGTGTAATGTACCCAATGATGAATGAATGAATGGCCTATATAATGAAAACAATTATTTTTCTCAATCTATTTTTTTTTTTTTTGGTTTGCTGGATGGATTTTTCTGGGAATGTATTGAATGTATGTATATATTTTTAATTTTTATTACTAAGTTACGTTTAATTAATAATTATCAAGGGAGGTCTGAAAACTCATAACCTAAAGCCATTATTATTTCTGATAATTAATAATTGTGTAGGTGGGTTTTTTGTATTAGTTAGTCTTCTTAAGTAGTGTAATTGACTAATCGAGTAATTAAATTTTTTTATTATGAATTATTATTTATTAAGGCTTTGACTGCAAGGGTCATTACCCACGTGTTTAATTTATTTACTAATTAAGTCGTTTTTATTAAGTTTTTCGTCATTTTTTCATTGTTACACATCAGGAAGTTTTCTTGATTATTACGCGTTGCTAGTACCAGGACAACATCAGCGTGAGTGTTGCGCCGAGTCTATTCTGTTGTGGTCAGAATAACAGCCAGTGTGTTATTAATAAACAGTAATCGTATGTGCTCGAACCCTGGTATTCGATCTACTCAACAGTTGGAGCGGCGATCCCGGACGGACGGTCTTCGACGACATTTATTCGCATCATTCTCTACAAGGGGCACATGGTGAATCATCCTAGTTAGGATACTAAATATTTTCACTGACGGCAACGTGGCTTGTGTAAAAAGATATGCTCATTTCGGTCCCGGCCGAGCCATGCAATGACACCGGCTACCAGGGAACTAGCAGAACGCTCGTTATTTGTCAGTACTACGCCGCGCCTCATTTTTTATTTCAACTTCAGCGTTTTATTTGTATCTAGCCATCGGCAATATGTTTTCTGGTCAGACCGGCTTGCTGAATCTTGTCTATAGACCCAGGAGCTTCGCAAAAATTCCCCATAAAATCAAAACGTACCATAAAAATAAAATAATAAATGTTCTCGAGCCTTAGTCTTTATATACTATAACTTATAGAAAGAAAAAAAAACAGTGAAAATAGTTTCATTTTTGGGAAATGTTAGTTATTTACCGGTAAATTACGGTAAATAACAATCAACTAAAGGAAAATATCTTTAAGCCAAAAATCGGTATGAATACAAGTGGTAAAAACAGACACGCATTAAATAACCAGGAAAAAATGGTCAAAGAAAATTTGGCCAGAAATATTTTATCCAATAAACAAATGACCATATTTTAAATATTTTATTTATTTATGTACAGTGCAATAAAAAAAAAAAATTTGGAAAACGTTTTAGAAATTCATAACTACGAGTGTATAATATGACGTAGAAGACATTTTAAACTGTCATTCTACACACGTTGATTCTTTTAACCCGTTACCTCGGAAAGGATAGGATGAATATGTTAGATTAGAAAGTCTGAATATGTAGACTGTAAGTATGTAAATCACAAAATCGTAAGACTTATCATAAAAGTTTATTTGATTCTTTAAAAGACCGTTGGAAAAAAAAAGTTATTTTCAACTATCTATTTTTTTTTTTTTTTTTAGTCACCTATAGGCCATACAAATTCACACCAAAGCGTTTCGTTGAAAGTGACTGGATCATTTTCGGACACAATATTCCCCGGACAAGCATTTCGTATCTACTTCCCTGGCTTTTTATTTTGGTTTGCATGTCATGAACACGACCGTCAGAAAAACATTATTCATAAAATGCATACTAATAAGGTTTCTTCTCGGATGCTAGTTACACATACGTGTTAAAGCACCATTGTTTTAATGTCTAATGATCGTTTCAACATCAAAATGACACTCAACGGACTCTAAGCAAAATGTGGGCGAGGCTAGGTGGTGAATCACATTATTAATATAGCCTTGGCATAACAATAGCCATGCGCCGAAGTAAAAAAAAGTAATTTCAGTATTTTTATTTTCCAAGCATAATATACAGGCAGTCTAGACCTTGCTCGTTGATACTGATTATAGGTAAGATGAAGACGTAAAACATCTATAGCGTGTATTATACTATATAAAACAGTAACTGGAGTTTTCTCAATATTAAGTATAATAAAATTTCGAAAAATCAAGGTAAGATGGCGAATAGAAATAAAAAATATAATAATATGGCAGTTGTTAAAAAAAAAAAAAAACAATAATAACAAAAATGTATCATGTTTATAATAATTTATTTCCTAAAATTATAACTCGTTATTTATTTGTCTTGATTAATTTCGTTGTTATTATTATCTTTTAAGCGTTTTTTTAAATTAGTACATCATTTATTTAATATATTCCTTAGTGTATAGCTACAATGTAAGTATATAGTTATTGTTGTTGACCTTGTACACAATTTATTGAATGATTGTATAACGCAGTGAATTAGTTTATATTGATATATTTAACAAAGATAAATAAACGTACTGCGGAAGAGTACGTTGAACATAGTACGTGACTTAAGTACAAGACTTTTCATTTAAATATTAAGGTGTATAAATATTATCGAAAAGTTTTATTGATGTTTTAAAAACACTTAAGTTACACTTAACATTCAGTAGGAAATACTACATAACGTTCCAGTTATAATCTGATATTATAAAATGTTTTAGTGAAATATTATTAAAGTATACAAATAATTGTTGTATGATTTAAATGTAAATTTAAAATAATATAGGTACTATTTAACTTTTTAGTATACAAATGTAACGAACTTATTATTGAACATATTATGTTAATTAATAAACTATAAATTATATTTTAGAGCTTAGACACAAAACGACTGCCGAAAAAGTTTTTAAGAAAATTATGATGTCGCATAAATGAGATGATGACATTGACAAAACATGCATTACCATGTATAATAAAGCAGTTACAACCATTTACAGATGTTAAATGTAGAGAAAGGGCTAGCGATAACGGTAGTATACTTTCGCCTGTAATATTATTTTGTCCGACGGATAAATTATTTCTCAAAAGAATTACATTTATTATAAGTAAATTTAAGATTAATTCTAATATGAAATAAATTTTAAATTTATTTTTTTAATAGTTAAAATTATTTAAATGACACAAATAATAGGGTCCTATCACTGGATAGCTTCCCTACTCATAGTCGACAAGTTATTTTTACATTGTTAGCATATTTTCTTATTGTATATTTTGTATGTACAGATTGTAAATGTTATTTTAAAATTTTAAAAAATTTTAAAAAATTAAAAAAAAATTATACAAATTCATAAAAAAAAAACCAGTGAAAATAAATTTTGCTATAATCATCAAACATAAAGTATCTTTCCTCCTACTGACTTCATTAAGTTATATGTGTACTTCTATTTTTATTGTTTTTTTTAAGTAACAAATGAATTTAGACAGGTCTTTAACCAAATGACAGATGACTCTCTCATTTTTATCCGCCTACAAATAAATAGCTGTTTGCTTGGTCGTCGATGAATATTAATTTTTTAGTCATTTGTGTACAACAGAGCTATAATGTTGAAGTATCTTATGTGCATTAATAAATAATACTCCTCGAAAAAAAACATTAATGTTATGTTCTTATTAATGTTATTAATAAACTGGTATTTTATCTCATTAATTACTATACTTATACTTTATATGATTTGAAAATAATTTTGGAAAGTAGAAAATTGTATTTCTGTATGATAAATTACTAGCACAATAAGTCTAAAAAACTTATAAATGAACAATTTGCTTTCAGTTTAAGTTAGCATTTTAGAGATTTTTCTTAAGATAATATTACATAAGATAAAAATGCATGAAAATATATAATACATTATATGTGCATGTATTGACTATAAAGCTAGTATTTAACTCACTGGAACAAATTTAGATTAAAATAAAATTTACATTTAAACACGGAATGTTTTTCCTATGACAACTATTTAATAAATCGACAAGGAATATTAGGGGTAATAGGGAAAACCAGCTGATAAAATAGACGATAATGATAGCGTAGGAATTCATTAAGACAAAATATTTTTAAATATTTATTATTTAACTATTTTGTAGTTATTTTAAAAATCTTTTAAATAATTCAAATTAAACACTGTTTTATTATTTTTGTTAATACGTCATTTGGTTGGTATATTACCAATTTGTTTACCTCGCCTCCAATAAAAAGTAGAAATGTTTTTTATGCGTTAATATAGATTGGTTATTTATTTGGTATCCTACCTAATCTACTTAAAAATAATAATAAAAAAGTAAAATAATAAAAATGTCTGTACATTTTCACGATACATTCGAAGTATTTTTTTTATATTTTATTGTCTGGAAAATTATTACTGGTATAAATATTTCTGTACACCGTGTTATGACTTTTGTTTTGCTAAACCTATTACAAAACAAATAATACTACACAACACAGTGCAAACAGAATATAGTGAAATCGCTATACAGTACACAGTACAATGTATACTCAACGGAACGACGTATCCTGTTGAAAAGTATAGTCCTTAAAAATGCTGTAAATTATAACATAACACCAGAAGTTTTTTTTTTAACAGAAATATTTTTTAAATTTCTCAAAAAAATTAAATTTATTAGATGTATTATGCAAAAATCTTATATAGTCATTATTTTTAATATAGAAATCTATATTGTTTTATTTCTAAAACGTGATTGGGGCCTACAATGTTATAGTATTTATTTATATATTAGCGCACGGTGCAATAATACGATCCTTTGGAAGTATTGGCGCCCACTACAATGATTTTAGGTGTAAATAATATATACCTTATATGCTATAAATCTTAAAGTTAATTATCCGTGTCCAACCGCACAGTTGCCTGAATCAAGGTCACGTTTTGAAATACAATACACCATATATGCTTCTATTATACTGCTTACTCTGGTACAATATAAAAAAAAATGCATTGCGACGGAATTAAAAAATCAAAATCGTAAAGCGTAAGTCAGTTAATATTTTCGAAAAATATTAAAACCGTGTTTTGACATAAAATTAAATATAACAAAGATATTATCAGATGACAAAGAATAGGCGTGACGAAAAATTGGTATTTTTAAGTGAAATGGAAATTTTTTTAAAACTGTAATCAGACCGCAAATATGGTGTATATAATATAAGTATATAAGAAGCAAATGGAAGTGGCAAAAAGGATTACGTTAAGATGAACGTGTAAGGTTATCTAGATGTTAACAAAATTGGAACGGTAGTCAGGAGTATACCAGTAGCAGGCAAAATAAAAGAATGGTCGACATGATTTGGGCATTCTGAATATAATTGTAATAAAAAAGTAAGTGATTATAGTAAGGCTGGGAGTAGGTCGAATAAAAAGTAGGGGGATGTAATTAATGTATACACGTAAAATAGGCAGAGAAATAGTAAAGGATAGACAAGAGAAAAAAATTACTTAAACACTGACCTTGTAAAAATAAGAGTAAATAATATAAGAAAATAATGATTGTAAAAAAAATCTAGTCTTAACAAAATGCAACCTTATTGATGTAAAATATGGTCATAAATCGGAATTTAGCATTTGCTTAAAAAAAATAACCAGAAATATAAGTGGGTTCAGATTTCTCATGTCGGTATATTCATTAAAACACCATGCTCACTTGATAAACTCAAGTGAGCATGGTGTTAGTACAATCAGTGTAGTACAAAAACAATTCAATATAAACACTCATGCTACAATACCTAAGTTGGTCACGTTAAATTATTTAAATTATAATATACAACATAAAATATAATATCCGCCCAAATAATTTAACGTTTGACATTTAAAACGCATATATTTGTATGACTTTTATTTCTATTTGTCTGCGTAATCTGTGGGAAGCTTTTTGATTTATTATTTTTCGTATAGTTCATTTATTTTTGATCTGCAGTTTTACTAAGTATACAATTCTATATTAGTTTTGAACTATATAGTTTAAATATGTCAACATTATTTCATCTAAAAGAGTAATTATTTGAAAAATGTATGATGTCTTCCAACTTTTTTATGCATATTACTTAGTAATCGAAAATTGAACTAATATTTTTTTTTCTCCAAAATATGTAATAAGCTGTGGAATAAAAATAAAAATACAATTTTTTCAGTCATACATTTTATATATATATATTAATGATTTTATACATAAAACATAGCAAACCCGGACAATTGTCAAAAAACCAATTATTTCTAAAATATGTATAAGTAAACTTTAATATTTTAAAATATAGGCTCAATATTTCGATCTAAAACCAAATTTGCCAAGTTAATTCTTTCCTCTCAAATGTGTAGTCCAAAAGAAAAAAATAATTTTAATAATACAATTTTACTAAATCCAATAAAACCGGTTAGTTAAGTACTTCAAAAAAAACCTGTACAAGCATTTATCGAACCGGAAAGCCAGTATAGGGGGTCGGATGTAGTTAGTTACATACATATTATCTTTTGACACTTAGATAGTAATAAATAAAAGTAATTTTTTTGAGTGAAAGAAAAAATTTAGAAAGCAACGTGGTGATTGTATGCCGCCGGTGCGGTGGCGTCATGATGCATAAGTGGGACCAACACAATATACACGTAGATGTAGATATATAATGTATGTATATAGTATATAATATAACACTCAGCTGAAAGGGTTGACCTCGTGCAAACCAATTATGCGAACCATAAAAGGAATTATATTCATAGTCTGGTTCACGACACGTAACACGCTGCTGATGGCTATTGATCGAAAATGGACTGGGTCGGTTTATCAGCGAATGAGTTTGTAAACGGTCATCGTTTTTACTTCAGAACACGTCTCCTAGGTACTTTTATGAACTAGGTTTAATCGTTATTATTATGAACTTAGTTATTTGACTGATTCAATTATTTGAATTTAAATTACACTACCATCTTATACGAAAATTAAAAAATTATAATATTGTTTAAATATTTACAAATGAAAATATTCATATCAAAATTGCCATAAAATATTTGGTAATATGCTAACAACGTTTAATGAATACATAGTTTTTAAACATTTAACCTCTGTTGAATTTTGAACCCAGCTGTTATATTGGTTTGGGTTTGTTTTACTAACTCTGTATAATACATTTTAATGTACTAAAATATATTGCGCTTTTGGCCATAATAAAAATAATTTACCTACTTGTCTAATAAAAAAAAAAATATATTTATTTCTTTATTTTATATTTTATGGTGCAAACTGGTAAGTAAATACTGCACGCGACTATGTTATTATAAAATATTCGTCGGCTAAATATGTTTTTCAGGTGTGTATTAAAAGATTAATTTGATTCTATTAGCTTTTTTTAGTCTATATTCAACCATTTTAATAAACATTTTATTGATTGTTTATTAAAAGGTCTTCCTACTAGAAAATACTATGGATTATTAATTTGGCCTACTTTTGCTTCAAAAAGTTAAGCACAGAAGGTTAGGCGTCTTTTAAGTTGGTATTGTTATTTTTTTTTTTTTCCAATTTTACTTGAGCGTTTCATTAAAATATACACTTAGGTTAGGGTGCGTGGGAAAAATAACATGCTTGCATTTGTAGTATTAGCCTTGTACTATTTTAAAAATCGAATCTACCTTATAGCTAATAATCGAGCATAAAAATGTTTGACTTACCCACAAGTACAAATTTCGCAAATACATTGCTCCTTTGTGACTGTCTCTTTTTCTTTCTGTTTACTTTTGGTCGTACTCTTGTCAAGATTTTTTTCTCTGATATTTTGTGCTGATGAAGTTCGGTTTTCGTAACTTTTCGCCATTTGATTGACTGATGCTTTTTGCGATACTGATTCGGACACCATGTTACTGTCTATATGACTCGATGTGGATGTAAAATCTGTCACATCTTGAATTACAGTTGTATCGGTGTAATTTCGATTTATCGTAGGTGTGTCCGAATAGTATTCGGCAGTGTTTGAAGTTATTTGGAAACCTTGCACGACGGATTCTTCCACAAACTGATGAGATTCAACGAATGACTGTAGCGAGGCATCATAATAAACACTTCGAACAATATTTGTGTCGTCGACTAATATATCTGTCGAATTTGATGGAAATGGTATGATTTCAGTAATACTATTAGAAGGACCCAAAGGACCTTCATTGGACTTACGGGGTCTATTGCCGGGTTCTTTCATAGTCTTCTCTGGTTTGCCGCCAACCGTTTTCGGTTTATTATCTTTACTAGTATGTATTTTTCTTGTAACGTCAGCCACATTCGTAGACTGTTCATACACTGTGTTTGACACAGAAAGCGCCGAAGTTTTACTTGAACCACGAACAGAGTTGTCGATGGTATAAGTTGTATTAAGATCTGATTTTTTGTTTGTCGGTTCTTTGAAAGATTTTATCAATTTCCCACCAACCATGCGCACAGTCAAACCTTCTTCGTCCACGTTTTCAGTGGTGGTAGATTTTGTTTTTTCAGTCGTTTCCTTTGGTTGTTTTTTTGTTGGTGATTTATCTCGCTTGTCTGTAGGTTTGTCATAATCATTCTGTGATGTTTTAGACTTCAAAGAATTCGACTGATCGGTTGCTTCGACCGAGCTCGAGAAAGATGATTTTTCACTAGTTATAAAACTAGAATTGACATCGCTGGATTGTATATTACTGGTAGAATTAATATCACTAACAAACAATTTGGATGACGTCATTTTTTGAGGTGTTGGTTCTTTAAAAGATCTTAACAATTTCCCACCGACCATGCGCACAGTCAAACCTTCCTCGTCCACGTTTTCAGTGGTGGTAGATTTTGTTTTTTCAGTCGTTTCCTTTGGTTGTTTTTTTGTTGGTGAATTATCTCGCTTGTCTGTAGGTTTGTCATAATCATTCTGTGATGTTTTAGACTTCAAAGAATTCGACTGATCGGTTGCTTCGACCGAGCTCGAGAAAGATGATTTTTCACTAGTTATAAAACTAGATTTGACGTCGCTGGACTGTATGTTAGAAGAAGAACTTAAATCGCTAACATTCAATTTAGATGTCGTCATTTTTTGGGGTGTTGGTTCTTTAAAAGATTTTATCAATTTCCCACCGACCATGCGCACAGATAACCCTTCCTCGTCAACGCTTTCAGTGGTGGTATATTTTGTTTTTTCAGTCGTTTGTTTTGATTGTTTTTTTGTTGGTGATTTGTCTCGCTTGACTGTAGGTTTGTCATAAACATTTTGTGATGTTTTGGACGTTAAAGAATTCGACTGATCGGTTGCTTCGACTGAGCTCGAGATAGATGATTTTTCACTAGTTATAAAACTAGAATTGACATCGCTGGACTGTATGTTAGAAGAAGAACTTAAATCGCTAACATTCAATTTAGATGTCGAAATTTTTTGGGGTGTTGGTTCTTTAAAAGATTTTATTAATTTCCCACCGACCATGCGCACAGATAACCCTTCCTCGTCAACGCTTTCAGTGGTGGTATATTTTGTTTTTTCAGTCGTTTGTTTTGATTGTTTTTTTGTTGGTGATTTGTCTCGCTTGACTGTAGGTTTGTCATAAACATTGTGTGATGTATTGGACATTAAAGAATTCGACTGATCGTTTGCTTCGACTGAGCTCGAGAAAGATGATTTTTCACTAGTAATAAAACTAGATTTGACGTCGCTAGACTGTATGTTAGAAGAAGAACTTAAATCGCTAACATTCAATTTAGATGTCTTCATTTTTTGGGGTGTTGGTTCTTTAAAAGATTTTATCAATATCCCCCCGACCATGCGCACAGATAATCCTTCTTCGTCAACGCTTTCAGTGGTGGTAGATTTGGATTTTTCAGTCGATTCCATTGGTTGTTTTTTTGTTGGTGATTTATCTCGCTTGTCTGTAGGTTTGTCATAAACATTGTGTGATGTTTTAGACTTCAAAGAATTCGACTGATCGATTGCTTCGACTGAGCTCGAAAAAGATGATTTTTCACTAGTTATAAAACTAGATTTGACGTCGCTGGACTGTATGTTAGAAGAAGAACTTAAATCGCTAACATTCAATTTAGATGTCGTCATTTTTTGGGGTGTTGGTTCTTTAAAAGATTTTATCAATTTCCCACCGACCATGCGCACAGATAACCCTTCCTCGTCAACGCTTTCAGTGGTGGTATATTTTGTTTTTTCAGTCGTTTGTTTTGATTGTTTTTTTGTTGGTGATTTGTCTCGCTTGTCTGTAGGTTTGTCATAAACATTGTGTGATGTATTGGACATTAAAGAATTCGACTGATCGTTTGCTTCGACTGAGCTTGAGAAAGATGATTTTTCACTAATTTTAAAACTAGATTTGACGTCGCTGGACTGTATGTTAGAAGAAGAACTTAAATCGCTAACATTCAATTTAGATGTCGTCATTTTTTGCGGCGTCGGCTCTTTAAAATATTTTATCAGTTTCCCTCCGACCATGCGTACAGATAACCCTTCTTCGTCATCATTGACAGTGGTTGTCTTTGTCCTATCCTCTTTATTATCTGTAGACTTTGGTTTCGTAAGTGGTATGTCCTTGTTATCTAGAGATGTTATGTATGTAGTTTGAGACGTACTAGTAGATGTTAAGTTCGATTGGTCAGTTCCTTCGATTGAACTAGAAAAAGACTGAGCATGATCTGAAAAGCTAGAAGTGGTATTTTTTGATACAGAACTAATATCATTATCATTTAATTTAGATGCCGTCACTTTCTGAGTGATTGGCTCTTTAAATGATTTAATTAGTTTTCCTCCGACCATGCGCACAGATAATCCTTCTTCGTCCACGCTTTCAGTGGTGGTAGATTTTGATTTTTCCGACGTTTCGTTTGGTTGTTTTTTGTTTGTTGGTGATCTTTCCTGCATAATTGTCGGTTTATTATAAACAGTCTGTAATGTTTTGGACGTCAAAGAATCAGACTGACCCGCTCCTTCAACTGAACTCAAGAAAGAGGATTTTTCACTAGTTATAAAACTAGAATTGACATCATTGGATTTTATGTTACTGGTTGAATTTAAATCGCCAACATTTAATTTGGATGTCGTTGTTTTTTGGGATGTTGGTTCCTTAAACGATCTTATCAGTTTTCCCCCAACCATGCGCACAGATAATCCTTCTTCGTCCACGCTTTCGATGGTTGAAGTTTTTGACTTTTCGATAGTGTCCTTTGTTTGCTTATTAATAAACGGTTCATCCTGTTTACTTGATGATATCTTATATGTAGATTGAGATGTATGAGAAGTTAACAAATTCGATTGATCGCTTTCGCCTGTTGAACTTGAAAAAGATGACTGGGCTTCGGTGGCATAACTAGAACTTATACCACTATCATTTAGTTTGGAAGGTGACAGTTTTTGCGGCGTCGGTTCTTTAGAAGACTTTATCATTTTTCCTCCAATCATGCGGACAGACAACCCTTCTACATCTGCGCTTTCAGCAGTGGTAGATTTTAAACTTTTAATTGTATCCTTATGTTGCTTTTTTGTTGGTGATCTGTCCTGCTTGTCTGTAAAAATCTGTGAGGTTTTGTACGTCAACGAATTTGACTGATCGGTTGAGTCAAACGAGCTCGAGAAAGACGATTGTTCACTAGTTATAAAACTAGAATTAACGTCGCTGGACTTTATATTAATGGAAGAGCTTAAATCGCCAACATTTAATTTGGATGTCGTTGTTTTTTGGGATGTTGGTTCCTTAAACGATTTTATCAGTTTTCCCCCGACCATGCGCACAGATAATCCTTCTTCGTCCAAGTTTTCGATGGTTGAAGTGTTTGATTTTTCGATAGTGTCCTTTGTTTGCTTATTTATAAACGGTTCATCTGGTTTACCTGATGATATCTTATATGCAGATTGAGATGTATGAGAAGTTAACAAATTCGGTTGATCGCTACCGCCTCTTGAACTTGAAAAAGATGACTGGGCTTCGGTTGCATAACTAGAACTTATATTACTAGAAGTTATACCACTATCATTCAGTTTGGAAGATGACATTTTTTGGGGTGTTGGTTCTTTAAAAGACTTAATCATTTTTCCTCCAATCATGCGGACAGACAACCCTTCCTCATCTGCGCTTTCAGTAGTGGTAGATTTTAAATTTTCAATCGTATCCTTTTGTTGCTTTTCTGTTAGTGATCTGTCCTGCTTGTCTGTAAAAATCTGTGAGGTTTTGGACGTCAAAGAGTTCGACTGATCGGATTTTACATTATTGGAAGAACTTAAATCATTAACATTAAATTTAGATGTTGTCGTTTTTTGGTGTGTTGGTTCTTTAAAAGATTTTATCAGTTTTCCTCCGACCATGCGCACAGATAATCCTTTCTCGTCAACGCTTTCAGTGGTTGTAGATTTTGTTTTTTCAGTTGTATGTTTTGTTGTTGATGGCTCGTTATTTTTGTCAGAGAACTTGTTGTAGATAGACTGCGATATCTTAGATGTTAAGGAGTTTGGTTGGTCGGTCCCCCCTGTCAAAGTTATGAATGATGACTGTTCGCTAGTTATAAAGCTGGAACTGACATCACTTTCTTTAGACGCATTCAACGTAGATGGCATATCATTTTTAGTCACTACAGATGTAGTTTTCGATTTACTTCTGGTTGAATCTGATGTCTTATTAGAATCGTCGTAAATGTTTTGTTCGTTCAGTCCGCGATTCAAAGAATTTAAATTATCAGATGTGTATAAAACATTTGAACTAATTGAAGAGTTTTCTTGTGACTTGTTTATATTACTTTGAATATTTTGTTGACTTTTGTCAATTTGTTCACTTTCTTGAAGTTGAGACACTAGTTTTTTCTGGATTATCGGCTCGTTTACAACATTTAAAGATATATTCTTTGACTTATCAAAAGTCTTGGAGTCTTTTGCACCTTTAATGTCTGCCGACGAACTGTTGTCAGATTTTACTAGTTTTCCGCTAACTAGCTTTACGGTAAAATCGTTATCGTTGTTTTCTTGGATGGCCAAATTCTGTGTTTTAGAAAAACCCGATTCGCCGACTATAGAAGACCCTTGTTTACTTTCATATACATTTTGAGATGAACGGGTGGTAACATTTTTTGGCGTAGACGAAACTAGGGATTTGCCAAAGTCTTGATTCAACTGGACGCTAGCCCCGAATGATGATTGTTTTAAATTGGTCGCATGTCCGGATGAGGAATCTGCTTTCTTTGATTCGGTCGACGATACTTTAGTTACCGTCTGTGGAATATCGTCCACTGTCTCGACTGTGGTATGAACTTTGCCGTCTCGATCGACCGTCGTTGTGGTTTTGATGGTTTTCCCAACGGTTGTCTTTGACACTGACGACGAACTCGAAGATCTTTCGATAGAAGAAGAAGACACGGCTTCGGATTGTTGACTCGAGACGGTCCCTTTGACTAATATTTTTTTTGAAGCCTGTGGCGTCGAATTGCGCCCTTTGCCGCTCAAATTGATGGGTTGCTCGTTTGATACCTTAGCGCTGAACAACTGTTTGGGCTCCACGTCTACCGAACTGCTTTCTTTAATAATAACTTTTTCACTTACCTTATTTTCCTTCGGATCGCCTTTTCGCGTAGGGTCTTTGGTTTTCTTAGTTGATTTGAACATTTTAATTTTTTATTTTTTTCTATAGCACTAGTTGATTTGAAAAACTTTAATAAATTACGTTAAAATTCGACTAACAAATAAACGGTAACAAAAAACCGGCGCGTGCGTTTTAAGACCGTTGAAATCTTATTTGATAACAATAGAACGAATAGGCGCAATGTTTTTTCACTACTGACTACTACTAATGTACCGAACGTTGGCACCGCAGATTGAAGAGGCGGTCTCCCTCCAGAAGGCCTTCGTGTAAGCCTCCACAATATCGTTACGGCACTCTTAAACCAGTTTCCGCCTACACTAATAATGACAATTTTTATACTTACTCATCGTTTTGCTCCTTTACATATGAACTTTCTAGTTGCAGTGAATATATAGAACACGGCAATATCCGATATATTATATTCGACGAAACATTTAAAATAACAGCTATTCGGTTATTGTACCAAAAATCTACTTTTTTAATTAAACCTTTTACACATAATATATAGTTAATGTGGTACTACAAAATATACAAATATTACGTCGAACCGCAATAGATTTACTTGTTTTAAAAACAAATCTATCCAACGTTGTTAAACGGGTACATTCAATAGATATTCATAAATTCAAATCGCATATAACATACAAAAATATGAATATAAAAAAAAATAATTATCAAAGAATGCAACCGGCCATATGGTTGAGCGTTGTTAATCGTGTGTGGCGTTTGCGTGGTCCGCCTATGATTAAGTCTAAATACTATTGTAAACAATATATTGTTTTTCAATACACCTTTTTTAGACATACTTAGGTCATTTGTTCCTATTTTTTCAACTTGATTCATGAAACTATAATGCTTTTGTACGATGTAGTAGAGTATACACATAGTATTATTTTACTACTAAATGATAAAGTATTACAACTAAGGCAGTTCATTTGTAATAAGAAAACGAATAGTAATAAATCTAAAAATTGTATATTATAGTCACCAAACTATTTCAGTTCATCGAATGGTTTTAAAATATATTTGTAACTATTTTGTACAAAAATCTCTATTAATATAACCAGTACATATATTATTTAATAAGTATTACACTTAAATTATTTTAATTTAGGGGCTAAAATATGTCTGGTTTGATTACTTTTTTTAGAGACAAAATGTCCCTTATCCTCAGGGGAACTACACAATAGTCTGAGTACTATAAATTTATTATTAACTAGTTTAACTAGTTTATTATTATACTACCAATTATGATGTCAAAAAAATATCTAAAATAGTACACATTTAAAAAATAAAAATTCATTCACACATTTTCAACGATTAAACGTTTATAGTAAAATAATAAACCTATAACCTTCATCAGGAAATCCAAAATTCTGTTTTTCAGAATACCAAAATAGTTACAGAAGGGAAAACTCTTAATACAAGATTTACATTGGTGGAATTTTAGAGTGGGTGGCTGGGGAAGTCCATGGCCTTTAAAAATAGTAAGCTCCCTTAGAATTTTGGTAAAAACTAAAAACATTATTTGGGGGCTGTCCCTTATTGGGATTATGGAAATATGTACAATTTGAAATTTACTTACTAACAATTTATATAAAGTAAAAACTTACGACAATTAAATTAGGTAAGTACAAAAATATATACATATAAATGTATAAATTAAAGGTATATATAATACATTTTCTTTATAATAAGTACTTATAATTTTTTCCTTTCGAAAATAATAAAATGTATCAGAGTAATAATTTTACTTTTTGATAAAAATTTATTTTATTTTTTTATTAGAATATTATAACATGATGGGGTTTTAAAAAGGATAAATTGAAATCATAAAATAATAGGTAACAGTCTTATAATTATAATAGTTCAACTAGTAACGGTGATAAGAAAAATATTGTAAATGTAGCTACTTTTTTTTAAGTCAACAATAAAAGCGATTTAATTATAGTACTAATGTGTTATAAAGGTTTCGGTTTCGATGTCAGACATTTTACAATACAAACTAGAATTCTTAATAAATTGCTTTGATTGAAGTATGACATTTAAATAATTATTACTGTCCATAAAAAAATTAACGCGTCAACATCGTATTTTTAATGTCGATGAAGCGTTTATTTCCTAAGTTTTAGTTTCGAAATCGCGCCCATCATAACAGCTTACGAGGTACTTCCGTTTTTTTTTCTCTTTCAAAATCCATATCTGGTCTCATAATAGTCTTTAACAATACAACGCCAACACGAACACGGTATGCACACGTTTTTTAACACATTGCATCCTCCAAACCCAAGTCCAATTACACTTTTAATACTTTATCTTTCACAAATCATGAATGAGTTTTTGCCAGGGAAATCAAGAGCGTGTAGTGGGATTGAGTATTATTCATTCATATTGTGATATAGGTCTAACTTAGCAAGCACCATAATATTATTGTTATTATTATATATGTATCTATCTATATTGTTTTTATTGTAGTTTAACTATATTTATAAAAAACCGGTCAGACATTACGATTTCCTCGCCGAGTCTCCGGACCATGTAAGGCACTCCCACTCAAACCTTCATAAAGTCACTGATGCAGTCTTCCATATACCTTCGTAGGACGGCGGATGTGGGCAGCAGGTTTATCCGGCATGCATGCAGTATGTATATGTAAGCGCGAATATTGAGAGTTGAGACATACCCAAAATGGAAATCGAAGGAGAATGTCTAATATCAGTATTATTACTGTACACACACACACACTTATAAATATAAATCTGATTAACGCTTCCACGACTCTTTGCCCATGTTTGGTTTTTTATATTCCATAATATAATATACATTTGTATTCACAGCAAAACTGTAAATTATATACGCAAATTAATTCGATTGAAAAGTATAGAATGGAAATCAATAATGTAAATAATTATTGGCATGGAGTAAAATTAGTATAGAAAAAAAATAGAATACTAGTATAGAACGTTTTCGACCATTATTTCAGCCCACCGCCAAAACAAAAAAACAGTACCTTCTTCCCACAGGCTCTTAATAATAATTATTCATACTGTACAAACACGTTATATATATAATGTATAGTAATTTTTTTTCTTAATTGTATTAATAACGATTAATCTGATACCTCCATTCATTAATTTTACACAGCACACATATATACAAACATCGAGTACCTCAACCTACATTCAAAATTCAGATATATAAATTGTAATCTTTACATTGCATTTAAAAAGTGTATTTCGTTTGAATATTTTAACAACCGTTTTTGTAGCATTAACGGATTTTATAAATTTACGTTTTTTTTAATTCTTTATTTGTTAGGAATCAAATATTATGTTTTCAGAAATACCCTTAATTTTTGGAAAAATATTCATTTTATAATTCAAACTGTCCAAAAAAACAAATAATAACTGCTTTTTTGAACACATAATTGTAAACACAAATCCTATATAAAAATAAAATAATAAAACGCTAAGAAAAATTAAAATGTATTAATAATTAATTACAGCGATTTACATAATATTAAATTATCGCTACAATTTATTTATTTAATTAATAAATTAATTTGTACAAATGATAATGATAAGTAAATGCAATATCAGCGATAAGAGATATAGCAGCTGGTTTAGGTGTTACATGTGTCGTTCATTGTAAAAGTGAATTATCCCCTTGTAATTGAATTTGAAATAATGAGCTTTTTGTAAATTAATGTGTATTAAAAACAATACAAGTATTCATTCTGTTTTTTCTATTTGTTATTTATTTTTGCATTTATATTTGCTTCTCTTTTATAACGAAAAATGTGACTAAATGTGGAGTTACATCACTTTTACAATAATCGACCATAATGAGTCTACATTATGAAACGACAAAAACAAAACGAGTCTTTCTGAAAATGTATACTTGATTCCTAGATCCGTGACTCAGACTCTCGGTTGAGGTAGGTATTTTTATAAATCTGTGTTATTCCATGTCCTCGTTCATTTTTTTCTTATCAGTCACGTAAACGGCCGACGTCGGACAAAACGAATGTGGATAATTGTGTTAACTTGTTGTTTTATTTTTAAGGTAGCGTGAGTCAAGTTGCTAAAAGATTGCGCAAACTTATCAGTAAAAAAGTTCTTTCTGTACAAGATAAATTAAACTTGTTGTCAGCCTAAATCTCAAAACTTGTAAGTCCAAATTCGTAAATTTTTAGGAAAATCGAGTTAAATTTGTAATAATTTTTTTTAGAAATGTTCGGAGTTTCAACTTTATCAAACCATGCGGCTTTTTTTCGCCATTTAAGAAAAACAATCCCGAAAACAAAAATTATGAAGTTACGACTTTTTTCGTGTTTGAAGTGAAAGTGGTAAACTTTTTCCATTTATGGCCTTTTAAAATGCCTGTGAAAATTTTGTAAATTTACTGTTAATACTGGCCTCACATACTTGTCTTGCGCAAAGCAGATTTGATGGGAAAATTGTAATTTATCCTATAGAAATATGACTGTGATAGTCTGGCAAAAAAATGGCCATCAACAAAGTATACTCATTACTGTATTAATAAGTATATACATTATAGTTCAAACTCTAATTGTAAGTTAAAATTTTTTTAAAAATTGCCTATACTTTACTCCTTAGAAATGGCCTGGGTAGCGTCGTCTGTTGTTGCTTTGTTTTTGCTGTTTGGTATATTCTGTTGAACGCAACCCCTTACAAAACCGCGTATAGACAACTAAACGTATTATGCTGATCGAGGCGAATATAATATTTTTATCCTCAGCGGCCGCTGCCTCGGTTTGGTAACCGGCCATCAGGTGAATCGGGTTTGCGGTATAACATGCACCAGTAACCGCGTATACCGTCACGTTCGGTTAATGACCAACAGCAGCAGCTGTTTCCCCGTTGGATGGCAACCTTGCTCTATTGTTCGTCCCCCCCTCGTCACGTTTTTCACCGTGCCATAACACTACCCATTACCCACTTTGTCATTTTTATATACTCATACGTGATATTTTCTTACCAATACCATACGCCATACAGATACGGATCACGAATATGTTTTATTTTTTTTTATTTGACTATTATTACTACATTTCTTATTATTTTTCTTAACAAGTGTGAAGCATAAACATCTCGATAACATCGTGAACGTTTGCAATTTACCGTTTTAACCATCGACGCCTCACTTTCGAGCTGTTTCTACATGCGCTGACTCGTTTTTTTTTTTATTGTTTTGTGAATTCATCAAAAAACCTTACTACCTATATATCTACGTTGTATTTATTTTTACCGATATTTATTGGGATAAACGATTTTTGGACGATCACGTCATTATCAGCTGAAAATAATTTATTATACTCACTAGTGTAAAAATAAATACATTACAAAATTGTTTTGAGATCACAATTTATTGCTAATCGACGACGGGTGATTTTTTGTTCAGATATAAAATGCGCAGTATATTTTGTTCATTCGACTAGTGTGTTAACATAATGCGTATTTTGTGACTTATATATATACTTAAAAATCGAATATATAAACGTGGTCACTGCGTGCAATCAACAACTTCAGTTCCCAAACATTTATGGCTAACAATCAGAATTTGTCGACAAGCGCCCACAGAGCTCTTGCGCACGAATACAAAAGTTTGCAAGAAGAGCCTGTCGAAGGGTTTAGGGTCAAGTTGATCGAAGATAACCTTAGAGAATGGGAAGTAGCCATATTCGGACCTCCAGAAACCCTCTATCAAGGAGGATATTTCAAGGTAGTTGCATATTATTTTAATTTTCCAAATAATCTGTTCCGACGTAAAAGATAACGTTCACCTCTTATCGTTTGCAAATATTTGCTTAATATCGGGTAGTTTTGTAAAATAAGTTTGAATTTTATATACAATTCAAACATACGTAGGTAGGTATGACTGAAGTTTATCGTAATAAATGTTCAGTACTACAAATTTATTGCTCGACCAAAATTAATAAATTTTGTCAAGCTAACTATACAGTTGGGGCAGCTTGAAATGTATAGCCCGTAGCGACATAAACCTGTTAAGGCAACAACTTTAATACCAAGTTTAATCTTAAAAATCTATAACGACAACCTTTTACATTGTGCCTAAGAAAATTGGAACAAAAAAACAATCTGCATTCACTTAGAACACTTGATCGTCACATTGGTTCTAAGCAATTTTATCCATCTGGATGGAAAAAAATATGCATCGTCTAATGCACATGTGCTAAAACAGCTGTAACCATAATTTAACTAACAATTTAAACTTAAGTTTACGGTGATAACAACACTATCTTTTCTCTGCTTAAAATAGGGTCTAAATGACAATATCAGGATTTATTGGTTTATAATATATACAATATTATGGTTTATTCAGGTTATTGCTATTTGAATTTTTTTTAGCTCTGCTATAAACTACCAAAAATTTTGCTTAAATCTTTTGCCCTGTAACATTATGTTAATTAAAACATTCAATTATTACTAATCCTCTTTAATATCGTTTTAAAATTGTATTGTAAACACATAAGTTTGGCATAATATGAAGCTGTTGAAAATAAGTAAATAGGTCATAACTCATAACAAAATATTTAAGCTGCGTAATTTTACACATTTTATATTCATTACAATTAACATTTCCAATCATCAATTTTTTATTGCTATTAAATTTAAAATAGAATAAGCTTTTCTGTTCATGAACTTCAAAAAATATTAATGGTTTTAAATATTATATTTTTAAAAAAAAATCTCATTTTTATTCATAAAAAATAATTATGAATGTTATCAAAGTATATGTTAAATAAATAAAATCTTTTATTGATATTAGTTAAATAAATAAATAGTTTGATTGTTTTGTTAACACCATGTTATGTACAATAAATTATTATTATCAGTATTGTGGTTCAATGCCCTAAATTTATGTGCTTGTTTTCTATTTTGTATTGTTTTATTTTATGTTGTTTTAGGCACTTATGAAATTTCCAGCTGATTATCCATATTCACCGCCGAGCATTAGGTTTTTAACAAAAGTTTGGCACCCTAATGTATACGAGGTAAGTAAATATTGTTTCGTGTTGTAAAAAAACTTGCAAACAATTTATTTTGTAAATCCTTGTTTTACATATAATTTATATTTGTAGTATTTCAAGTTGAAACAAAAGAAACTCATTTAAAAGTAAACAAATAATTGCTTTATAAAATAGAAATTTTAATAACATAAAATGACAGATAACATTTTAACATTAAAAAAATGCATTTAAATTAAATTATTGAGGATTTTGCCTATCAAAAAATTACAAAAAACTTCTTTTATATTTTTTACTGTTGGTTCGAAAATCATAAAAAATGTTTTGCAAATTAGTAAAAACAAAAAGCATTGTGATTCCTTGGTTCATTGTGTCAGGGTTGAATCTAAGGAAAGGCATACTTCTCTAGGTCACTGTCAAGTTTTTGTCCTTTTAAGAACACAAACAGAATTATTCTACTAACTATGATCTGTTGGCCACTACTCGCTTGTAAAAATACTAGTTTAGTTGTAGTACCAAGGTAAACTTATATTATTATTATTATTAGATGTGGGAAATGTAACACATTTGTAGCCACTAAAGTGTGATATAGACTTGCTTGTGTTTGTTAAGGTCATTGTTCAGCTAGTGGGATCATTTAAATATTACATCCTAGGTCATGGTAAATATAATTTTTTAGTAACACAAATGCAACCTTCTTTATGATAAACTAAAACCAGTTTAAATTTCAGAAATATTTGTTTAATTGATTTTATCAAATTCTTATACCTACTCACTTGTAAAATATACATTTTTTAATAATATTATTTTAAAAATTATGTGTTATAACACAACTAGTAATGTAAAAGAGAAAAGTAGAATTACCTGCATTTTGTAATTTGAAAGCGTGTAATTGAACACTTTCTAATAAAACTAACTGTTTTGATATTAGTTTTTTTTTTAAACTGACATCTAGTAAATTAGTTGTAGATAATATAATGGTTTTTTTTTGTTCTACAAGGATCTGTTTATAAATTATCTAACAAACAAAAGAAGAAACTATTTAGTAACATTTAAAAAAACTTTTTTTTATGCAAATATAATCAAAATAATAATTATAGGTGTGTAATCTATTAAAATATAATAGTCATTTTTAATATTTTTAATGAAACGCTTTATTTTATACTCTAAAATATGTTGGGAAACTGTAAACAAATCATCAAGGATTTTCCATTTATAAACACATTGCTTAACATTTTTTCTTTTCTTTGTTTCTAGAATGGTGATCTATGTATTTCAATTCTTCATCCACCAATAGACGATCCTCATTCTGGAGAATTGCCCTGTGAAAGGTGGAATCCTACCCAAAGTGTCAGGTAATTTTTTTTTGTCTTATAATAAAAGGTAACTTTTTAAAAATTAATTAATTCCAATTTATTGAATGAATTTTTTGTATTGACAATACTTTTGGAATACTTGATTTATAATAATTAATACGTAAGTGTGTCGGCTAATATTGTTTTAGAAGGTTACAAAATCATAGTTAACAAATAAAAAAAATGTATTCACATATTAAAGTTTTCAGCGGCAACTGTTCAATTAAATATTGCATGCTCAGTTAGGGTAAATATTATAGTCTCTACCTAGACCTTACACTTATTCTTTGAAACTAAGTATGATAATACAAATTAGTGATGTGCACAGTTGACTAATTCCTACACTCGAAAAATACTGTGTTACTTATTTAGTTACTTTCTTTTAACTGTTAGTCGATTTATAAATAAAGAATAAATTATTTAACTAAGGCATTATATGACTAATGATTAATAACTAAGGTCTAAGAACTAACTATTTTACTTTCATGTAAAGTCATCATAACCTGCACAAACTTGAGCATTATTTGTATGATTAATATTAGTTAACTTATTGAAAAATTAGTTGACAAATACATTTTTTTTTTCTAAATTAGTCTGTCAAGCAAAATATAATATTGTAATAATGAGTCGGCTGTAATAAATAACCCGTTAAAAATGATTTTCTTTTTCAATTTACAGGACAGTATTACTTTCTGTGATTTCCCTATTGAACGAACCAAATACGTTTAGTCCAGCTAATGTTGATGCTTCTATCATGTACAGGAGATGGAAAGACTCAAAGGGAAAAGATAAAGAATATGAAAATATAATTAAGTAAGTTTTAAATAAATACTGATTATATTTATATATTAAATATATAAAAAAAGTGTTAACTTATATGTAATTTCTTCTCATATTACCAAATATTTGAAATGTTTTTAGAAAACAAGTTGTTAGCGGCCGATTAGAGGCTGAACGAGATGGTGTTGTTGTTCCGCTTACATTAGAAGATTACTGTAAAGTCAGTTCAACAGCTCGTTCTTCGACTTCAGCAGCCGCTATGGACAGTGATTTTTACGTCGAAGACTACGACTTAGATGTCGAATCGGATGCAAACTCTGAAGACGAATATCAAGATGATGCAACCGACAGTGGCAATGGTGAATCATGAAATTGAATGACTAGAAAAGACATAAAAATACAAAATATAATTTAAAAAAAAAATAATAACGATAAAAAAAAAGACCAAATAAATATTATGGACAAAAACTTGTCTGCACCGAACAAAATCATTTAAGCTTTATCGATTTAATGGTTTGTGTATTTGGTCAATTGGTCTTTTTGCATGTGATCTAATTAAAATAAAGCAAAGACGGCTATTGTCCTTATACTATCTGCGGTCATTTAAACATGTTAAATCAAATAACAACTAACACACATTATAAATATATGTACATATATATGATATATTTTGTTCCCTTAGAAATTTTTATGCATAATTTATATATTTTGTAAACAAAAAAATGTTAAAACTCTCAAGAAAAATCATTTAAATGAATCCGTCTAATTTTACCCCCTATAAGTTTGTCCTTATTACTTATCTGTAACCTATTACCTTATCCTTTTTTTTTTAATTTTATTTAGTTTAAAAATTTAATGTGAAGAACAGACGACCACAAACCATGTTAGTGTATATTTCATTTTTTTAAATTAACATTCGGTATTTTTTTTTCAACACACCATTGGTGTGTGTGATATTAAAATATAATGTTTCATCGTTGGCTTTTTATATTCAATTGCAACTTTGAGAACTACTTGTTAATATTCAAATTTTGAAAACAATTATCGGTACTAATAATTTGTTGACAAACATTAAAAGATTATTTTGATTTATTTCCTCCTTTGGAATTTTATTGATATCATATAATATTATTTTGTTTTACTTATAAACTGTTAAAAAGGTTAATTTAAATAAGTTTTTACTTAAAAAATTAGAAATATTAAAATCAGTGATTCAAGTAAAACCCAGTCAAAACATATAACATACATATTTTAATAGATATATATTTTTTCTACGTTTTAAGTTGTTTTTTAAACAAAAGAAACTGATAATTATTAATTGTTGTTCAGGTTATTTTTTTCTAATATATTGATATACTAAATATTTTTAGAGATCAAGAAATTTTGTTTACTAGTGATTTTAACTTTTTAAACTGTGATGAAAGCTACTGAATAAATTTGATTGTACAACTCTATAGCTTTGACGATAATAATAATGCTCTATGGTAATCGTCCAGTGGTGTAGTCGTAAGTGAGTATACGAATGTACTCGTAACAGATAAAGTGTCCTTGCATTTAAAAAAGTGGAAGGTCAGTAAACTGCATATATCCGCTGCAACTACATTACTGTTATTGTCTGTTCATTTGAAAATGTGTTAATGAAAATTCTGTGTGAAATATTAAAGAGCTAATTACTAATTAAGTGTAACTTTGGTTTTACCATTTATTTTAAGAATTTTTTTTTTTTTAACCTAATTTCTTTAGTTTCAAATTTTGATTACCATTTTTCTGTTAATGGAAAGTGGTTATTTTTATTTAGTTACCTACAATTCTTCGAAACGAGGTTTTCTTCAGACTACGGGTTGAAAAACACGTGCATATTATAATTTTTTTGTGTTGTGGATATATGCGATTCTTAATTATAAACAAATTTTTTAATGTTAGCTTTATTAAATTGTTGATACTTAAATTTTGTGGTTATACAATTTCGCCAAAATGTAGCGAAAAAAATAAAGGTTTTATACAACAATTTTAATACCTATTGGCATTAATGTGTAAAAATTATGTTTAATTTGTGAAACGATTTAGTAAAATTTGTCTTTTTTTTATTCTTGTTATTATTTTTTTTATATATACATATATTTTACATACATTAGTGTTTACCAAATAGTGGCTGTTTATTTCAAATGTAATAGATACATTGATTAGCAAAAACAGACCATATATGGTGACGTCCAGGAAGTCCTTCGCCTGGCAATTTAGTACTAGAGACAAAAAACGACTACACTGAATTATCTATTGTGACGTCGTGCCGACATTGTGTACTCCGAGACCTTGTTAGTCGTTACTAACATATTACATTATCTACTATTTAAAAAACGAATTCAACGTCAACAGCATGTTAAATTTTTCGGCTTACAATTTAGAGGTTAAATAGTCGACGTTTGTGTTTGTGCTATTAAAAACAAAACTACGATTTTTTACCAAAAAAACAACGATATTGTTGCACGTTCCTTAACTGTAAAAAATAAAAGGTTAAGTAAGTATTTCATGCACATAAAAGAGTAGAATGGAAAATAAATGAATCTCAAACAAAGGATCATTTTGGTTTTCAAAACAATTAGGTATGAGAGCCAACAAACCTTTATGTATAGCAATACGAAAGCAATACTGCTTTCGTAGGTCTAGAGAAAGCATTCGATAAGGTTAATTGGACATGCAACGATAGAAAAATCACAATATACAAACTATAAAAAGCAATAAACAAAAAGAGGCTACAAATGCAAAGGGTGTAATAAGTTACACCCTATGTATAAATTGAATAAAAAGGTAGGCCTTTTTATTCGATTTATACATAAAGAAAAAGTTGAGGGAAGATAGATAATATTGGGGGGATATCTGTACAAATGCTGTGTTTTGTACATGACATAGCGGTGGTTGCAAATAACGAGAATGACTTCAGTAATATGCTAAAACAAATTAACAATACTATAGATTTAGAGATGTCATAAAAGAATTATAAAATCTAAGATAATTACATTAAATGAGCAACAGAAACAGCTGACGCAAACGTGGGAAATAAGATTATTAATTATGTAACGTGTGGGACTTAGGATAGCGCAAGCAAACAAGCTTTCTAGAAAAAAACCTTTTTACCTCGAACGCAGTAAGTTTGGACATTAAAAAAACCATCTTATCAAAAGTTTTGTATGGAGCTGAAGCGTGCACAATACTTAAGGTCGAGAAGAATAAAATTGAAGGCTTTACAGTGTGGTATTGAAGAAAAGCATTATGTAGAAAAAGAAGAGGATAAACACATAAAAGTCAATGTGGAATACGCATTATTAGGGAGGGAAGGAAAATGGACATTTAATAAGATATAATACTTGAATAACTGCAATAATCGAGAGACGGAAATACAGGAACGCCGTTTATGAAGCAACTGTTGGAAGACACCGGAGTAAAGACTTATTTATTGTGCTTAAAAAGACCCATAACTCATAAACGACAAGGGGAAATGAAAAAACATGGATCATTCAACTCGTCTTCAAAATGAAAAAAATGTGTTTCCTTAACAATTTTTAAGTTGAGAATATTTCTCTACTGAAAATGTTGACTGGTCGATTATCCACGAGTGGTATTGTAAAAAAAAAACTAAATAAAGAAAAGAAGGTAAAGTAGTAATACAAAAAAGAAAGGGAAGAGTTTTTTATATGTTTTTAGTTAGTCCACGTACTATGTTGATAATACTATGTCTATTTTTAAAATATCTCGCACAAGTTTGGAAGTAATTCGACTATTTTAAAGGTTTGATTAAATTGGTTAAAAGTGTTTAATTTTTAAACAATAATTAATGAACTATCTTACAAATAAAATTTCTGATCCATAGATATCTGCTACATAAAGAAATCGGTTTTGCGTTTTAAAAGATATTATGTCACGCATAAAAGTAAAGAAAAAAAAAATAATAGGTCTATATCAAAAATAAAATGTCTATTTAAAAACACCGATTTTTTTTTCTAATGTTTCACTTTCAAAAATAAAACACATTATTTAAATTTTAGTTGCAAGCTGCATCAATTAATATATGCTGGCCCATTATATTGTAATGTAACAATAGGCGATAACAATGACATTTATTATTGTAATTCATTTTTACAATAATTTTATTAATGACGATAGAAAATTAATATGTGTATATTATAATTTTTGCTTGCCCATCAAGTATCAACTAACAATAATTTATCTTGATATTTTGTTTCAGAATCATATAGTGTTTCTGTCACTTGTACAAAATAATATAGTATACACATATAATGGACGGAGGTAACTCTACTCCAAATAACCTATTATTTTGTTTTGTAAAAGAGTCTATTATATATTTTATGACCAAATTAATGCCTAACTAAAGCAATATTGGCCATTTTTATATTGATTCAAATTCAGGACCAAGCCCTAACGCTTACCAATTGCCTACGACCATTGGCTTTCCGCACCATAGTTTGATCAAATGTAGAAATCCAGCAGTAATGATTGGCCAAGAGCTGAAAGTCAAAACGACAAATAGCCAAGGGATGTTGTACAATATTCGAGATCATACTCGATTCGGTAAAGCACATCAACCAAAATACAATTTTAGTAAGCAAATGACCAAGGTCCAAGGTAAGTACCCAAAGAATCCAAGTCCCAAATACATAATAACTACACTAATTAATTGCATTGGCATTTGAACTTTATTTGGCGTTACAGAATGCTTACCGGCTCCGAATAGATACTATCCAGAAAAAGCTATAGGTTTCGTAAAGCCCAAATACCCACAAATATCGTTAAAAAGTCGCACCAACATAGGAAAAATAGCGCAAGAAAGTCCGGCCCCAAACATGTATATTTTACCGAGCGCCATACAAGTGAAACAAGCGAATATAATTACAGAGCCTACCAAACCGTACATATACATCTACATAGTATTGTAATAGAGATTGAAAATTAAAAAAACATTTTACAGACGTGTACTGTCAAAACACGACCAGGGTCCGGCTCCCAATAGATATCTATTGCCGCCAACAAATAATTACAAGTATAAAAATACAATGAAAGTGAAAATGTGGCCCAAAACTGAACAGAAAACAAATACAGATGGTCAGCCCGCACCAAACTTGTACAACGTAAGTGGCGATTTGAACCAAGAGACCAGAGGAAAAACATTTGGGAAAAAAATTGGTGAAAAACGAATTATATACTTAACAACAGAAGATTTGAAATAATCATTTATTTGGCCATTATAATATATACTATATAATAATTTTAACATTTACAACTAAAATACAAGCAATTTGTACACTGCTGTGTACTTACCTCTTACTTTTCTAAATACACGCACATTTAATTAGCATCAAATGTACTTTATCCGCAGGTATGTAATTTTTATTATGGGTATACGTTTATACCTATTTCAAATCAAAGTATACATAAAGAAAAGTGAGAGCTGAGTACAAACAGGATACACCCTTATGACAATAACACTAAATACAAGTTAATTTTGAAAATCAAAAATGATTTGAAAAAAAAAATTATACAAGAATTAAAAAATAATGTAAATTATGAGGTAAAATACGTTCAAAAAAATTTTTTTTTTAACAAATTAAATTTAATATTAATTAATATATTCTCATATTCTGCAAATTTTCAGTGTACTGATCGTTTAAATTTCCTCATTTATTTCATAAAAGGATAATAAATAAACGGGTAACTTTACAACACGATTAACTATAAAAACTAATTCTTAACAAGTATTACATTATATTATTAAGCTTCTTAAGAAAAATTTCAATAAGTAAATTTTAAGCTGCCTGACAAAAATATAACAAACTCTACGGTTTTATCTTAAAAAAATAATGACATGAAATATTTCCATAAAAATAACCAGATCTTATTTTTACAAATTATGTGTTAAAAATTATTTTTGCTTCCTAATAATAATAATAGGTCCTTAGTTGTGTACTAAATCCTTTCCTCGTGTCTAATATATCAGTATTTAAATAACATAAAAGCTATAAAGAAAATAGTATTTCTAAAAATATATATATATATTATATATAAAATAAAATTACCGTTTCTCCTCGTTTAAATTGTTTATAAATATATCAAATTTAAATAAGTTATAAATGAGTCTTCATTTTAACAATATTTTCTAATAATTTTATAGATGTGACTAATAAGAGAAAATTGTTGTTTATTATTAGTGTAACATGATGACAGACATCATTGTTGTTATAGTAATTACTACAAATTATTAATTTTTAACTACCACTGTATCAAGAGATATTGTTTAATTCAACAACAACTTAATCTAGTAATATTTATTGTACGCCTTAAGAATGAGTTAGATATTATGTTTAACTTGCAGCGTGTTTTTTTTAATAACACAAAACCTTTTATAAATATAATTATTAACAAAGAAATATAACAAAACAAGTGACGTCGACGACATAAAAATATATACTTATATGATTATTGTTTATCAATAATTAATTATTGACATTTACTATTGTAATAATAAAAGGTTGTTTCAAAGATCACTGTGACAATGAGAGATTTCTAAATTCTCACTGTCATTTGTTCCTTTTTTAAAATCATTTTAGATAAATAAAAGGTATATACCTATAATAACCTAACTAGGAACAGTTATTTGTTTTTTATTATTTTAAACCAGATGTTAAATTTAACTATAATGACTTAATAAATTAACAATTTAATAACTATTGACTGAAGTTTAAAATACTGAACATTTATAAATGCATATTAATAAATACCTTCAATCTTTTTTAATATCTAAAGACTTAAATATAAAGTCTTTAAATGCGGCATATGTTTTGTCCAACGAATCGTTTACTATAACAAAATCGAAGTTTCCCGGCGTTTCCCCTACAAAGTGTTACAGTTTAATTGAATACAGTATTAAAGAATTAAATTGAAATTTATGATTTCTCACCATAATTTATTTCTTGTTCTGCTGTAGACAATCTCGATTTGAGGGTACTTTCAGATTCTGATGCTCGTTTACGTAGTCGGGCTTCTAACTCTTGGATGCTGGGAGGCTTGATGAATACGTAGACAGGTTTTAGGGAAGTTATCTTTTTTACTTGCATCACACCTTGCGTGTCAATATCGAGTACACAAACTTTACCGCTCTTCAGCACGGCCTGAACAGCGCTTAAGCTGTATTACAAGAAAACAGTTGCAAAGCGTAAACAAATTGGCACAGTTTTGCTATTAACAGTGCAACACAAACACTCACCTAGTGCCGTACATGTTGTTGGAAAAAACTGCGTGCTCGAGGAATTCGCCCCGATCTATGCACGCTTGCATTTCTTCTTTGGTGGTAAAATGATAGTGTTGGCCGTCCACTTCAAAGTTACGCGGAGGACGAGTGGTGTGCGACACTGAGAAGCCAAATTTGTCGGCAAACTCATCGAACAGTTTCAACAACAACGTGGATTTGCCGGAGCCTGACGGGCCGCAGACCACCAACAATTTGGAGTTTTTTTGATGGACCATTTTCATAAAACCTATTAAATCTATGCACAGTGAATGTAGAGTAACGACACAATCGTTTATACGACTTCAGCAGCAATCAAACCATCATAATTCAATTAACGGCGGTGTCGAAAAGCAACAATACATTCAAACACTTACAGGTGTAAATGGCGATTGCGGTCGAATTCTACTAAATGTAAGCGTAGTACTACTATTGCAATGGATCGCAAGCAAACGTGAGAAGGGTATAATATTCTCTATAGGAAAAAACGATAATAATACACGTTGGCCGTGCGAGTGTGCGACAATCCAGTCAACAAGTCTACTTGTATTATTGTTGTATAGGTAGATAAATATCATATATATAAATGATAATGATGAGTTAAGTACACAATAATATGCAAAACACGCGCGCGCGTCAAGTGGATTTCCATGCACGATAATGCAGGACCGGCATCGTGGCTGTTGCACGATATAAATGATAATTGATAATATTGTATAATTTTTGGTTATGAGAACCAACAAGGGTTTACAATAAAATTAGCATGTTTTAGCGTCATGCTTTTTGTTATTTATTTGAAAAAAAAAACTCGAAAACCGGCAAAACAACTAAGAAAATATAAACTTTCTCACCTCGTAAAAAACGCATCAACATAATAAATTAAACGCGTAATTTAATAATTACACTTTACTAGTCTTTTATTTTTTTTTATATTCTTGTTTGCTCTGCGAACAACACGTTTTTTGTTTTTAATTATTGAAAGTTGATGGTTAATAATTATTTCCTCGCCTCATCGTTATTGCATAGACAATGAACGTCGGACGCGGGACGAGTGTAATAATTTTTATACTCTACCCATATAAGAAAGGTAGTGCGCAAAATCCAAAACGCGTCACTCCTGGCTGCGCAGGCGCATATAAGAGTAAAGCCGTTGGGTTTCTGCGCACTACCTTTCTTATATGGGATAAATTACAGACTGAGACTACAATATCGCACACGATAATGGCTGGTGTTAAAAATACCCACGTATTGTCTATAATTTAAAAAAAAATGGTTTTTTTTACATATAAATATATCGTACAAATATTTAGCCATTCATAAATATAAAATTTTACAATCATATATATTTTATTAGATTTTTCATGTATCGTCGTTGCCCCGAAAAAACCTCCCGAGTGCCGATTTTACAAATTTACATTATAAAAAAATAAGCTACATGGTACGTTTGACAAAATCTCCAACGTACTATCTCCAAGTAGAATAAATGAAAAAAAACCAAGTATTACCTAATATAAATCGTTTTACACGTTTTAGTGTCTCCTGAACAATAATTAGGTTTTAGCACAATGGTCAATGCACATACGTTTTTTCGCGGCAACGACGAAATACTGAGATTTAAAAATATTAAACTATAAATACTAATAATTTTGGGCACCACTACCGAAACAGTTAAAACTGAAGTTGGGTACTTGGGTCATCCTCCTTATCAACCACATACACTCACGCTCTACATCTAGTGTGCTCGTGCTGTGTGATACTGACTGATGGATGTGAACGCGGTTTTTTGAAATTAATGAGTCATTTTCTCGCAGTTACATCATATTGTAATATTATTCGAGTTAACATATTCATTAATTAACAATATTGTAAATTTAAAAGTGTCCAATGTATCATGTCCTACGGGTTAGAAAACGCACAGTTTGTTCAAAAAATAAATTCGGAGGTGAGTATTTACTGATTTACCAATGTATTTCATTTAATTACTACATCCCTATATTTTATTGTCTGTATTGTTGACATCAAATTCGCGGCCGCATTTCCAATTTTTTAAACAAATTCTGCCACTAAATTAGTAATTTTCTTTGTTGGATTACTTATCGGCCAATAAGTATGTATAGTATGTCTTCTACGTATGATATTGATGCATTAAATGTTTTCACTCTATTCTTATACTTAGTTATGATTTACACTAATAATGATAAATTTTACTGTGATATGATATCTACAATGTTTTTTTCTCGATGGATAACTTAAATTAATCAGTTACAATGAGATTATTTTAAAATTAAAAACAATTTAATTTAATTGCTTTTAATAACATAACATGTACCATAAGAGTGTTTATTTTTATATTGTTCAACCAAGTCACTTAATATATTAATAATAATAAAAAAATACTATTCTTTTCTGTACACAATACACATATGGAGGGTTCAGAACTCAAAATGAACCAAGTCAATCACAGCTGATTTCATATAATTGGCCCCTAAATGGTTTTATGTATAATCTTCACTGTGGTACAATACAGTATACATGTGGCCATTATGCGGCATTGAGATGAACTTAGGACTTGGTTCACTGTGACACTGAAAGCTATTACTTTTATGCCTGTTTTGCATGAAAAACTTCATAATCTAAAAATGTATAAATTCAAATTATCTAAATGTATAAAAAGTTATTCAGTGTCGTTAAAAATTGTATTTATTTATATGAATAATTCTTTTTCGATTTTTTAGTTCTCTTATCATTTTTAATTAGTGACAGTGATAGTGCTTACCTCTCCCCCCCTGTTTTTTTATACTTATATTCAATTTTTTTTAATTAAAAAAACTGTTTTATTACTCAAAGAGCATAATGATGCGTAAGAGGACGAAAGTTCGAAGTCTCCTTTTCTTATAAAATGTTTTATTTATTTACTAAGTTTTATGACCAATTGCCATAAAAATTTTAAATGACTACCTAACAGTTTATATGTAAAATATGTTTTTTTGCTTTTTAGTGAAATTGAAACAGTTTTGTTGAATGCTAGTTTTGATTGATCAGCTGCTATCATCTTGTTGGATTTTTTCATGATTTTCCAAATTGTTTGGCCTGATTAGTAGTAACTAGATTATTTAACCTGTTATTTTGCCCTTCACAATAGCTATTTGTACACCTGTCATAATTTTTCGCCATCTCAAACAAATTCCCTGTGTCTTGGGGGGGAAAGCTTTGGGACCCATTTCAACAATAAATAGTTAATAAGCTTGGAAGATTCACCTACCTGTTTTCGAAAAGAAAAAAAATTATATCGTAGTAGGTATAAGTCAACATTCTAATCTATGTATTATTTAACTACAGTGTAATTTTGTTTTCAAATTGTAGATCTTTTCACATTTCATATAACTCAGGTGTTATCTATTTTTATTACAAACATGAAGTTAAAATAGATAAGACTCGGTCTACCTGAACAAATATTAAATCTAACAACAATAAATAGTGTGGCATAATACTAGAATGATAATCCCGTTTTACTACATTCTGAAAGATGATATCTAGATTAACTAAATGCTTAACATGTTTACATAGTATTACCTTTTTATAAAAAAACAAATATAAACAATTTTAATACCATTATTTTTGGATGTTTAGGTAAAATTAAGTGTAAAACACATTGTTTTATTCCGCCCTCTATTTACTCGGAACCTTGGTTATTAAATTTTTGAGCTGCCGTTTTTGACCAAATACTTGAAAGTATTTTTTAAAAATATATTTCAAGTTTACAGTAATACATCAAATCAAAATTAATGTCAACTAATATCTTACAAACCAATATTGATAATGAGTTGCTCTGCCAAACTAAAATCATTGTTTATAATATAAACTTAATTAAAAATAAATTATCAAAAACAAAACAATTATGATTGTATATTTAAATATAAATGCGAATAAAGGTCAACGGAGATTATGAATTCTAGTGTCTATATCAATGTGTATTCAGATTAGATATACGTACATAAATATGTATATTATGGATTATGTTCTGTATCAAAAGATTTTCGTATTATTTAAAACATTTGTTAATTTTTGTAATATCCTTTATACTAGATCATTTATTATTTTATGCATTACAGGCTTTGGAAAAAACTGAATTGTTGGAGAAAAAATGGAACACATATAAACAAGAATACGAAGATTTGAAGAAATGTCTAGACGAATATCCCAAAGAATTGTCTGCTTCTATAATGATGCCTCTTGGCCCGAGAGTATTTGTACGTGCTAAATTATGTAACACTAACGAAGTGATAATTAGACACGGTGAAAATATATTTACCAAGCAAACGGCATTTCAAGCGAAATCTGTGTGCGAACGAAAAATTAAAAGTATATTAAATATTATTGTTTTGATAATATTAAGTTTATGCTTATTAAGATTTTAATTTAGGGTGTAGTGACGCACTCGCAGCTATAGAAAAAGAAAAGAATTACTTATATTCCAATATGAGTGCAAGACAAGAGATCACTACTGGCGCTACTGAGGAAATAATCGAACCATTAGACGAGGCTGAAGAAGAGGCCTGGAGAGGTAAACAATTGGTTTGCTGATTGCATTAAGCAATTTACTAACACATGAAGTCATATTAAATGTAGATTTGAATTATGACTAAATATTTGTTTAAATATTTTGATTATAGAAAGGCATAGACTTAAGGAAAAAGAGTACAGACAAAAATTAGCAGAAGCACGAGAAAAAGAATCGAAATGGCAAGACGATCCATTGAAGAGGCTCGAAGAATTAGAATTACTCGAATCGTTAAAAGACGAAATGATAAGGTATATTTTTAAAATTTTTATTAAAAATAATATTTTATGTTTTTATTATACTTTAACAGAAACGATATAGATGTAGACAGTGATGAGAGTTCTACAAACGAAAGCGACGACAACGATGATGATGAGGATGATGAAGACTTCGATAATGTGGACAACAATGATGATAATGAAGAGGAGAATGATGCTAAAGAAATAGAAATTGTATTTAGCAAAGATGAACCAGAAACTAATATAAAGAGAAAAAAATTGTCCAAGAAAAAAGTGTCGTTTAATAATGATGTTCAAGTTAAAGAATTTGAGACGAGGCCAGAAGAATATTTTATACCTAGAAAAGATGAACCAAAAATAGAAAAACCAGAAGTATGTTTAAATAAAAAAAAATATATACATAATAATTTACTAATATTTTATTCACATGTATAATAAAAATTGTTTTAGATATTTGTAACCGAAATCGATGATATAGTGGAAAGAGAGTCAGAAATATCTATAGAAAATAATAAAATACCTTCTGAAGTTGAAGATTGTAAGGACAATACCCGACCCGTAAGCAGGTTCAAATCTAATAGACTAAAACATAGAAGTAACTAAGTATTGTAAGTTAGTTTTTTTTTTCTGTATTAAACTATATGTGTGTCTATTGTTAAATACAATTATTTATTTTATAAATAATATACATAATTATAAATATGTTTTATTTTATCAATAATGTTGTACAGCTTTAGTAAAATATTATGTGATTGTATTGTTAAAATATTTCGTTTTTTTAAAGTTGATAAATTATGGATTTTTTTGACAATAGTATTTTATATTAGACGTATTCTTTAAAAGGTCTTGAAGAAATTTTTTACATCTCGGCATAAATTGGTTGACTAGTCTTATAAGTGTTGATAAGTAAGGATAATAATTGTTAAACCTCTAAATAACACATTTAACAACATAATTAACCTGTTTATCCTAAAAAAGCTCAAATTAAATGGAAATGGCCTGGTTTAAAAAGCTTAAAAATTGGTAAGCTTTGAGAACTTATTTTTGAATGAAATATCATTTCATTGATTTGAAATTTAAATGTGAAAAAGTGTGTTGGAAATATTAGGTGGAGATAGTTTTTGGAGAATTTATTATAATCTATTTGCAGCTGATTGAAATGCTGAGACCTTTAAAATTCGTTCAAATCATTTTTAAGAACATGTGTGATATATATATATATATATATATATATATAAATCATTAAAAAGAATGTATAAAATCTGGTTTACCTAAATAGTGCATATAATTTAACTATATGAGGTTTAAAACGGTTAAATATTTATCATCAAATAACAACGACAAAATAATAATAATGATGATTTATATTTATGTGAAAAGCATAGTTTTTAATACAGTTACGACGTTAGTATTTGTCTATATCTTATTCAAAAGACAATCAGATAGATGACGTTAATATAGTTTTTATTCTTAAAACAACTAGTGAGCTTATACAATACTTAAACTAATAACGATATTGCCGCTGAAGCTTTTAAATAAATTATAAGATATAATATTTTATTTTTATAATAGTTCATTGATTTATCACACCATCATCATCGTTATAATATCCTTCACAACCAATTGACATCACTGCTAGTAATTATTAATAGGTTATATTGTACTTAATTTTGTTTAGAAATTAAACACCCAAACGAGAATAATATATTTTACAATATAAGGACGGTTGTTTTATTATGATAAAACATTATAATTTAAGTTGAATTTAATTAACCCATCACTACTTGCGTGAATTTTGAACACACATAATGTGTAACCAGCGTACATCTCTTACCCGGCACAAGTAATGACTGCTTAATATTTGATTAAAGCGAAATAAAATTTTGAAAAAAGTTATTATGTTATACGGTTATAATTTTGATATTAATTTATAGTTAACTTATAGCTATAACGTGATACTTAATAGTTAACTTATTTATTCATAAATATAAACAAAAAAATCCAATAGTAAGTATATTTGATTTCTTAAGAGCTAAAATGCTAAAATTGTTTAATCAAACATAGTTAGATAAATAATTACGAGTGGAGAATATGAAATGTGTAACCAACACGTAGTGTCCAAGTGAAAGGTTGAAATTGTACATTAAGTTGTAATATCAGCTTTACAGTTTTAAGTATTAGGTAATATTAAATACTAATATAATTATTATTTTTCACTAATATTACATTTTCAATAATTAATATTCCTAATTTATTTGTTAATATTATGGTAATGTTCTGCATATAAAATATATGCATAAGTACATATAACATATGATACTTGATAGTTGTTTATTATAATATTATATTAGATTTTGTACTCTTTAAAGAATAATGTCGTACCGTTTATATTAACAATAGTAAACAATAGTTTTTGATAGTGAATAAGAGTAACACTTTTACTATAATAATACATTACAACAATGTTTGTTAAACAAAAGTGAGACTAAAATAATAATAGTGTAGGTAAGCACCGCTTAAACATTTATCCTAACTATTAACAAATTACAATATTAAATGAGTGAAACATATATTTTATGTTGGCCATTCAAATAATTATAGAGAGTTATTTATAGGCATAAAAACAATTATGTGATGTAAAAATAAAATGTACTGTGATTTTTATGATAGCAATAATTTGAAAAGGTTCTTTAAAAAAAACATGCAGTTACAATTTATTACAACATTCATTCAGTTAACTCAATTTTAATTTAAAAAAATGGCCATGTAGGTTGTAGATTTGATAATAAACAATAATAATAATAATAATATGACTAGAAAAATCTGACTATTTATAGATTAGCACATTCTTTTTAAAATAAGTTATAGAAGTATATAAAAATAAAATATGACTTAATAGAAGCTAGTCTAATTTTTTTAGACCTTTTATTATTAACTCATACTTATACAAACAAATGAATAAAACCAACACAGCACAAACAAACAACTTAAACATGCTATAAATAATGATCGAGGTCTTTAATATAATACTGGAAATATAAGAGATCGTTGAAGTTACAATAAAACTCGTCATTTAATATAGATATTACAATTATAATAATAATACTAAATTAATATATATATATAAATTTAAATAAGGTATAAAACAATACAGGTGTTATTCTTTAATGGGAATTGTCGTTTCGTAAATTTTTCATTGGCATGTGGTCAAAGTAATTTCTGTTAGAAATTTAAAATAGTTTGTCAGTTAAAATTAAATCTAAATAATTATAATACGTAATTTACTTTTTTAAAACTTTTTAAGTTTATTAGAACAAAGACCCCGTAATTAAATTTAAAATAGTGTTTAAAAAATATATATAACTACATTTGTTCGCTATATAAATGTAATAATATGGTAAAACATTATTCAAATAGAAAATGAGAAGCAATATAAAAATATATAGTATTAAAAGGAATATATGAGTCCAGTTCCAAAAACCTTAATGTCCCACACTCCCTCAATTTGACATATTTAAAGAAACTACTTTACTACTCGATTCATTGCCCTCCATTTCACCTCTAATCAGTCGCATATTAAAAATCTCTTTGGCAGTTCTGTATTTATAAAGTCACGGTGTTAACATCATGTAAAAGTATGCTTGGAAGTTAATTAAAACCTAAATCATCTCAATCATCTCAAAATTTCATAAAAAATTAGACTTAATGGCTTCTGGAACTGGATGACTCATACTTGGTATTTAATTTAAAAGTTGTAAAATTTAATCAAAAATTAATTGCACACAAAAATTTTATAAAAGAAAAAAGAAATTTAAATTGAACACTACAACTATTTTTTGTTTTTTTAGTTTAATGGAATTATCGAGTTTAGCATAAGTTTCAAAGCAAAGTTCAATTAATTACGCATTAAGATTTTGGATTAATTGAACGTAAGCAAAACGAAGGCGACGGTGATGGCGAATACACTACTGTAGGTGGTGGTATTCTTTGATGAAGTGGCAGAGTATTAGGGGGACTAGTCATATCGTCTTTGACGTGGCGATAATTCAAACCTCCCAAACCATCACAGCGACTCAACAACGCCAACAGCAGTGTCTCGAGAGCACATATATAACCTAGTACCTGTGGCAAAAAATTAAGAATTAATAATAAGTATGTTTGTTTATGAATTGTTTTATTTCAATCTCACCGCAGCTACTAGCAATTGGTGACGTGTAGACCGCGGTACCCAAGTATAAAATTCGTGGAACGAGTACACTTGATGAAGGACTAGCGATGAACTCATAAGACACATGACTGTCATAATGACGTAGAAAAGCACATTCAACTTGCCCCAATTGAATGGAAACAGGTACACTGTATGGGTAACATCGAGGAAAAGTATTCCTCCCGTGACGAGTAAATTGAATAAAGTGACAAACAGCATAAATCGTATTCGATACAACATCGGTAGCATAAATAGGGCCAATCTAGACGTCCCAGCAAAGCAAAGACAAAGTATGCATATCAAGCAGGTCACCTGAAATATAAAAAAAAAAAATGTTTTTAATAAGTGTAAAATAATAGTAATAATAAAATGTATCAACTTACCAGCAACATTACCCGGATAAAACCTGAAGGTGTCTTCATCGGTTTTTTGTCGTAGTGTATGACTATTCCGTTATACCGAGCTCGGTTAGCTTCTTGATGTTTGTAGTTGGCGTGTGAATCCCATGAACCCGGTGTGCCCGCCATGCTGTTGGTTACTTCTAGCCACGAGCCCCCCGTCTGACTGCCGTTGATTTCAAATTCCTGTGCGTCGTCAATTGGGGCTATATTTCCTTTAGGTTCCAAATCGTGGATTTCCTCTAGGAGTACGGATATCTCGTCACTAACGTACAGGTCTGACACGGAACTCAGTTGGGCCGTAACCCGCTGCATTACTGTTCAGGCACCCGGTAAACCACCTATTTTATACATTGCCACCAATGACTAAAAATGTTTACCAATAATATTTTGAACATGATTGCAACTATATTATGTAAAACAAAACCAATAGCTACAATAGTGCATTATGCAAATAAAACAAAAACTACAAAAACGATATAATAATCTACAAGCGAAATATGATTTAATATCAAGTATATAATAAATAATAATATATGATAACTATCCTTAAATAAATTTTTTTTTTTGCTACTAAAATAAAGCTTTATGGTAATTAGTTAGATGATTTATTTTAAATTAAAAAAACAAGTAAAATAAGGTACAAACGGTTAAAATATTGTAGTGTGGAAAATGTAATCCAAACGCAAGAATTATAGTGTCGTCTGTTTAAAAGAAAAGTGTCTGCTCTTCGTTATACGGAATGCTACTTTTCATTCTGAACATAAAAAAAAGCATACAAATTTCAAGACTCACCAATATTATCTTTTATCAATTTTTTATGACAAATCTCTAACATAATTTTTCTGGGAAAGTAAAAAAAGTTCCTATAATAATTTATGTTATTCTTAATTTGACCTAATCTTTATATATTATTTTAATCGACATAGTTTTGATAATAATTTTTCATAATATAATTATGTTTCTTCATTTAATTTTTTTGTACAGCTAATACAATTTCTAAATTTTAATTTTCTTAAATACTAGCCCTTATTTGTTTTTATTGTGAAAAAAAATAGGTTATAAGTTTGTTTATAAAGAATCCTAATAGATAGTCTTATTCAAATGCTATTGTAAATCATTTGTGACAATTAAACAAATCAAATGACTAAAGTATATCCTTGTATTTTTAATAAATTGAATAATTTTATAATAATTACAATTTTATTTAGCATTAATCATTAAAATATTTTTTATATAACTAAAAATGTACCTATAAAAGTAGTATACAATTAATAAAATAAATATATTAGTGTAATACAACAATATTATGTATTTAATAGATATAAAATAAACCTGGAAGATATTATACAATATATTTTATAATCTAAAATAATATTAACTAAAAAAATAAATAGGTACCAGATATAAAATTGCAACATTTTTAGGGCTAAAAACAAGTTTAAGAAACCGATTAAATAATTTAATCACACAATAGTTTATACAAATAAAACAGTATACATTTAACAGCTATATCAATAAACAAGGACACATTTTATAGTTTTATTTTCCTAATGTCTTCTTCTCTAAAGTCGAATCGTAGTTTTAAAATCTGTCGTATGTTATCTGGAGTTAGTTTCCACGCAAAACACATTCCGCTGTCTGGACTCAAAAATTCATTTAAATCAGACACTTGTTCCAAGTTTAGCACAGTTGTTACCTGGACTAACCTAGAGAATTTTTCTCTAACGGGCCATGCACTAGCACCGCTGAAGTAATTGATGAGTGTTCTTACCACTTTGTCTAATGACATGCCACCCAAACGGTTAAACTCTGTTTTCATTATAACCTTTTCTAATTGTACAGATGTCTCTATGGCGATTGCCACAACAAAAACGTCATAATTGTTAGAGGTCAATTTATTCTTGAACTCCTTAAAGATGTTGTCCACCTGAAGTATTATATTTTGTACAAAAGGATTATCGGCTTCCATCTGAGAAAACTCAGATTCACTCATTTTGTAACTGTATTCGTAAAATTGTTCGACCCATGCTTGTATTTTCGGTTCAATAAGGGAATTTTGTAGCTGCTTAAATCCATTTTTATTTGCAGTCACTAATAGCGTATTGACTCTTGAAAAATCACTAAGACAACTGTCCAGTTTTTCCATATTACAGTCTTTCAACTTAAGCGGTATTTCTTCTTTAAACGTTTGTGCTAATGATCTGGAATATTCAATTGCAACTTCGGTGTTGTTCAATGAAGCCAAGAATGTTTGCCTGATTTTTTCCAAGTCTGGGGTAAACCTATTGAAATATCCCGAACCGGGGTAACCGGAATTTAACACTTGGCTAAAAAACGTACACAAGTCTGTTTCTAAAGCGTTAATGGCGTTATTTATGACGGCACACAACAAGTCCAAACTTCCTGATCTTAATGAACGCATTACACATTTACGAATAATAAAAAACACATCGTCTACCATACTAGAAGTTAACGCCTCGTCTCCTTCTAAAGTGTCCATCAAAATAGCTTTTTTAATACTCTCCTCCATGTAGTATCTTTCAAATTCCAAATACCTGCCCATTAACTCTTGTATAGAACAACACAACTTACTGTTAATTAAAAACGACTTAGCGGTCGATGATTTTGATTCCAATTCGACATTGATGTGTTTATTCACAAATTTAGCATATAAATCATACCGTGCCAAAATTAACACAATTTCTTCAATTAACAAGTCGATATCTTTGGAGTCTGGTTTTTCAATGTTTGGATCCGATTCATCCCACATTGTTTTTAATAATTCTTTTACTTTTCGTGTCTTGAGAAATGCAGTCAAAATATCATTACTAAACGTATCGCAATGCACTTGTAATTGAGACATGAACTGAACTATATAATCGGGACCGTAGTGGGTTTCTATTAAAGGTTGCTGTACCTCAATCGTTTTGGCTACCTCTTCAAAAAGAAACGTTAAGCCATCAGCAAAAACTATACTAGCTCGATTACTTGAAATTGAAGTATCAATTACATTTTTTAAACTTTTGTCTGCAGTATTTTTTAATATTCTACCTAGATACGCAACAAATTTCGATAAGCCCACATCGTGCATGCCCAGTAAAGGAAAAATTTTGAAATACCTTTCAATGGACTTTTGGTCTTGTATTAATGATGCCTGATCAAACCGTTTCGATACGGTATTTTGAAGATGATCAGTAGCGTTTTGTAAGTGTTTCAGCGAGCTAGTTATCATAGAGCAATCTTGTGCCATATCATCAGCTGTACGTTGTAATTTAGTTTGGTCGATAGAAAGATATCGGTGAACATGCGCAGCTGCTTTTTCCAACTCATCATTTTTCATTGCAATCTGAACGCCTTCACTGCACAACTGAAGATCTAATAAATCTTGAACACGCTTTTGACATTCTGAAACGCGTCCACGAATTTTATCTAATTGTCGTACCTTAGATGATATATCTTCAGCGAGCTTAGAAGAGTCTTGAATCCTCGTTTCTATTTGACACAAGTTACTTTTTATCGAGTCAAGCGACGAGAACTGTTGGTTTACAGAATCTATCTCTTTAATAACACTGTGCCATTGATTAGAAAACGTTAACAGTCGCTTTTTCGAAGAAACTTCTTCCTTGTCCAGCAAAGCCAATGCGTTCTTGACTTCGTCAGGAGCAATATATTCTTCATTACTCGACATTGATAACCTTGAACAAAATTATAACATGGAAAAACTAAACTATATTATAATAATATACTATCGACTTTAATAAGTACTACATTAAGGGAAAAAGACAACTGCTCTCCAAAACAATTTTTTGTGAAATGTTTACATAACGAACAGAAATAATTTTAATTTACAAAAAAAATTTCATCGTAGTAAATATTTATACTTAGATTATATTATATTGTAATATATATTATTATAATCTATATTACATTAAATGTAATATTGAAATTTTGTCAACAACAAACCTGGGCACTTTATTTAAATAATTAATAGTTATTTGGTAAATACAATATATTTACATATTTTGCATATTCTATAAATTCAATTAAATAAAAATTGATTTGAGATTATTATCTGTTTTAATTTAAATAATACACAGGTTTGATTGACAGTTTTATTATAAATATTGGTATTTGTAAACTTAAAGAACAAAATACATAATTATTTTTTTGACTGTCCTCGTTACAGCTTATTAGGTAATAATTAAGTTTTTGATCAATATTTGTTGCAATGTTATGAATTAAACACAATTTTGTTAACTAATAATTTAATAAAAAATAAATAATCGAATAATAAGTTATATATATATATTCAGAAATTGTATATAATTTAATAAAAACTATAAGAAATTATAATTAACTTTTTATAGCTAAAATCAATATATATTTTTAATTCATGAGCAATAAGAATAAAATAATTTATTTGCAACTAAGTAAACAGTTGAAAGATATTTTAAGATTATATAATAATTTATTTGTTCAACTATTATTGCTGAACAGTTATTGCTAACTGTTTTAATTGTTTTAGGACAGTATCAAGTAATTTCTTTTTGTCTCTTTCGCTTTTTTTCAAAACTGAAAATACACTTTTTCTGTCTGCTTCCTTTAACTTTTCCAAAACGGTTATTGCTGTTGTTGGTTTAACGTGGGAATATTTTGATGTTTCTTGATCATAGTCATGGAAGTATGTGGACCAGTCCCAACTTAGTAGCAAGTCCAAAAGTTGTCTCAATGGAGCGAAATGCTGAGAAAAGTCTGGGTCATCAGTTTTTCCAACAGGTTCTGATGCTGCAAATAACTCACATTGTATTACATCCAAATTTAATTGATTCAAAGCGCCCATCGATAATTGTTTTATATCCTCACTCAGTAATAAATTTAAAATGGATTTAGAAATGTGTTCAAATGCTACTTGACAAACATGAACCGATACTTCTTCCGTAAGATTTCTTAAGGCATTGAAAACTACTCTTAAAAAGTTTATTAAGTCTGTGACAAAGGACGAAGCTTGACCAGTAGGTTCTACTAACATCCAATCATAGTCTTCTAAATCTAAAAACTCGTTCAATTTCAATTTCATTTTATCATACATGTGATGCTCAGCATCGCTTCTAGCTACGCCTAATGTAATTCCTGCATCATCGCCCACAGTTCCTCCAGACGATCCTGTAGCTTCGGAAACAAACTGTTGAATAGACTTTGACGATTTTTCTAAATATCCGGTATCGACAATAATTTGTATCACTTGTAACAGGCCAAGTCTTGGTTGATGAAACGCTGATGATAAACACCCGCTGAAGGTTCTCGAAAGCAGCAACTTAGTAGATTTTTGTACCATTTCATCAACCTCTCCTTCGCTAAAGTTTAAATCATTAGAAAATTTTAAACACGCATTTATAAATTGCTTAACTTGGTCATAAACACTCGGTACCATAGAAGAAAATGGGAATTTTCTTGGAAATGGAGAGGTTTCTAGTTGTTCATCTTGATACGGGAACGTCTGTACAACATTGTCGTATTGTTCTTGATTTTCGACTTGAAGATGGCTGAATGTTTCTCTATACAAAATATCTCTAAACACTTGAACCCATTTCTGCATGAGTATTTCGTTGTAGTGCTCTTGTATTTCATGTAATAAATCAAAATAACTTTTAACGGAGTACCCGTAACTCCGAAGAGTAATACAAAATACCATTATTAAGTCTTTGATTTTTAAAAGTAAATTAGCATCAGTGCAATATGCAGTATTAGTTCTCATAATACTCACCACTTTATCTGAGGCCATTTTCCACAGGTCTTCTAAATAAGACCTTGTTAACAATCCATTTCCTGTATTCAATACATGATCTTCTACAACGAAAAAACCTACAATACTTTGTAAATAATTGCAGTAGCTCGCAATAGACTCATGCATATTGTTGGGAGGATGAAGAGTTAGCAGAGCTTGTTCTCTTCTTTGTTGGCGATAATAAGCGTCAAATGTATCTCTTGATGATAATACTGTGCATATATGTATACAACGATACACTGGAGAGAAATCAATAAGATCCTGAGCACTTAATGAATCTTCGTCATCAGATACATTATCATCATTTGAATTTTCTGTAAGAATTCTTTTCTTCATTTTAGTTAAGCCAAAGTCAAAATTTTGCTGTTCGACACTGTGCTTCATAGCAGCTTCTCCGACCTTTGATGAAAACTTTCTAATAGTTTCCAAGAAACTATTTAATTCAGACATTGACGAATCTTTAATATTTTCTCTAAGCTTTGGTATTCTATCTATCATTTGTCTAAAAAATTTATAGTGAGAAACTTGAGGCAAATATAACTGTTCGAGTTGTTCTAGAGTTTTTAACGCAGGGTAGTAACGTTTATCAGCCATTTGTTTTTGTAGTTTACCATATGAGGAGAGAGCAGGCAAACACAATGATAAACTATCAATGGCCATTTTAATATTGTTTTCAACTTGTCTAGCCCTAACAAGTTCTTCTCCGGCAACCAAAACATCAGTGGCGGTATTCTGTACATTAATGTCGAGTTCTATGACTTGTTTTTTCAGTTTAGAGGCCTGTTGTTCGACTTGTTGTAGTTCTCTAATGGAGTCTATAAAACCTTGATAGTAAAAATTGCACATACGTTCAATATCTTTATCGTACTGTTTGATGCGATTGTCCAAAGTATCAATGAACTTGCGGCTGTCATCATCTTGGTCATATATGGCCCGGAACGTTGGGCCCCAGTAATCGTCTATGCCCTCAATCTCTTGAAGCAAATGCTCTTGGTTCTGCATATTTTTCTACTCAACAAGCTAGCACAAAAACAAAAACATAACCGGTTTCTTTTTGTAACTCTTACATAAACTCTACCTTAACATTAGTACCCATTATGAGATCATTAAATTATATTAAGACAAGTATGGGGACCCATTATAGATATATATGCACACCACTTAGTTCATGACTATAATACCACGTCCATATCACCACTTCTACAATTATTACTGGACATAAAGAGTCTAATGCTAAAACATTCTACAACCTACAATTCTACAATCTACTGTTAAGGGTGTATTACTTACATTTATAAAAGTATCAAATACGAATGAGACATTAATATCGGCTAATTTATGGTGACGAAATGCAGTTTGCAAATTTATATTCGAAGTTACAACTCGGTGATTTGTTTAAACGACTATTTTTATAAAATATTACTATTAAAACTCTCACGAACCCGCCGAGGTAAAAATTTACTATCGTTGTCTTCACTGAACGCCGATTGACAATTATTATCAACAAACATACAATTAACGACGGCCCCTGCCTTACGGGCTTGCGGCTTGCTGGCATATACAGTGTACGCTTCACAGTTCACATAGGAACCCCGAACCAGCAAAGGGGCATTACGATTACCCACGAAAAAAACGCAAAGTAGGGGAAATAGGTTATTTAGTAATAATATTTTAACTCTCGTGAGTCATCGACCTCGTGGTTCAGTGTAGCCAACATAAATCATAGTATCAGCGGGAAGTTCAAACGATCCACAAACTACCAGTCGTATTATTTTATAATAATATTTTTTTTTATCATGAGCTTTGGCCTTTGGCATTGCCTTTAAATGAATAAAAAGTTCCCCCGTTAAATACTTTTTGACAATAGTATCATTAGTTAGTTTTTTTCACTCCATAAAACTCTTTTCAATCGACAGATTACATTTGTGTGCAATTCAATAAATAATCCAAACGATTATTGCTAAACCATAAAATATAAATTACCGACCAATTACAACCGTTTCATTCTAAACAAATCGATGATTTGAAATGTATACTTAATGTAGCTTATATGGTTTTAAGAAATCATAAACGAAATAACTGAAAACCAATAAAAAATTATTGAACATGTAGGTACATATGTTTTAAAACAAAAACTAGTATTCAACTGACTCGTGAAATCTTTTAATTATTAAAATAATATTTTAGTTTTTTATTATTCCAATCTAATCTAATCCAGTTGCATAATAAGTTTATTATGTAAAGATGAATACTACATTTTTAAATATTACTTATTAGCACTCTGAAATATAATATAGTTATTATAGTTTACGAGCTCATACAAATCATTCTAATTACTATTATGCCTACGTTTTAAAATACAAATAAATTACATGGATATAATATTTGTTGTATTTTTAGTTTCTATCAGAGTTTCTACGGAAACAATATATTTCTGAAAAACAACTCAATTAAAACAGTTGTTCTCGCTAAATTAGATAGGGTTTTAAAAGTAGGTTATATTTAGACAATAAACCGAAATATATAAATTAATATTCATTGACAAGAATAAACCATATGGATTACGAAAAATCGGTGAGTCTTTAGGTAAAAAGTCTTAAATAATATATCCTCTACCCTAAAATTGTAGAGATAGATAGTAATTTTGTGTACTTAGTAAGTTTAATGATTTTGAGTTGAATTTAAATTTTGATAATATTGTGAAATACTACACATTTTAGTAAATGAAACCGGTTTCAAACAAATGTTCATTTATTTTTGTAAAAAATATAATTTTAAATATTTTGCTACAAAAAAAGAGTAGATATCGAGAAATATATTTGTTCTGAAATATTAATAAAACAGGTATCTAGTATTTTATTTCAAAATTTTTATATTTTTAAAGAGTTAATACATAACCATATACAATTGGACTTTATATTGTAAAAGAAATAATTTTCCTCTTTGAATATAGAGTAGATACATATTATACATAACTATAATACTGTATGGAGTATATAAAGAGGGTTATTGATTTATAGCTTAAATGCAGGTGCTCCGATTATGTATTGACCTACATAATATCCTACTTACGTCACGGGTGTCATATTATCGACGTTTACTCAATTTTTTCCCTATTTTAGAAAAATTTTGTATGTATAACAAAGTATAAAAAACAATTTATTTTGATATTCAGGACACTGAGCTTAAAAATCAAATCGTCGTCATTCGCGGATCGACCGGAAGAAAACAAACGTTTGTACGCGACTCCCAAAAGCGAGACATTGTGTTAGTGGCTTCTGGATTGGCTACAAACGTAAATTACTTGTTTTTTTATTATTATTAACTTTTCTAAAGAGCTATTACTATTTGAGGGGCAATTAATTTCACCGAAAAAAGACCCCAGGCTAAAAATGATTGGATTGAAAAAAAAATTCGCTATACATGTGTGTGGTTGACTATTTTATGTGACCATCGCTTCTAACGAACGGCAAAAAAAAAAAATATATTTATATACATGTGGTTATCTACTTTAACCCCTGACATTCAAGGAGTGTAAAGAAAACATACTTTGAGCCCAAAGCGGATAAAATATTTATTGTTTATAATTATTTTTCCCAACAAGATTTATGCGTCACCGTGCCGGGCAGAAGATTTAACCGAATCTGAATTCCCCAGTGATTGTGAAAGCGACAAAGAGGAATGTTCCAGCGCGAAACAGGAAGATTGTAGTTCTTTGTAAGTGCTAAATTATTATTAAATTGGAATGTAATTAATATGTATTTTTAACGGGAAATATTTTTTTTTAAATGTTTTATTTAGAAACGACGATGATAATAAATCGAGTTCCGTTACAAATTTATGTACAGAAATCGAAAACTTGCAGCGCGAAAGGGATGTCTATAAGGAACGAATGCAGTGTTTGTTAAGCATGAATGATCAACTTCAGACAGAACTTGATGAATATGTAGGTATTACACTAGGTATTACCACTATAGCATAACATTGATAACCTATATCCCAATGATAATCTATAAAATTATATTCAATTACTAATAAAATATATGTTTTAATATTTTGCTAACAGGAGCAATTAAACATTTTGATGGAGCAATGTATTAGTGTAAGCGTGATAATACAGCCAATTATACTTACTTTATGTTTTCTTCGAAATAACTATAGATTTAAATCTGAAGTATCGTTGTTAAAACATTTTTTAATAATTACATTAAGCTCTGCGATTGTTCATTGTATTCATGAGAATATAGTAATAGATACTGATGATAATTTTATTTTACAGTGTCCTTACGAAGTATCACGTGGTAAAGTGAATTTCCCCGGGAAGAAAGACTTGGTAAATATTTTTTTATACCTATTTCTATTATTAAAAAAAAAAAAGTGAATGTTTACACTGTACACGTAATAATTAATAAAGGTAAATAAGTTTTAAAAAAATCCAGGAGTATAATTATTCTATGTTTTATTTCTGTGCTGTCTGTTGTGTATTTTTTCAAAAGTCATTCCAATAAGACAATGTTTCTTACACAATATTTTTTCATACCCAAATGGTTTTTTTTTATTTGTTTACCTCTTATATAAATGCATGTATATTATGTAAACCGTGCAATACACATAGAACTATTATTAAAATGTTTAAACAGTGGTAACAATTATTAGAGTTGAAGATTTAGTAATTATGTTGCAAAAATATTTATTTATTACTATTATTATTTACAGGATGATCGTATTGACTCCCTGCTTGCTTCTTTAGCAGACATAAAGAAAAAAGTGGAAATAGCTGACAAAGATAATAGCCTAGTAAATTTATTGTATACAATCTTAAAAATACCTCTGCCAAAATGTTTGGAATGCACGTTGACTTACAAATAAACACATGTATTTATTCGTTGTGTAAAGTATTTAATATTTTTATTACTAATATCGCATATGCAAATTAAGGTCACTATATTGAACGGTACTGAAATAAATAGCGGGGCTTAAATTCTCAAAAGTATAATAAACCATGACAGCTATATTTACCATATTACTTATGCATTATTATTTTTTAATACCTAATCGATTTTTTTTTTTAATTAAATACGAAAAACTTAAAATATTCTATTAACACCCACCTTATTTTTTACCAAACAATATTTTGCAAGTTTTATTTTTTATGCCCGAGAAAAATGTAAGCAAACATTCGACGAAAATTCACAATTTACCTATACAAAATGTACAATAGCTAAATAAAAACTCATCTAATCTAACCCATAAGTAATCATACCTAAATGGGGCATGGACCAAAATACTATTATTACTAACTGTTATAGACTGGTAAGATTCACCTATACAAAATAATTATGAGTTAAATAAATATAGTAAACTTCTTAAACCAAGCCTAAGAAAAATACATGGCCAAATAGCGCCAACTTTGGTAGGTACTTGGCAAATCGGAGGTGGTGAAATGTCCGGGTCAGACATGTACATAGTTTAGAATTGAAGAATTAATTATCAATAAAATAATTTTATAAACGGCTAATAACCTAATTGTGAAAGCCTTATCTCAATAAACAAAATATACCTGTCAAGCCACTATAATATATTTTTTTTAAGGGTATTAAAAGTGGACAGTTTTTAAGGGGTTTATACAGGCAATATTTAGAAAAAAGTGGTTTTAATAAATTTCAATAATGTCAATTTTGAATTTACGTACAACGTAGGTATACAATTTTGTCTACAAGTAAAAGCTATTTTGTTCTTTCAAGATACCAATTTAGACCTAAAAGTCTAACAAAATCACACCTATTTAGATTAATCGGATTTTAGATCTGTAAACATATTTAAGCTTACCGACTTTTTTTCCAGGTTATTGTGACAGACGATAGTATATTTTTGAATAACCGTTTCGTTTACTTTAAAACCAATGATGGGAGTACTAAAAATTTGAGAAATTCAAATATGGTCTAGACACAGTTTTAATTGAAATATCAAAAATCGGTTCCCACAATATCATAGAAAAGAGGCCGATAAACTAAAGTTTTTTTACAGAATTGAAATCGGACTATCCTAAGTAGTCATAGTTTTGTCAGGATTTTAGGGCTAAACCGTCCAAAAAAACTGACCACTTTCAATAAGAAATATACTTTATTGTTATCAAAAACTATTAAAAATATTAAAAAATACAAATGAAACTGATAATTATTCATTTCATATATCTTAGCTAGTCCCTTAATTAGCTTTGCATTATTATTTATATTTTATTGATATGGTTTCTCTTTAAATGTAAAATACGATTGAGTTTTTAATGTCATTAGATCTGAGGTTTAACGTTTCAAATAGTCTCCCGAGTCTTAAGTATGCGATGATAATTTGTATTGGTTTATTTTAGTAAAGTTTGGTTTTGTTATTTTATAATTAGTTTCGGTAATGGTGTATGTATGAAATATGCATGTATAATTATATTGTACTACAGTGTCCGGTGTACCCCTTTGTATTTTGCTTCTGCATGAAATAACTAATAAATAGTAAGACAATATCTGTTAATTACGTAAAATTAACAGTAAAGTGTATGTATTTATAGTATTAATATCATTGTTATCTTGCTTTGTTTTGAATTTTGCATTGGCTTATACCAATCGTAGGTTTTTTTTTTTTTTACAAAGGATTGTATAGGTAATTTTAATTTTTACTGTTCAGTTTTATTTACTAAAAAAAATGTGCAAACTAAAACTATTAAGGTATGTTAGCAATTATTGATAACATCCTAATGGTTGCCGGTTTTCGGGAGACCATCTATTTCTTATAGGATTTAGCCGGCAGCCTTGCGATGATAACGGATGTGGCATCTTTACCTTATACCTTTTTCTTTAGTCGTGGCTTTTATCAATGTTATCAAGTTGATAGATGGGTAGTATCATTTGATTATACATACTATCAAAAAATTATGGTAGTATTTAAGTAATAATAATTACAGTTTTAAGTTTTAGTGTCGGCACTCGGTGAGTTGTGCAGTTTGCTTGACATTTTCAAAATAATTCAACATAAATAAGTATGTGTCGTTAATATTATTTTAAATTTATTAAAGAAAGTTAAAACAAAAAAAATTAAAGAATAAATTTAGTACTTACCTATTAATTCTTCATGAATATGGACTAATATAATTGTTTTTTTTTTCAAACTATTATATAGATTCTTATGTTTTACTTACTATTAAGTTTTTACCTATTAACATTAATTACATCAGCAATATTTATAATATCACTGTAAAGTTTTTACTTTGACCGACTCTTACAAACAAATATTATGGAGCGCGATTATGCTCCACTGAGTGCCGCTTGTGTTCGGGCATTAAATGATAAAATGTATGACAAAAGAAAGGCAGCTGCATTGGAAATTGAAAAGTAAGTACTAAACTGTTGAAAGTACCTAGTTGAATACTCTGATTTGGTTAATACTCGTGTAGCTGATTAAATATATATAATGAATTATATATATAAATTAATAATGTATTATTAATTATTGCTCGTGTTCTGTTTTAGAATGGTTAAGGAGTTTGCCGCAGTTAATAATTCGATGCAAATACGACGATTGCTGAAAGTGTTAGGACAGGATTTTGCAATGTCCAAGAATGCCAATGCTAAAAAAGGTGGTCTCATCGGACTTGCTGCCATGGCAGTGGGTCTAGGAAAAGTAAGTTATAGTTTGTATTCATTATTATTTTTATTTTTTCAAAACTTAGAACTATAAAAAAAAATTATTATATTTTAGGTACTCTAAACAATTAAATATTTGTATACCTAAAGTGTATTTAACGTTACAGGATACAGCTTTATATATTGATGGATTGATAGAACCAATTTTAGTAAATTTTAATGATGCTGATTTAAAAGTTCGATACTACGCTAGTGAGTCATTGTACAATGTTTCAAAAGTAGCTCGAAGTGCAGTGTTAACACATTTTCCTGAAATATTTAAAGCTTTAAGTAAATTAGCAGCTGATCCAGACCAAAATGTTAAAAATGCTTCTGAACTTCTCGATCGCTTAATGAAGGTAAATATTTTTGACTAATATTAGGTATTTAATTGTTTTCAATTTGTCATTTTTATTTTTTTAGGACATTGTTACGGACAATGCTAATATATTTGATCTTGTTGGGTTTATTCCTTTGTTACGAGAACGGATATACACGGATAATACATTCGCAAAGCAATTTATAATCTCATGGATTACAGTTTTGGACGATGTGCCGTCAATTGATTTAGTTATATATCTTCCAGAAATTTTAGATGGTTTATTTAAAATGCTATCTGATCCAACATTTGAAATAAAGAAGATGTAAGTTATAAGGTTTTTCTTATCATATTATTTATAATTTGAATAGCAAACTAAATGATAAAACTACATTATTTTTAAGGTGTGACGCTGTATTAAAAAAGTTTTTAGAAAATTTACAAAAGAATCCAGAAAAAGTAAATTACACTGATATGATAAATATTATTGTGCTTTATTCTTGTTCTACTGATGAGTTTGTTCAAGTAAGTAACAAATAATTCTGATATAAATTTAAAACATTAAAATATTATATGGGTTTTTGTTATACAGTATACTTCCATGTGTTGGATAAAAGAATTCATTGCAATGTACGGGGAAAAAATATTGCCTTTTACTTCCAGCATTTTGAAAGCATCGCTAGCATCAACTTCGAATCATGAAACAGAGCCGCAATTACGTAATTATTTTGGAAATTAATATTAACATATTTGGTTTTTTTGGTTTAATTATTTAATTGTGTTTTTGTATTTATGAAAACAAATAATAGTTTATTTATTTTCACAAATTAAGATTTTTCACTATTCTGTGACATTAATTTCTTATATTTTGCAAAATGTTTTGATGTAATTTTTTTCACATGTTAGGTGTCAAACAAATTGCTAAGCTCGTCAATTTGACTTTAATGGATCTAATTAAAGAAGTAGAAGACGATACCGGAGATTCTATTGAAAACGAAAAGGTATATAAAATCAGTGGTTGTAGAAGTGTTCTATGTGCGTGCCCTCATAATGAAAATTATGTACTCTATTTGCGAATGTACAATTTTTTTTATGAATACACACATACATAGAAAAGTAAGAGGTGGGTACACACAACTCACATCCTTACGACTTACACAACTTGTTATTGTGTGTTTATTATTTGTATAAAATAAATATTACAAACAAAGGGTAAACGGGATCAATAGCGTTTTCATTAATATTAATATTGTGTGCTTGGGTATTAGGGTGAAAATTTAGACCTTTCATCAGTTATTGTGGTACTAACAAAAGAATTAAGCGGATCGTCAATTGAAACCAAAATAACTGTACTCAACTGGATATATCATTTATTCAATCATTTACCAAATAGAGTAAGTAAGTATTTTATTATACAAAAATGTTTTGTTCGTTGTTGATTATTGTTATATACAGAGTTATATGTATAAAAATAGTTATATAAATATATATATATATATTGTTTTAAAACAGATTTTGGTTCATATGGAATCGATATTCCCATTGTTATTAACAACGTTGTCGTATCCAAATGACGAAGTTGTCCAAAACGATTTAAAAGTGATTGCAAAAGTAATTTCACCACCAATCGTTCAAGCAAATACGAAGCAATATTTTGATAGTTTTATTATTAGTTTATTGAAACAATTTTGTTTTGAAAAATCTTTGTTAAAAGACCGTGGTCAGTTTATAATAAGGTATGTGAACATATATGTTATATATATATATTTTAAAGTATTAACTCATTTAGTAATATTTTTATATTGTACTGTCTTCTAAATCACCATTTTTCAATAATTCCATTCTATTCAAATTTTAAGGCGATCATTTTTTAAAACTCTTCCAGTTCTTGCCTTCATATAGTATTCTTATCTCTTACCCATATCCCCTCTTATTCTAAAATCGTGTTCCCAGCTACCCATATAATATGATTGTCCGAAAATTATTATTTTCTCCAACTGTTAACATAGTTACAAATTGAATTGGATTCTTACCTTTTAGTATTGCATCTCTCCTAACCCACGTTACCAACAATCTTTTCTCCATGTATATTACCTCATTCTTCCCAGGCTCTTGCTTGATTATTTTCGATGGTTCATCTTCAACTTTTATGTCTGGTTACGCTTACTGTATCCCAAACCAAACCATATTGTATTCTACAATTCTTCATCCTTCCTTAATATACATTTGCTCATTCCTTATTCAGACATTCTCCAGCTCTTCTATAAAATTACTTTACGGGTTTGGCAGGTTCTCCCTTCTCCCAACTTCTCCTCATGGCATCGTCTTATCAGCCCATAACCCATAGTTTCATAGTCTTAATCTTACGTGAAAAGAAATTTCTTCTTTTAACCTGTCTAAGATTTGGTCATAATCTCCTTCCTGCCTTTTTCTTTTTCTCATTTTCTCCCCATACTGCACTTTACACGATAAACCTAGTAATTGTGATTTTTCCAACTTCTTTTTTTCAGTACTATCTCTTCTAACAGAAATATTCTATTTAACTTTCTCTCCACTATTGGTATTAACAACCCCAACTCATCCAAAATTCTTCACTCTCATTTTGTTCCAATCATATTAACCCTCATCATTGGATTTATTTTAGGCGTTGGCTTTTTTTTTTAATTAAGAATATTTACAATTAATAATTATTTATTTTATGTTGTATTTATTTATATTTTAAGTTGATTCGAACATAATACCTTATAAACTATTGTAATTGTTGAGCCATAATATTGTTCAATAATAATAATTTTTATTTGTATATTTTTTAGACAAATTTGTGGTTTGTTAAATTCTAATGAAATTTATCGTACGTTATCAACGTTTCTATTAGAAGAGGATAATTTAAATTTTGCATCCGTTATGGTAGGCACATTGAACACAATACTGTTGACATCATCCGAGTTGTATGATCTTAGAATGCAATTGAGAAATATCGAAAAACAAGTAATTTACTATTTAGTTTACAATATTATATTGCATAGATACTTGTTTTAATGGCTTGGATAAAAAATTATTTTTAAATCTGTTTTTCAATTATTTTATACTTCTTAAAAAAATATAATTTGAATGAACAAGCTTTAAAAAGTACTTCTGATATCGCTTATGTACGATATTGTAATAAATTATATGTTTTTTTTGCAGGAAAATCGTGAAATGTTTTTATGTTTGTATAGAACATGGTGTCATAATCCAGTAGCCGCAGTAGCATTATGTTTGCTAACTCAAAATTATTTCCACGCTTGCAAACTCTTACAGACATTGTATCCTTGTATAATACAAATAATTATTATTTAGTTTTTAGAATTGTACAAAACACTAAATGTTTAGTAAAGAAATTTGTTGTAATCAGAATGGCAAGTTCTTCATAACTTCAAAACCTTTAAACTAAGTTGTTAATTATTTAATTACTTACTAATTAATTAAGAAATTATTTTTTTCATTTTTGACAATGCAGTTATTTTAACCAATAACACGACTAAAGATGGTTTAAAAGACAGTTTTGTAGGATATGAGTTAAGGGATTAAAAAAAATAAAACTTATTCAAAACTAATACTATTAATTTTTTTAACCCACATTAACTATAACTAAAATAAATCATTCACAGGGTTTAAGTAAATAAAATGAAACTCTGATACTTTTTACTATTTAAAATAAAACATTTTTTTTGTGTGATTATTGACACTATACAATGCAAATTTCCAATTAAATTCAATATAAAATTAGTATTTTACTTAACAATGAGTTTTTCCAGCGCTTCAATGGACGTTACTGTAGATTTGCTCATTGAAATAGACAAGTTAATTCAACTCATAGAGTCGCCTATATTTATATGTATGTTTCATTATTATTATTATTATATTTTTTTATACAATTTTTATTTAATAATTGAGATTTATGTTTTTAGATTTAAGAATGGAACTTTTAGAAGAACCAGTGAACCAGTATTTAATACAAGCTCTCTACGGACTTTTAATGATAATGCCTCAATCGGACGCATTCCATTTGCTGAGGCATCGCTTAAAATGTGTACCCCATTTAACTGGGAATGCCGCACAGTATGTATTTTAGGATTATATTTATCGTATGCAAAATGCTTACGCAGACAATCTATTAAAAGTAGTGGTGTAGTGGTCAACTTATATGTTGACCTCCTATTTTTCTATGTGAGCGTAAGTACTCATAACAAAAATCTTGTACATTACTGTGCGTACCTATACAATTTGCATTATGAGTACACACTTATATAGAAAAGTGGGAGGTGGGTTCACAGTGTATACAACCCTTCCAGTACATCTCGAGCCCGTTTGCCTATTACGTGTTCATTTAACAGTATCGGGTAAAAGACTAGTAATATCACCACTGATTAAAAGGGTTTTTTATTAGTTAATTATCTTAACACTTATTTGTGCTATCGTTTTACAGATTATCGAATAAAAATGTGGATACTACTTCTAAAGGATTGTTTGACACTAGTGACATGCTTAATCATTTTACGGTTCTGCAAGAAAAACATAAACAATATCAGAAAAAAATTGCGTGCTCTACACAGCTTGAGAAAGGAATCGCGAAGATAGAAATATAAAAAAAAACAATAGGTATTTGCTACATTATTGTGATAAATTATTATTATTTATTAACGTTCAATATGTATTTTATTATTTTGAAAATTGCCATTTATACTTTTATTTTATATTGTTTGTATTCTAGTACAAATAAATATTTTATTTATTATATTATATAAACATAAAAATCTATAATAATTTTATAATTTTTTAGGGTTTATTAAAATAAATTAATGATGTTGTATTACACTTATTAGATTATACATGTTATTTTATTAAACATTATGTTGGACAAGTTAATTGAATGTATTGTTTTTTTAATGATTAGTTCTAAATTAATTTTACAATAGGAATAATATTAAGTATATGTAGTATTTTACTTATTTTAAAAGTGTGTAGGGCAATTATACTGGGCTACGGCTGGTAAGTTAGACATCAACATTTTATCTAGCATTTGAAGATTTTATTATAAATTATTATCAATATGTTCAATTTGTTAAATTATTTATCTCTCGAAGTAATATTAATTATTAATTACTGTTAAAAAGGTCATAGAGTTTGTACAGTTTATCTTTGTAATTCGTTTTGTGAAAGTACCTATTTTTTTATTATTCTAATAGCAAGACTACTTAATCTTTGCCTCTTCTACACAAAGTGCCCATTACTGATACACTTTATGGACGATTGAGTGATACCTACATTTTTTTTTATGGACAAGTCAATCGTTTTTTTATGTGGTTTTAATTTATTGTAAAAACGAAGTTTTGATTGGATGAATTCGCAGATCAGTTTTATAATTTCAGTAACTTTTTTTACCTTATTTTTTTACACTGTGTTTGGTTTATTGATTTCTTGCTTTATTCGTATTAATGACAAAGTCGAGCAATTAGATAAAAAAAAAAAAAAAAAGGAAACCGACAAAAATCAAAATTTTAGTTAAGTAGTGTATTCTAGGAGACGGAGGGAACACACGTGTTGAAACTAATGTTTTTTAGACTTTATAGAAGGTCACCGAGAGAAAATGATATGTCTGAATATTTTATGTAATTATAGTTGTGTACCTAGGTCATGACCATTACCGTGTCACGTCATCGGGCTACATAAGTAATGTCACCAAACATAAATATAACATTTCCCGAGGATTCTATTACACACGAGTGATATTATCGCAGTGAGCCCACACCAAGGTTGTATATGGTCGGTATTTAAAACCTAGAAGCACCTAATATTGTAATTAACAACGGCATAAGAAGAAACGATTCGATAAACAATAGTTTGTAGATTATAATTATTTGTCAGTCCGACCGACGACTAAGCAGCGAGGTTCAACAGGTAGGGAATGTATAATTAAGATAATAAGGAAGGTAAATATAGTTAAATAAATAAAAACAAAATGTATTTTAAATATTATAACAAAACGAGTAGTCATAATCGCTAATTTTACATTTTTTATTTTATTTTTTTTTTGTTTTTATTTTACATTTTCAAAAAGTCATACATAGGAACAGAATATTAAATGTTTTAACAACTTACAACAGTGCGTCAACTACTAACATAAGTGCATTGACACGTATAATTTGTATAATAATAATTAATAATAATAATAATAATAATAATAATAATAATAATAATAATTAATAATAACCATAATAATATTATTATATTCAATTACTTATTTGTAAAACTCTTACGATGTACAATTTCTGTAGTTTTTTTTTTGTTTTTATGTAAGTAAGTTGTTTAATAATATCATTGATTACAGAACTTCGAATGGACATTTCACATTTGTATTGTATGTTTTCTAATATTAAATTATATACCTATAGGTGCTTTACTATTAAGTGTTGTAGGCATTTAGTAATAATAGTTGGTTAATAATTGTAGTCTAAGCAAATTGGCACATAAACGTATGTTCAAGTAAGTTAACGAAATAATAAATTATTGTATACAGGGTGAACAATACAGGACGTCATTACTGTAGGCGAACGGAAATTTGAGTGTGGGTAAGTTTTGTTTTTTGGTTTCGATTAATTTCGAGTTGCCTATTTTTTTTATTTATTATTATCACTAGTTTTTTTTTTTTATATAAATAGATCACAATGTTTTAATCTAATTATCATATTGAGCGGGATTTTATATATATATATATATAATTTTTTATTTTACAATCAAACACGATATTATAACTATTAATTACCATTAAACGGATAAACGGCGTGGTAAGAAAAATATGGTAGAAGAGAGGTTTTATAATATATTATAAATAATTCGTCTAACTTGACATGGGAAAATGTCGAAGTGTCGTAAAAAACAAACTTGGGGCTAGGCCTTAAGCGCGAATAGTAAGTAATTTGTTATCGGCAAATTTGTACTCGTGGAAAAAAATTAAATTTGAAAACTTCAAAGTTGAGAAACGGGTTTATGTGAGATTTTTTTTTTTAACAAATCCATTGTTTAATATATGAATAATATTCTATTTTATATCATATAATATATATATATAAATATAATATTTTACTACCTATCTGATTAGGCTAATATATATATTGATCAGATGATAGGTAGTACAATATTATATTTGTACGGTTATCTATGTTTTAATTAAATATAGTATATAATATTATTTTATTGTAAATAGGGAGATCAAGTAATAATTAGTAATTGTAAACCAAAAGGACAAAAAATGATGTTAACGCGATATTATTAATAAAATAGTCGATAATATTTAATTTAAACTAATGATTTTTGTTTTTAAATTAACAAGTTTCACTTTTTTTCTATCAAAAATAATATTGCGTTTAGTTTGTCCCTTCCATTTGCACAAATTATCCCTCGCATGACCCTAACACGTTTATTTTTATAATTAACGGTCATTTCTTTGTGTTTCGGTTAAAAATGTACTTTTAAGTAGTTTATTTATTTTCTATAACATTATTATTATAATAAAACTAAACCTAATAAAAAAAAAAATTGGAACTAAAAACCTATTTACATTAATAAAAGGCAGCGTTGTATGTCTATAAATAATACATTTCTTATTATTATTACTATTATTGTTTTTAATATCATAAAGAATAGTTCTTAGAAGTTTATAACTTTTTTTTTGGGGGGGAGGGGTTGCTGTTTTGACGCATCAAAATGAAGAGTTTTTATTACAATTTGTTTGATTGTACACCACAAATAAGCTTAAGCAGTTTATGCATAGTAATAATAATAATAATATTTGTATTATTTAAATAATAAATTATGATCACAAACATATTATTATAATACTATTAGGTAAATAATAATGTTTGTATAATATTATTGTTATTATTATTATTATTATTATTACTACCTACTTTTCCGAAATTTAAGCTAACATATTTTAAATATCGAGATTATAAGATAAACAATTAATAATTGACTCGGAAAACATTAAAAAAAAAAATAAATTTGAAATCATTACTAAACTCTCAGTTTGCCGTCCGTATATTAACGAAAAATTTCTTTATTAGTAAAAATGTGTTGGAACTTATTATTTAAATTTAACCGGTAGGTAGGTAATATCGTTTGGTTGAGCGGGCGCGACTGAACGATAAGGTTAAAGATGTGATACCTATTATATATTAGAAAATAGTAGTAATATGTACATTCGCATAATATAATATATTATTTATAATAATATCAATAAATTATATAAGAATAATATAGTAATGATAATAATAGGTACGTTTTACATTTTTTTTTTGTCAATTATTAATATTATTTGTTCGGAGGAAAAAACGAAACTAAGAATAATATTAAGCCTAAGTGCGGCGACATAATAATTTACAGATTTATACACGAACGGCCGGACAGCACAAACGATAGCTGGCCTAATTATTAAAATATTATACATATTGTATAAGTAAGTACTTTTAGTATATAATATTATACCTATAACGTACGATTTCACTAAAATCTTTCATAATAATATAATAATATTATTACAATAAGTAATATCAATATAAACTTAATAATAATGATTAAGTATTAATTATAGTATACACTATACAAATTAATTTATAAATTTTGAATACTGCTGATTCATTTTAAATAAGAGTCTACTAATACAAAATTGAAATATCGTTGACATTTAATAGTTCTTAACAAGTCAAATAATATCATTAAAATATGAGTCTTCTTATTTGATGCTATTTTTTTTTTAATAATTAAATTTGTTGACAAATGCCAATAGTATTATGAATAAGTTTAAAGACAAAAAATTGTTGCATCGTTATTATTAATATATTTTTCCTATAAATAAATTAATATTATATTCGAATCTTCAACACTCATCCGTCAACAATCGGAAACAAAAAAAAAACTTAAAAATAATAATTATAAAAATTACTTAAGTATACAAGTATTTAAAATTAATTAATAATAATTAGCTATAGAAAAAAAGTTATTCCTCATAGGCCAAGATGTTTTGAGAGATTATATTATTTTTATGTTCACAACAACTTTAAATAAATATAATAATAATGTATTATAATATTATATTATAAGAATAGGTACTGGAGCAAATTATTATGTGTATAATTGATAATTATTTTGTTCGTTAAGATAAGATAAGATAATTAAACGATAACAAATCATATAAATTATATAAATTAATAATAATAATAACTATAATAATATATATTCTAACAATAATAAATAGTAAATAGGTTTAGGTAACAGTATTCGAAAAACATAAGGTAACAAACGTTGTCTCTTAAAGTTAAAAAAAACAACAAATAAATACATATTCAACTGATAAAAGACACAAGAGTTATTTATTTTCTTTGGTTTTACTAAAAAAAAAGGGGGTAGCTATCTATAAAGTATTAAAATATTAACAAACATAACATAACGTAACATAATATAATATTAATATAAATATATATGTAACAATAATCAAAGTGCTTAAAATAAATAATTATTTTATTATATAATCAAGGCAATAAGGATGTTTTCATGTATATTACATTTATTTTATCATAGCTAAGCATTTTATAATATTATAGTAATCGTGTATTATATAGGAATGTTAATTATAGCGACGTTAAAACAATAATAAATACAACGAAACAACCAACACAAAATATACTAACACAGCGTAATATATATTTTTAATGTTTTGATTATGAAATATTAACAATTTTTAATTTCTTGTCCAAATTATCTAAAAATCGTTTGATAATATTAGTAAATATGTTTAAAATAATTGCCGTGTGTGCAATATTGTAAAGGCAAAATTTAGATGCGCCGAAGAAACATAAATAGGTACGTGATGTTTGATTTACATTTTTTTTCCATTAAACCTATAACTCCCACTTTTTCGATTGGTATATCAATTTTTTTATTAAGTAGATACTATGTATGATATATTTTGTTGTTATAAAAACTCGGGGCGACTCTGGCAAAAGTAATTAATAATTAACTATACATATATTTGTTTTTTCACAACAAATTGTGTTGTTTGTTAAATAAATCAAATTTTTTTAAATGTATTTATTCAAAGACAATAATAATATATTGACAAGGTAAATTGGTTAAAAGGACACGTGCTTTGGGGTCCGACAATAAAGAAGGACACGACGTGTAAGTCTACTCTACAATCGTGCTCGGAAGCTATTTTAATTAACTCGTGTATGATAAAAGAATAACGAATGGCAGTGAATAATTGAATACATATGATATAATAATAATGATTTTAAATTAAAATAATAGGCAATCTTGCGGTTAGTGAAGCGTAAGTGATTTTCCAATTAAGTAGAAAAGTCCATTCGTTTATTTTTTTTGGTTCGTTGATGGGTTAAAATTAATAAGTATTTACGAAAACTTCATTGTTATATGCGCGACAATAACATGAACATAGTTTGGTGTGTATAAATGACAGTTGGGACTGCTAAAAATATATGATATTCGTTACAATAGTAAAATCTCGTATAAATAATGTTGTTTGCTACGTCCGACACCTTATTCAAACTAGTATCGTCGGTTAATAAATAACATATATATAACGAGACAAGGAAAACCGTGACTTTTAAAAATTTGCATCTAAATTAACATAATGTAGCATTACACTATATACTATTATATTTATTTATAAGCTATTTACGAAATTATTTGGTGAAAATTTCTGATTTTTTTGGTAGTGCTTACACATGTCACATTATGTATACATTGTATTTATAGTATTACGTTAATCATAACAATAATAATAGGCCTAATTAAAACGGGAGCGTACAATTTAATAGTTATTATTATGTTTAACAATACAATAAATATCGTAAACGTTTTAGTAAAAAAAAAACAGTATATAGTGATGATAATGACTATTTTTTGTTTAAAATAATCAAAATTCAACGAACGACTTATGAGTATAATGTGCAACAATTAAATAGAATAATTCTATAAAAAAACGAACAACATAATAAAATTAATAAAACGTAGAAATCAAAACAAATATAACAGCTATAATAATAATAGTACATTATATAAACGACGATAGACGCTGGGCGTTTTTGAGAAGTTTCCGGCTATCATTAAAAAAGTAATGCGTGAACGAGTATAAAAAATTCGTACCTGATTGACAAAGACATGAGCAACTCAGGTTGTCTACGAGTAAATGGTGATCACTTCGCGACCACCACCTCGGACCATCAACACTTTGTCTAGGCCTTCGGTCATTACTTCCAAAAATTCCATGTCTGTTTGGTAAACGCAATTAAGGATAAATTTCTTTCACAATCGCGCTTATACACATAAATTCAGTTACTTAACTCAAGAACTAACTTAGAGCTTTGGTTTTTTGATATTGTGACTTTAATTAAGACGTCTTGTTAAACTTATTAACTGGGTACGGTTTTTTTTAAACAAACCGCCCCAGGCGTTACCTCACCAATTTAAATTTCAGATAATAAAATAAACGGCTTAAACTGGGCCAATATAACGAATGTAGCAGTGGCGTATTTACGGTGGGGGGGGGGGGTATGAGAGATAGATCCCCTCCCTTGACCTTTTTTTTTTTTTGTAAGACTAGGTATAAACAGAATAGATTCCGCATTCAGAGCATTTCACACATTTTTAGGGGGACTAGAAATAATTTTGGTCTAACTTACCCCCAAAAAACTTTAAAAGTCTATAATGCTTAACGTACTTGTTTCCTATTAGTGAGTATAATACAAAAGTTCTAAAAATATGTACTTGGTAGATCTTTCACTTTGAGAGCTACGCGTAGGTTTGTACCACGTGTACACAACGCTACAAGTATAAAAAAAAGGATACAGTTTGATTCCCTTTCCGATTTGTTGTCTTTGGGCGGTCCTGGCAGGTTAAATATAACCAATTGAGCGTCTCTCGATCGACTTACAATGACTTCATTTAGTTTAACCGCAGTGTGCATTCTCCTCACGTTGTCTTCGTCCCTATATGAATACACGTTGTAAAGGTATATATATATCTATCATTCGATTAGATGTAAAACTTTGGTTTATACTTACGGTCTTAACGTCGACGTGGATGAATCGGTTGTCTCTTTTTGCGCTGGTTCCTTAAGCACTCCGGGTTTGTCTCCGTTTGCCCGTTTCTCATTGGTATTCTCCGCCTGTGCCGTTTATAAACGTTAAGAGTTTTTTTATTTCATTTTATTTTTTTTATTAACACTTACGGATTTTGATTTATCTTCGGCGCTCGATTCTTCCTGGAAACGTACTTTGGTAGCCGATCTCCCTTCCGACTGATCTTTTCTGTGATGTTGGTCGATTATGGATTGTACCTAAACAACATCGGGGTACGTTTTAGCCAAACAATGTGATATTATACCATTTGAATCAACAAAATAATTATCAGTGGACGCATCACAATAAAATGAAAACAAAAAGTTGAATGTTAAAATGATATTGATGATCATAAAAGTGTGAAAAAAATAATAAATTAAATTAAATTCGACATTGATACATAGTAATCAATATGGCTGAAATGTGAGTACTACTTATGGAAAATGTATTATTAAAACACTACTACTGTCGATTAAAACAAAAGCCACTAAATACAAAAAAAGTATACTTTTTGCAGAACGAAGAATATACTATACAACTAATATAGCCAAGGGTGTCCACACATATAATATTATATTTTGAAGAGATACGAGAGAAGACGTTAGTACAGTAATATATTATACGGTTGAAGATACAGATCAATTTATTAGAGATTTTGTCCCCCCCTCCCAAAAAACAAAAGTTCATGCAAATAGTTTACTTAACATTTATATTTAAATAAATATGTCCAACTCCGATTATAAAGACATAAATAAACAACAAACATGGAATAAATATATATTTTAACAAATATTTATTCTATGAAAGGTCCATAAAATTACAAAATGGCACGAATTCCTCTCTATTCACATTTTATTAATGAAAAATTCAAACTCGAGATGTTCTGGCACAAATCTTTTTTTTTATAGTTTGTTATATGAGATCTTACAGGGACAATTAGGTGTTCTTATAACAAACGATAGGAGAAAATCTAAAATTAGTATTAAATTGGTTGTAAATAAGTAAATAATACAATACTAACAATAATGATTAATGTCAATCAATAGTAATATGAAAATTATCTACATGAAAAAAAAGCTTCTAACTACGTTGTCTACTGCAACAATAATATATAATGTTATATAATAGTCAACTATTATAATTTGTTAAATACAAACTAAATTAAATTTTAAAAGCGTTCCTAGAATACTTTTTTTTAAAGTTAAAAACCGTAAACAACAAACCAGTGGCGTGTTCTCTCCAGTCGGTGTTTCCCGATTGAAATCTATGATATTACGCATCTTTTGTAAGCAAAAGAGAAAAACAACAAACCACAAGCCGTGTTTAAAGACAGTTATACAAGATAATTTATAATTATATAATATATTATTAGTATTCAAAATGTTGACTGTCATGCGCCAAGTGGTACAGTACACGGTAGAGATTATATTGTGTAGGAATTTGATTTGTACTATTATCATTAGGAAAACATAAGTTTAGAATTATATGTTGCAACAATATAATAAAAGTCAACAAAATGATTTTAGAATTTGTCCGATAGTAAAAAAGCATGACAGCCGACTTTTAGTAAACAAAAAAATACATTATTACAACACTTAACTAATTAGTAATATTTTTGAAAGTAATATAATAAGGGTTTTTCTTTTCAATCGTACGGTTTACTTACCATTCCGAAGGATTCTTTTTTGTTGAGTCTGAGTTCTCTTAACATCTGAGTACGTTGTTCCATCATGAGAGTCCGTTCGTACGTATAAGCCGAAATGTCGTAATTAGTCTGTTAAGATAACAGAAAAAAAAGAGTTTAAAATCTAAACGTCTAAAACAGATTAATTCGATTTTATTTTTTTATGAATGAAGGGTTTAGAAATTGGCAGAGGACTTGTTGCACCTGTTTGGAGAGTTGGTAAGCAGAGATATTGAAGCATTTTTTAGAGGCAAAGGGCGGTCGAAAAATGAGTGGGTGATTGATAAGTAAAGATAAATAGGTGCGTGTTGCAGGTAAAGAAATGAGGTGACAGAATATTTGGGTGACCGAAAAAATTTAGCAAGGTTCTTACCATTTCGACTACTTCGACTTCAGCGGGAATGCGCAGTTGATACAAGAACGTTTTGAGGTCTTTTTTCATTTGAATGGAGTTGTCGTCGGTTTGTGCCACGGTGAATATCCTGAGCTTGCAGTTTTTCCAGGTCCGGTGTTGTTTCAATAGGAACGGTATCAACATCAGAATACCGCCATCGTGTACAATCCACCAAATATCGATTGTACCAGATAGCTGTACATTCGAGTTATTTTTATATATATTTTTTAAAATTAAACTTTTAAGCTACGTAAAAAATTGACATTTTTACAGAATTGTATTATAAGAATATACAACTAATTATAACAATATATTATTACTTGTAATATTATAGGTATAATAAATATTTATGATTGAAAATTTAACTTAAAGTTATGATTTCTAAACAACGACATTTTTTAGGAAAAATATCTATATTCGGCGACTTTTTAAACTTGATCAAAAGACTCCAAATGTGGGTATTTTTTTTTGTATTACATAGATTATTTTCAGTCGGTGGGAGAAGAAATATTTTATTTTTTACAATTATAAATTAATTAAAAAATCAATCATAGATACCTACTAGTTAATTTAGTCATGTGTAAATAGTTTATTTAACGATAATTTTACGAATAATGAAATAATGGTAAATTTGTATTCGTGACTTAAATAAAAAAATTATTTAAATAAAAATATATTCGAATAATGTCCTATTCTGACTGGAACCTCGACAGTCCGGATTTAAACTTAAGTAAAAATTCTGTTTTTATTAATTGTATCTGAAATGGTCATAGGTTTTCCGTTAGTTGCGAAATTTGACGTTACCTTAGTCGCTGAATCCGGAAAAGATCTAATGCCTTTGGGTACGATGAGTGCCATTTTAGCTGCCGTAACGATGCGGATAGTTTGCAAGAACACTTGCCATGAACGGTCGTTTTCGGATTGTTGCCAGCTGTTAGGCCACCCCAATATAACCGTATTGGGTTTAAGGCCTCCGAGACCGGCAATCTGTATTCTGTAACACATAAAACAGTGATTAGCCAAGGCAAAGCCGGTCGATGAAGACGTCACAACTTACAGATGACTCAATCCCTCAGACGTGTCCTTGGCTACTAGCACGTCCGCGAACCCTTTGACCTTCTCTTCGTCCATCAGGCGGACCAGCTCCTTCTTAGTCGCTTGGATGTCGTGGCTGGGTTTGATGTAGTCACCCTCAATCACCGTCGCGCTCACCGTCAATCCTTTTCCCGCCTTCAGTTGCGACACGAACGAGAAGATTTTTCTATACTTGGGCAGGTCCGCGTTGAAGTTGACCAGCATCAGTATCTGAGGTCGCCAATTCTTAGTGTGCGGCGGCGCGTCTTCCAACCGGAGCAAACTGTACCTGGCCGCCGACAGGGCCAACCCTCGCATACCGTCTCCCCATTCTTTTTCGGCTCTATAGAGGGAATCAAGTATTTCAAGTGGTTAGAACAGCTCATAGCTTATATTGTGATAGTTTACACTCACCCTCGATACTCGATGTATTTGTATATGATGCCGGCCATGCCCAGTGCTATCAACGCGAAGTACCAGCTCGACATGAACATGACGGCTATGCACAACGTCAGTCCGGTAAACGACAAGGTCCTGTATGAAAAAAAAAAACATAACATTGTAAGGAGCGTTTAAGATCTAAGCGCTGTCAAAAGTGTGTGTAACTACCAGTGGTAGAATTTGAACCGAGGTCTCCAGTTGGGAGTGCGCAGCAGTGTCTGCAAGACGCAAGCCAGGTTGACAAAAGCGTAACACATCAATAGAAACATTGCCAACAGTGGGGCAAGGTTGTCTATATTTCCAATCAAGATACCTCCCTGGCAAACGGCTACTGTAATGAGCAGTGCTCGGGTGGGTTCGCCGGAAGCTGAAGATTTAGCGAACGGTTGTAGGAACGGTATGATGTCGTCTTTGGCTATGGCCTGAAAACCGATACAAATATACATTTAACAATAATAATTATTATTGTTTTTTTTTAAAGTAAGTCAGCTCACTTGTAGCAGTCTAGGCGCTCCAGTAAGACTCTGAAGACCCGCACCTAACGTGGACAAGGTAGCACCGACCAAAATCACCCACTCGTTAGGCCAAGCGATGTTAGCAACGACTAGACGACCGCCAATACTCTGACCAAACCTGCGTTGAAAACAAAAGTATGCTTATACAACATCATAATGCCTGCATAGTTTATGCGTTTGTCAAGTTATTAACAAAACAACGATATTCAGAATGCTTCTGAAACTATACGGCGTTAACGCGGTATTTTCTTGCTAGCAATGATTAGTTTTATGTGTCCTACACAAGCTCAAAGCTTAGAGAATTATTTTACAAGATTCCATTGTGCTCACAGACCACAGTCGTATATTCACACGCTTCATATAATATATGCATGGATTCATAAAGTTCATGAATATTGGTTTCAATACAGAGCCCAAAAGAGAGATTAATTTATGACCGTACTAAAATTTAATAATTAAGTACTTAACCACATGTGAAAATCGGGCAAATTGAATTGTTTTAAGGTAGGATGGGCACGTCGTTGGCGTTTATTATTCATAGTTTGTTACTTACTTGTCCCTGAGAAGCAAGTTGTCCACCGTGGCCGCGAATAGTATTACGGCCGACAAGTACACCGTCGAAGTGCTCAAGATTGCCAATATCGTACCTATAGGAATAGATTTTTGTGCGTCCGCCAGATCTCCGGATCTATTTGAACCGGCCATTATGCCTGATGAATAAACGATAAATGAAAATATGATCCAAAACGATCCACATACAGATAACTAACCGGTAACAGACGGGAAAAATATGCCGATCAATATTGTAAACGATGTCGTTATGTCGACCATAACCATGTTGTACGTGTTTTTTTGCAGCGGCTGTATGTCTTCGACCTTGTGTGTTTTGGCTATGTATTGTCCAGTTTCCAAAAAGTTTCCAAAAATATTCTCTGCGAGTTAGCAAAAAAAAAAAAATGAACCCAAATTAGACCATTTTGTGAAGTGAACCGATAAACTTGGAGACGATATTTCAGAGGATTGGCAATCAGTGATCCCTTTTATCAGCTGATTTACTCTTATTAATAAATCCTTCCTTATCATATATCTTCCCTTATCAATCAACAATATCTTATCGGGTCCCTCCTCTATGAATAAACTACCCTAAAAAATGGGCTTAATCATCCTTTATTAAGTTTTATATGTTGATAAAATTGCTTACGTAAGAGCTCTTAATTTTTCTTTACTTTTGTTTTACCCTTCTTCCATGTGACCAAGACGAAACACTAGGTTTTTATAAAATGACAGATCGTATTGGGGCCGTTTTATTTGTTCGGAAAAAAACGTTTAACAACCCAAGTCACGAACACATTTTAAAATCAGCTTGTGCAATTGAAAACTAAATATATTTGCTCAATTAATTATTAAGCGCCTGTTATAGAAAGTATTTTTTTCTCTTCGCAGTAGTTTTTCGATAACTTTTAATTTTTAATTGCACTCGCGATACATCTATACTCATGTAAGTAACGATTTAATAATTTAAGTAAAAGGGTTTACATACATAATACAATTAATTTCATGCTGGTTTCCCGGACCTAAGCCTTTAACACACATAAAATTAGAGGTAATATAATTAAGGTCGTGCGCATAATAAAACCAAGCGGGGTTTACTTTAGTAGTTTAACATTTGGGTTTAAACACGAAACGGCATGTTCGCAGTAAAACACTATTGGGATTTGGGATGATTTAATTAATTTTATAAAAATACTTTGCATATTGTAGTGATATTAATGTATTCTATTAGGTGGTACCCGATATTATCCCCGTGGTTAGGGGAGAAAGAATTCTACCAAAGTCCTCGCTCCTGTCGTAAAAGGCGACTAACGTGACGTAGAGCCCTCCGAAAAGTGGCCTTCTGACTGGTCACTTCATCTTGAGACACACCTTCTTCGGCCCGCAATTAGCACCTAGTCCTACTAGTCGGTCCGCAGTCGTAGGGGATTCCTTCAGGGTGAACCATTAAAGCCAAGGAACATCAGGTGGTACCCGATATAAATAAAATGATAAAACCCTCACAACAGCGTGAATGTGTCACCCTTGTGATTTCATGGGTCTCTAGAGGAGTCCAAATTGAGAAACAAACGACTTTCGAGGAGTGCATATTTTACTACCATTCGGCTCTTAATATTTACTTCTAGATGACTCCTGACTAGAACTCCTGAGGATTACTCAATAGAGAATACCGTATCATATTATACTAACCAAAGAAAACGCCACTGCTAAGACCTCGAATGCCTTTCACTACCGAGGCGTCGTGACTGGTATAGTAAGCATCGCAAGAGTTGGTGCCATTGGGGCAGTAGATCTTTTCCAGGTAACCGCCCGGGTCCTTGTTGCAGTATTTCATATCCATGTCCTTCAGCAAACGGTTTCCTAACGAACACATACTGCGGGAAAAGCACACACGAGCCGTAAATACTATAATAATCGTTTATCGTCGACAGACACTCTTAGTGTATATACTTACATGAGTTTATCGCTTCCATGGAAGTTATAAAATATGCCCACGTAAACGGACAATATGGAAAGCAGTACGCAGGCCAGAGCTACCGAGGCAAACTTGTTGACAAACTTAACACCCACGTACACGATCGAGCTCATCACCATGAGTAATATGGTACCGTATACCCGAAAGTTGTTGTACATTACGGTGCTGTCTTTGGTGAAGTCACCGAAAATCGATAAGCTCGGCGCCATGTAAGTCTGTGGACGTTCATTCGATTTCATGTTAACAATTTAGCTTAAATATGAATAGACAATAGTGAATTTTTTTATATTGTCTACAACCCTATAATTCCTACAAGTTGTTGGCTAGAATTTCAGATTAGGATCCGTACGAAGTAGTAACTCCGATATTCAATTTAATAAATATATTTAATATGAGTCCCAAAGCAATCCCGATTGGAAATCCTGCCTAGTTGCCTCAATCGGATCTCCAAAACAAATTCCTAATAGCGCCGAAAATCTTAGCGATATCCCAAAGGATTCTTATGCAGAAATGACAAATCCTACAGGACTCCCAGTGTTGTTAGGACAACAGATGAACCCTAATAGCTCCGAGAATCCTAACGATTTCTCAGGATTCCCCTGTAGGGATGGTCTTGGGATTCCTGGTGCTGTTAGCGTTATACGGATACAGCAATTCGGGACACTTACTAGAATGATTTCGACGGCTCCTATGATGTACATGGACGCGGCCAGAGTAATGCCAGTGTAGAAGAGCATTCCGACCGCTCCCCCGCACTCTGGGCCCAACGATCTAGAGATCAAGTAGTAAGGTCCGCCAGCCGGCACCACGCCGTTCGTGGCAATGGCACTCATGGATATTGCAGTCAGCATCGTCTGTACAAAAAATATCAAAAATATAGAAATTTTGGGTTTTTATTATTATTGTCCAGTGGCAAAATAAGTTAAAAATATGCGAAAATCTGAGGTACAAGGTATAAGGTATAATGGAATTAGTATTAACAGATAAGATTTCAAAATTTAATAGATTTAAAATGAGAGGAGGAGAAAGGTGGGGAGGGGCCAGAAAATCAGTTAATCATAGATTTTTTTTTTTTAAGAGGACTCACTGTCGGAGTAGTTACTAAAATGGCAGTGACCTACATTATTGGTTCAAGCTAATGTAATTATTGGCCGCGAGTAGTCTTAGGGGAGACATTTTTGCAGTATAAAATGTGCAAAGTAGCTAAATTATGCCGGCAGCCTATAAATGAATAATTTATACCCGAGAATTCAAAATTGCTATTGGAAACAATTAAAACAATTCTACGTTACAGTAGACGTTAAACAGAAACGGTTGGCTCTGGGATAATTAAATTGAAAAACGTATACTACGCTATGTACTTGTGTATAGCGAATTGTGTAGGTTTATATAATGACCGTCGGTTGTTACCCACGTCACAGGCTATACATAGGTAATTTTCCCTTCATGCACGCTGCACAAACGATTGTAGGATTTCCTGACTATGTCCAATGTGACGTTTTGCGTAACAATAAAATAATTAAAATATTGCAATTAAACACTGCATATTATACTATATTAGTGTTATGACGGATAAAAACGTCGAGTAATTCAATACATTTTCAGATCCTACATATATATATATATATATATATATATATTTTATTTTTATATTGTTATCGCAATTATACGTATCACAACGTAAGCCGTTAATGAAAATTTTCACGCATATTTTTGAATTAGTATATTTGAGACACAAATTTCTGGCCAAAACTACATTATAAAACTAACTCATGTGGTTTATAGTCTTAACTTATACGAAATTAATTATTCGTGCTGTCTGTCACCAAAGTTTATTCGCTTCAATTTCTTAGTAGTGAAATATTAATAACTAGAAGTATATCTAAGGGGCTTTGATCATTAAAAAAAATTAGATATAAAAATATGTTTAAGTATAAATGCTAAATTTATCCCATTTAAGCTGGACCTCTCATACAAGGTATATTATTGGAGAGGGTTATTACAGTATCGAGGATAATATTAATATTATTATTATTGTGACATTTTGAATGACCCGAAAATCTTACCACGCAGCAACAAGTGAACACAATTCCAAATCCGTAAATAGCCCCGGCCGTGCCGACTACCCATGAAAGTCGAATGAACAATATGACACCGAATATATTTTGAACACAAGGTAGGTATACGCCGACCAGCGTGCCCATCCTTGCCGGTTTAACCGTAGTCGGTTTAACGTCTGAGTCCATTGCACTTGGGATTGTGTTCGCATAATCTGCAATCGAGTTGAGAAACGTTGCCACTTCTGGGCGGTCTTCCAGCTCATCCTGTGAAATATACAACAAACATAATATTTTGCCCAGTTTGAGGGGAAAAAATGATTGTCATTAAATTACAAAATACACCTATTTATTATCATCCCAAATACATTTTCCTACGGCAATACCTGTGCAAATGAAAATTAATCGTTTTTGTGTACAACTTTAAAAGTAAGTTTGACCGACTAAATGTGACATTGCTATAATGTTTAACATAAAAAATTACTATGGTAGGGGAATACAAATTAGAAAATTAGTTTGAGATTATAACTGCCCTCGTGCCAAACTTTCTTATGTACTCATTTGAAGTTGATTTGCAGGACTCCAACAGTAAATTTCTATTCAGAGGAAAAGTAACAAAATAATTAATATATATAATACATATTAATTTTATTGAGGATGGTTTATATTATATAATACAGATTTTGGTTATATGGGTTAACTATGTACTGTAACTGCAACTATATACATCAATTTTATAACATATCCGACTTATATAATGCAGTTACTACTCGGCAAGATAAGCACCAAATACTCGACAACATTGCACAATTCCACCCTCAATAAACATATAAAAGAAACTCAATCATATTCTTTTCAATCTTCTTTAAGTATCCACTTGACACTTATATGTTCTAACTTATCGTTTCCCGTTATTCGAAACTCTTTTATCTCACTTTTTATAGTGTATCCCGTTCACCCGTTACCATTCTATTTTCAAACTACATAATTTCCAATATTAAGTTCACTACTACTTAGTAGTTTACTTTTCCCCTCTTTTTTGGGGTTTAAAATAAAATCACATGATTATAAAAACAACACCTTCTAAGCTATGCATTGAAGCTAAAAATTGGTTAAATAAAAAGTATAACACATCTATAAGTGTATGTCCTGCAAGTAATCAATACATTTTTCTATTAAATCTATGTTGTATTCTATTATGTGTTCGAAAAATGTTTTAGTATTAAATGTCGTCAAATTTATTTATACTACTACATCAAATTACCACTTAAAAACGTCATCATCACGGTTAATATAATACTATAATTGCTTACAAGAAAACGTTGCCTACATGCAGAGATATTTTAAAAATATTAGTGAAAAAATAAAGGTTAAAGCATTACAATAAGAATAAATTATTTTACCTTGCACAAAAACCTTCACACTATCAAAAAAAAAATTACTACGGCAATTTCTGTTTATATATTTCTCTACTAATTTCATATTTAAATTGTCATGTAAATTATTCAGTATTTTTCATTTCAAGAGCAGTAATTATGCTTCAATTAATAATATAATAATTGCATTCAAGGTTGCACCAATTTTGTAGATATGCCAAAAGAATTTTTCAGGCTTTTCAGGGCTAGAAGTTAGGTAATTCATTTAACGACGATAGTTGTTTTTTTAAAAAGTTGTATACAAAAAATATTTATTGTAAATAAAATCATATCCGTTTGTATAGTTCATTTTTGTGGAACTGAAATGAAAATATTCAACCTCTTCAATGTAACTTCACCAAAAAATAAATAAAATTAAAGCAACTTAAATTTGAGCTCATATATTATTACATGAGTTCAAAACAACAAATACTTGTTGAACACTTATGTTTAAGACCTACACGGTTTTTTTTATATACTACTTACGGAATAGAGGTATAAATTCGTTTCATATCCAGAATTTCTATTTTTTTCTGACTTGTATGTTTCGTCTTTGACATCACCTGAAACAAACCCAAGTAAAAGAATAAATACTATGTATAAATACATAACCTTAAATTGGTAGGTAACCAAGGCAATTATATATTTTTTTAACAGGAGGGAAACAAACATTGGGTTGTTTTATCAAAATAAAAATAAAAATATTTAATCAAATTTAAAAATTCATAATAAATTTTTACATAAAAGTATACACTTAACTCAATAAATTTATTATTAACAACAAGGTTTTTTTAAACATGACAACTAAAAGTAAGTATTTACGTATGTTATCTCAATTAGATATAATACAACTTTCTATATCCTAATACTAATCTCACCTATCCTACAGAATTTTAGTACTAAATGTTCACATGATCTAGTATTAGTAGTTTTTGTTGACTCGAATTATGCAATCAGTGACCTAATCAATGGTTATAAATTTTTAATAATAACTCATAAAAATCTAAGTACGAAACATTAAATACATTATTAGTAATACCCTAAACCACAGAAATAAACACTTATAAACAGCGCATATTGTACCTGTATGTACTTAGGCAACAGACAACAATGATACCGTTGACTTATTATATCCGGTGACGTTGAATGATGATGGTATATGGTAAGTGGTAATGCATTGTTGTCGGAATACGCTGGTTAGGAATTTGTTTTTGTAGTTTATGTGTATTATTAATGATGTATTTCCAACATTTCGTCACTCAAACCTATTCTAAGTGCACAATGTTGGCATCACTGGGTTCAGAACTAAAATCGTTCACAACAAGAAACCACAACCAGTGTTGAGAAAATTCTATTATATATATATATTCTTAATTAAGAAAGAATATGTTGGTGCACGATTAAATAAAACAAATTGAATATTTTACACAGCAGATTTATATAATTAGAATACAATTATTTAGACTCTGTTATTAAAATCGAGTATTTCGTATTTAGCAGTTACAACATGTTAATGAAGTTAAACTAATGCAGTTGTGTATTATCATAAATTTCGGTTTCGAGAAATAATAATTTAAAGAAAGTTTTGAAAGTTTCAAATGAAATTAAATATTGTAAAAGTTTTTATACACATTACGAATACGTCTATAATTTCTTAAAAGCAGTCGTAATTAAAGCAACTACTTGACTGGAAACTTTTGCTAGTTAATGTGCACATTTATAATTGTTTGTGTAGTAATACTGGCTAATATGTAGTAAATCAGTTCGTGTAATCTTAATAAGCTCGCTCTGGGGACGATGTTGGGATAACTTTTTGCGGAAGTATATCAAAACAAAATCAACATAATTAAATAAAATAACTACTTGCGGCAGTTTGGCTAATAACTACTTCTCGACCTTCTAGTACATTTCGATTGTTTGTTTAATGCCGTTTTTCTTTTCATCAAGGTATTTATGATAATAATAATACATTATTTTTTCCATAATATATACTTGTAACATTTATAACTTGTTATACGCTTCTATTCTTGCTAGGATAGAAAACTGTATTCTTGTTAATAATTGTTCCGTCATCATCCCCAGTATCTCGGCATCATTCAGGGCCGTTTAGGACGGCGCGGCGGTTAACCTCCTTGGTAATTTGGCGACCTTGTCATTTTTTTCAGGTTCTAAATTAACGGAACACAGTCTGGCCGAATTGTGCGGCACCGTGGACATGGACGGTGATATGTATTCTGAACCGTTACTTGCCATGCAGACTTTGCGCGTGGACTTGAAAGGGCAAACGGATCCCTTAGAACTCCTAAGATGGATGCAGACACAGTTGTCTCGAGCCGGTGCTGTGACTACGGAAATGTGGGAAGTCGAAGTGCCCCAAGCCATGCCCCCGGTGCCCCCCGTACTTACAGCCACCATACCGTCCACGAATCCAAAAGCTACGGAAACGATATTGCTGTACGGTCACATGAAAAGGGACAAAATCGGGCAAAACGTTTTTGGACGAGGTTATTTTCATTTTAACTGTACAATAGCACTCAAGCTAGTTGATGCGCGGTTACCGATCATGATAGACAGATCAAAATAGACAAGTATTGGTCTTGTCGTAAGGCGTTTGACGTCTTATAAAAAATATACCCGATAGACATGCTATTTCTGTGCGTCGGACTATTCCGGTTATCAAGATTTATTGAATACTATCATAAAAAAGACATTATTAAGTAGACAATATTTGTTTGTAATTTCATAATTTTCCCCGTCTATAAATACTTTACTACTTACAAGTAATGGAACGACACAATAGATTAGATTTCGTAACTTAAATACAACTTTTTATTATTTCTATATTTTTATATTTCCCTTTGGGTCAAATCACAACTTGTTTTGTTAGTCTGTCTGAAAACTTTTAGCTCGAACTTTATAGTTTGATACGAATATTCAATATTATCAAAAGAGATGCTATAATTTTTATTATGAATAATTTTTTAAATTATATTTTTAATTCAGTTTAATATATGACATTTAATAACCATTATAAAAACTAAAAATTGTTCATTTAGTTTACAGGGTCGTAACATTTTATAGTAAAAGAACTTTGTAAAATTGCAAAAGAAAAAAAATCTCATTTTGTATGTAAATTTCAAACAATGGCTGAATAATTTACACATATTATTAGCTTTACATCCAGTGTAATTTAAAGTTTTACCAAAGTTCTCAAGACAACCCGGTGACGATATAAACTATCTAAAAAAGTTTGGCGTGGAAAATATTCAAATAGACAATCTGAATTGGACTTAACAAAATTACATGAATACGGTATTTGCGCTTAAATAAACAAATTACAAAAATAAGAATTCTAAATAAACAAAAATACGTTTGTAGTTTGTACCCACTCAGTAATTAACTAAAAAACATTTTTTTATGTTCTGTTAAGAATATGTAAAAAATGAAATACATTTTGTTTAACGTTTTAAAAATAACTCACAAAATTGATTAAATTTGTAATATTTATGAAATTTTGTTGAAACTATTGGTATGTTAAATTTGTATTTACTAAGAAAATATCATGGATGGTGATTTTCCCTAATCCTGGTGGGGGAGCTGAGGTGGCTAAATCCATTTAAATAAAGTCCTCAATGAAATAACAAAATTATAAAACCTAACAAAATTCACAGTTAAACTGTGAAATTTTTTTAAGTAAAAAAACTGCAAATTTAATTAATTTTATTACAAGAAACTGAAATGTTTAAATGAAAATCGGCTTCCTACATAACATAGTAAAGTAGCCAAAGAACTCGAATCTATTTGGTCTACAATAAACCAAAATGGATTTTACTCATAGAAAAAATGATACCTCGAAGCTTATACAAATTAACCGATAAATTAATCGAAATAATTGATTAAAACCACTTTTTTTTAAATATTGCCTATAGAAAAGTCATTAAAAACAGACCGCATGCATCCCCTTAAAGGTCGTTAGCAGAATAATCGCGGGCAATCGCCGAGCCGTTTGCATAACCATATTGGACATGAACACGAGCTCCAATATCGTCTTAGTCTGACATGAATACGATATTATGATATAATACATGACAAAGATGGCCTATTTAAAAAAAAAGATATATTTATATAAAATAAGCTCAGGGGAGAAAAAACGTTTTTCAACCGCTGTTTCAGGAATGACGGGCGGTCGTAAATAACGATGTAGTTCTACATTGTGAACGGTGGACCCCCGTGACTACCTCGGTCACCGCGTTTAAACTTCGAAAAGCTTTTGCTCGGTAGATTTATTGCATTTTCATTTTTTTTTCTGTAGGTCTGGAAGACGTTCGCGGTTCTTTGGTGTGCTGGACCAACGCGCTGCTGTTGTTGAAACGGCTCGGAATCGGAGTTGCGGTAAACATAAAATTCATAATAGAAACAATGCCGGCTGACGTGGGCGTTTATTTGAAACGTTTTCTTGAGAAAAAACTCGTCTCGTTCCTCAGAGACGTCACCGTAGTGTGCATGGCGGACGGCAACCCGGAAATGGACCCAAACACCCCGACAGTCGTTAGTTCTTTCCGGGGATACTGCAGGTTAGTTCAAGTTTCTGTGTGTCTTCCTTTTGTTCCCTGTTCGGACAAACCCTCCCGGATGTCTGCCGTTAAGTACCCAACTACTGGTGTCCACACAGTAGGAACTTATTACACGAGTTGACACAGGCGATGGAACCAATTATGTAGTTTCCGGGAAGTGATTAAAATTAATCAGTCCTATGACAACACAAAGACCTTATTTTTTGGTCTGTTAACGTTTACCTTATCTTAAGAATATTCCATATAAATTTGCATCTAATTCGACTATTTAAAAAAAGTTATACAGCGCCGTAATTTCAAGTTGAAAAAAAAAAAGAAATACTTTTTATTATTTTTGGCTCAATTAAGCAGCATTTAGGTATAATATCTGATCTATATAGTTGCAAGATGAAGAAATCGGTTCAGCGGTTTAGAAGATATCATAGGTCCACACTCAAATTAAACAATACAAAATTCAAAACACATCATTGTAAAAATCAAATCTTTTCAGCTACACATCGAAGCTAAAAACATTTATCTAAGGTCTATAAACCCCGTAAAACAGTGGTAGAAAACGGTATTATAACTATTTTACTACCGGTAAGAGCTCAAAACTACTATTCTATGTTTACTATTCAAAAAACTAACAAGAACCCTTACAAAAATTAAAATCTGAGTCTGTATCGGTTTGTTCCATTCATTAAACCGTCATTAAAATACTAATAAATTTTTAAAAATTAATCTATTTTTAACGCTGTTTTATAGTGTTAACGGTTTTCGTGGTAACAATTTTTCTCAGAACTCGTAGTGTGTACTCATACATTTTAGAACAAGGTTATTTAATTAGCTTGATGTATAGTTCATCTCAGTAATGAGATGAAACCACAAAAAAGGACGTCCGGGAAGAACAATGGAAAATAATTTTTCTTCCTCTTGGGAAACTTGTAATTTGGAACGAGCGGGATTCAACACAAGCATGCTCGAACGACGGACAAACGATCTCCCATAAA